CCTCAGGAGACCCCCAGTTCTGTTCTCAGTCGTGATCCCTCCACCATTGGCAGTACCTGACACTCCTGGGCTTCGTGCTGGGCAGCAGTCCCCCATGGTGCTCATGTCCTCAGCAGGCAACAGTGCTCTCAGTACCATGGCTCAGCCACTTCCCATTGTCCCCAAGTTGGCAGACACCTGCCTCTCCTCGGGTCCCGTCTGCCACCTTGCTGTGTCCCTCGAGGCAGAGGGAAAACAATGCTGTGAGTGCTTGTGACACAGAAAGCTTTGCCCTGTGTGGGAACAGCAGGTTTAGGGGTTAGAGGGTGTAGAGGTTCACTCTACCTCTCCCCCATGAGCCAAAGAACAGGGACCTTTTCCTGAGCTGGACCTTTGGGGACAGTGGTACTTGTCCCCACACTGGTGGTCCTTCTCAGAAAAGACACCAGACCAGCTCCCGTGGGACTGTTCCCTCGACCTCCCAGCCTCGCTCACCCCTCCTTTGCTCCCCCAAATGGCACAGCCCTGGGTGTGTGCTGGCCACCTGCAGATTGGTGTCGGGGTGAATTCCACTCATGTCCAGGAAGGGGGTAGGAAAGCACCACTTTGGCCATCTGGTGCCCAGGTGGATGATTGGGGCTCGTCAGGTCTGTGTGCTACTCCCAGGGAGCCTTCCCAGGCCTGCGCTAAGGTGGATCTGCCAGGGGCGGCAGAAAATGGGAAAGGGAAGAGATACCAAAGGTGACCTGTCAGATGTCTTCCTCTGTGTCTTTTAAAACAAAATAGTCGAGCTGAGTGTCCTCGCCTCTCTTCATCCCAAGCATCTGGGGAACCCTTTGCAATCTGTACAGCGATTCGTGACTGTGTGCCAAGAGCTGTCAACTCCCATTCTAAATAGTAGGTACAGGGAGTCACTGCATATCAAAGAGAAATTCAATCTGTGGGCACGAATGTTGGGGGGAGGGGTCCATCTGCACTGGAAACAGGAAAGAAAACTGGAGCTTCCTGGGGAGGCCTGACCAGCCTCCTTATGGACAGGACCCGAAGCAGAGGAAGAGAGAGGGCAGAAGTCGCCATGCATCTGCAGAGCAGTGCTGTGTAGGTGTGCCTTGTATGACCCTTCCCAGGAGAGCTGCCCTTGGGGACACGCCAGGCACTGTGAGCCTTCTTTGTCACATGTGACCCATGGGAGACTGTTGGACTGTAGACTCTGGGGAAATGGCTCATTAAGGAAATTGGTACTTTGGCACGGAAGCAAATTGGGCCTCTCCCTGGGGAGTGGGTGGTGCCTGGAGGTTCCTGGGAGACACTTTATCTTGGGGTCAGACAAGATCTTGTCCCCTCCTCCCCCCCACACCCCTCCGGCTCTTAGACTGTCAGCTGAAGCAGCTGGTTTAGAGTTAAGAAAATTCTGGGATCGCAGAGAAACCAGCAAATTCAGCTCATTCAGTGGAGTTACTTTCAAAAGACATGAAGCTGAACCCCACAAACCACTTAAAATGTTTGCCCTGTTAATATCTGGAGGTCAAGAAAGGGTGGAAGTCCAAGGGCCAGGCTGTACCAACCAGATGACCCCCAGCTCTCAGGGGTCCAAGTGATGTCCCCAAAGGGAAGAGGCTCATGTTTTCCAGAATCAGAGACACACCTTGGATGTGAGCCTGTGACTGTCTGCCATGCCCATGTTTGGCTGCCCGGGGAGAGGGAGGCCTTGCCGGTGGTGGATGCTTGGTGGACGGAGGGGCCTGGCTGATGGGCACCAGGAGAGACAAGGTTGCCTGGGAACTGGGTTGCCAGTCCACATTCACGGGGGGGATGGGGGCTTTGGGCACAAGCCACATGGACTCAATTTTCTGTGGAGAATTTAGGAGCTACCATCGACAAGAGCTGGGGTGGGGCCAGAGAGGAATGGGAAGCAGAGAGCGGTCTTTTTAAAGTGCCTGCCTGGGCTGTGTGGGGTGGGAGTGGGCAGGATTAGGTAATGGTGGTGTGGTCTGTTTTTAAGCAGAAGTGATGAATTTGCAAGGAGAAGGCCCAGGGCACAGGGTTTGTGGCCCTGGCTTTCAGAGTCAGCGCTGCAGCATCAACCTCCTGCCCTCATGAGCTTCCTAGGGGGAAGGACTATGAGTGCCTCCACGTCCCCCTCCTCACGACCCTCCCTGTCAAAACTGCCCTCCGCAGGGGCCCCCAGGATCCTGGCGTCTGATGGCTTCTGTCAGGTCTGCCTGGAAGGAGATTAACTTGACTTTCTTCCCGCTCTGCACCCTTGTCCCTCCTCCCCCGCCCCCCTGCATCGAGGTTGTGAAGTCATCTATTTACTTTCCAGATGTGGGGTAAGCGAACTCACCCTAGTTCTGCACTAGTCAACATGTGCAGAGATGGTGCATGTGTGTGTAATGTGGGTGCACATGTGTGCAGACGTGGCCAAGATAAGCTTTGTCTTTTGGATCTTCCTGGAGGTGATTCGTGTGGGCAGAGCACTGTAAACTCACTCATGTACACACTCACAGAACACACATTCCCACACACTTGCACACACTCACACACATCCACACACTCACAAAGATACACACATTCACAAATTACACACTTGCACACACTCACACACATCCATACTTATACACATACACATTCATATTCACAGAATACACATACACACTTTCACACACAGAACACATACTCATGGTCTTCCACACTCACACATACTCATACACACACTCACAGCTGCACACACATGTACACACTCACAGAATATACACTCACGCTGACACACACACCTGAGTCCAGCTTTGACTCAGAGATCCTGCACTGCCCCCCACAGACCAGGACCAGAAGAGCAACGAGGCTTGGAACGAAGTGGCAAGGGCCCTGCAGCACGCGGGGAGATACGCACCCATATGACAAGAGGCCTGTGCAGTCAACAGCGGGAGCATTGGCCATAGCAGATGCTAAGTGTGTGACCGACATTAGTCCATGACCTGCACGCTAACCTTCGAGGACCGCCCTCTCTTGAGGCAGTGAACAGGGGACACTGAAGGCAGGGGAGAGAGGACAGCGGGGAAGACACTTATTTTGCATGTGATATGATAAAAAGATCAAAATATTGCTAAACTGAAGAACTTTGCAGGAGAATAAAGTGTGCTAGAGTGGAAAGATTGGGGCAGAATTGGGGAGCCGAGGGTGGTGATGAGGAGACTTTCTCTTTCCTGGGTCTCCTCTGTGGGCTGAACAATACCAACCTCTGCTGCTTCTCTGCCCCCTGCAGTAGCGAGTCATAGCCTTACTCAATATTGCTACAAACAGGGGACCCCAGAACAACTAAAGTCCCCGTGTGCAGGACAAGACGCATGTCCAGACTTTAGCACTGTTCTTAAGCTCAGCACCATCGCCAGGATCTGTAGGACATGGCTAAAGATCCTCACGTGCTTTCAGAAGTCTCTGCAGTGCAAGGGCATGATCAGAGACTGTCCAACCACATTGAGATAGGCCTGTGATCCCCAGAGTTTGCCTCCGTGTGTCTTGCAAGCCCACAAGGTGGCAGCCATGGTTCACCAAGGCCTCAGGACCTAACCAACTTTGGGCCTCTGCTTGAGACGGGAAAAGGAAAGCCTTTGGAATAAAACGTGACCGTGAAATGGCATCTGAGCCATAAACACAGACTATGCAGAATGGCCCCTCACTGCACCAAATGTTCAGTCTGGAATGGAGGTGCTGCTGTGGGCATTAGGGTGAGGATTAAGTCACTAACCAGTTACACCTGCTTTCTCTGCTGTCTCACCCGAACCTCGTTTGTAAACACATAAAATGACTCCAGTATTTTTCTATTTTAAATGGGAGCGATTGTCTGGCCTTCCCCTGAACCGATCAATCATTTTTTCCATCAGCTTTGGGTAAGACAATAAAAAGGAAATCTATGCATTTGTTCCTGGTTGTGATCTTGCAAGTTCAAGGCAAACTGCCATGTCCAGCATCTGGGATTCGTCACGTCTGCTATTACCTCATTGACGGGTACACATTTCCCAGATGCCGACAAATGAAAGGCCTGTGAAACTCTAAGGAAAGCAAAAGAGCCCCCAGCTCTGCTGGCTCGGATCTTGGGGGGACATGAGACCTAGGGAGGTTTCGGGCTGATTTTTCTAGTATCTGGCACATGCGCAAATGAGGCACAGGGCTCTCCCGCCTGAGTGACCTTCCCCCAAGAATAATAGAGACAAAGCTGGAAATTGGGGCTGAGGCTAAACTAACACCTCAGGCTCTTGACATCTCCAGCATCTAAACTCAGATCCCCCCCCCCCCAGACTGTGGGGTTGGAAATGCCCAAATCAGGTGGATGCCTCTTTGTGGGGGTGCCCCCCAAGCAATGCTCAGGGGACCTGGGGGTCCCTCTCTGTGATACTCAGCCAACAAGCACAGGGTAACTTGGATCTACTGAGACTTTTGGAGCCACAATGGCCACCTCAAAGGGCTCAGGTGCCACCAGGGTCCTACTCAGAGGCAGGTCTTTGAACTGTCTCTGGCTTACCTGCTTCTGTTCTCCCAACTCTCTGCTGACCTGGCTCACAGGTCACCGAAAGAGCCATGCCTGTATCTAGAAGTCTGCACGTAGACCTTTGAACTCTTTGATGTGTCGATTCTACATCTATGACCCCCTTAGGAGGAACTGGTACCACACACACACACACACACACACACACACACCACACACCACACACACACACACACACACACACACAAAGTACAGTGCGTCAAGATTTAAATAAGCCTCATTTAAGGCACAAAACCCCATTAAGATAGCTTTAAATAGGAAATGAGAAAACCATCGATTATAACCTACTGGCTACACAAATGGAACTGACCGTGGGGCAGAAGCCAGGAGGGGAGGGAGTGCACCGAGCCACTGACCCCACCATGTGCTGCTGGGGGGAATGGAACCCCCAGAGAAGGATACTGAGAGGAGATCTGAGCCTGCCCTGCTCTAGGAGTTGAGAAATACTTGGAAAATGCAGTAGAAAGAAGCAGGGTACCTCGCTGGTGATGCCAAAGGTCCGCCCCTGCTTCAGACTGAAGGCACTGAGGCCCATGTGCCAGAGCAGGCTCTGGAAGTGTCCTGGGAACCGTTTCTCCTCTCACCTTTTGAGATGTGTCCCATGTCTGTTCTTCTCTGATCCAGATGACTCTCAGGCCACAAAGGGCCAGGTCCACCTTCTCTCTGGAGTGGGGGACTGAGGAGAGGACAGGCCGCTTGCCCGACAGGTGGTCCTTCCTGGGCATCAGATTTCTATAAAACCCCTTCCACAAGCTCCTCTGTGGCCAACCTGTGGCTGCCAGTAACCACTTCTGCAAATCTCGGCTGTAAAGCAATGCCGCAAACCACTGCCACAAAACCACCACCACTAACTCACTCCCACAAAACTGCTGCCACAAACCTGATGCCACAAACCCACTGCCACACAATCACCCCCACAAACCCACTGCCACAAACCCATCACCCCACAAACCCGCTGCCACAAACCTGTTGCCACCACCACTAACTCACCCCACAAACCCACCACCATGAACTCATCCCCACAAACCCACGACCACAAACCCACCCACCATTAACTCATCCCACAAACCCCCTACCATAAACCCATAGCCACTGACTCACCCCAACAAACACACCACTAACTCAACTCCTGCAAACCTACTACTACAAACACTGCCACTGACCTGTCACCGCTAACTTCTCACAACCCCCCTGTGCTGACCCACCCCTGCAAACCTTCCGAGCCTGGCCCTGTTGGCCGCCATGAGGCAGAAGCAGCCCAGTGAAGGACAAACATGCTTCAGTTTCTGTAACTCGAGATGAAGCCAGCAGGCATCTCGTTGGAAGGTTCAGGGGCCAGCACCCACCTTGTGTGCATGAGTCCTTGAAATCCACCCCTCTGCTCTGCCATAGCCCACATGCCACCTGCCTGCCATCCAAAGGTAAGTGGCCAAAGCAGCCTTGACCCTGCAAACCCCGCCACCCTCTCACGCAAAGCAGGATCAGGGAAGGGCAGAGGTGCTGGTGGAGGGTGAGAAACTCAGTCCTGGTTCTATTGCATCCATAGAAGACCCAGTTCTTTGCAGACTCCTGGACTCTGGACACATTTTTTAAATGCACCTGAATATTCTTTTCTAAATGTCTTTTGTAATTTTATCTCCCGATGTCCTTTAGAACCTGGCCCCATGCCTCTTCCATTACTTTCTCTGATATAAAAATTGACTTGAGGCCAGTTGTGGTGAAAAAACACAGTTTGTGTAAAAAACCACAGCTAGCTCCTATACATCACAAGTGTTGCATGCTCACGAAGACCCTTTACAAACGGGTTTTGATGTCAGTCAGCTCACAGGAACCCCTTACACATGAGCTTTAATGTCAGTTGGCTCACAGGGACCCTTTACACATGGGCTTTCATGTCAGTTGATTCACGGGGACCCTTTACACACAGGTCATGTCAATATGAATGCAATAAAACTGGAAAAAGAGAAAAGAGAAGTGATGAAGACATTGGAGGCACAGAGCAGAGATGTGACAATTAACAAGTGACAAGGCCACAGCTATGAATAGGACGATAGAGAAGATAGTTCCAATCTCCAGGGAAGCTCTGACAGAAATGCTGACAGGGCGTCCTCACACAAATATGGATCAGCTCCCCTGTCAGTGGCTACATAATGCGTGACACATACCCCAAATAAGTCTATACAAACAAGCCCCCTAATGCAAAGCACAGCACCCCCACCATCGCCATGTAAAGCTATGTAAGCTCCCAATGTAGGGTACAACTCACATCAGCTCATTTTTAATAAGTGAGTTCATCAGTGTCAGGACAGAATGTTGGAAAGATAAGCTCAGAAAGTCTGATTTGTGCAATTTGGATGAAAGATGTGACCACAGGGGCCCCCTCCCCACTCCCCCAGGGATCTTTCTTGAGTAGATTGGAGAGATCTGTGCCCTGGATGGCAGGTGGATGATGCTTTGTAGGGCATGCTTTGAAACAGCCAACCTGACTGAAGCTCATGTGAAAAGAACCCTTGAGCCATTTGCTGTGGTAGAAACAAGCTCCCAATGCAAATAAGATGGAAAAGTCTATTCTGGAAATTGACATAACATTTTATTGCAAACACCTATGGTTCATTTATAAAAGTTATCTTAATAGGTCATGTAAACCCCTGCCCCCAGATGTGTTGACAAAAGTACCACTAATTTAGAACTTGAAATGCAACAAATATGAGAAATCAAGCCACCCAGAAAAAGATTGGTCGCCAAATAAAACATCATGAGGCTAAACAAAAATAATGTTTATTTGGGGGGAGGGATGGTGTTAGATTTGCAGATGGGGGGTTCACAAACTCGTTTCAACCCAAATTATGTTCCACTTGGGCCTCAGTGGCCCAAGAACAAGGATGGGGGTGGGGAGAATAAATTTTAAAAACCGGGATAGGTTATAAATTATATTTCTTACAGCTCATTGGCTTTTTCTCAAAATGGCCTTGGTTACCAGGGAAAAAGTGAAAAAGTGATCTTTGTACAGCTGAGAAGGATGGGTCTCTGTGGAAATCCATTCTTGCTGGGTGGTAATTAATTGGTTGTTTTAGAGGTTTAAGGGCCCTCCCTGGAGTGACTCTGTCTTATGACCTGACACTTTCTAGCTTGCTCCAGTGGTTTGGGGTCACCTGGACCTGGACCAATCCAGTCTGGGGAGGTTTTTAAATCTTTCTCCATCCCCTATGGCCTCCCTATTTGCACCTCCAGGACCAAAATATTTCACAGATTCCTGCTTCATTTTCCATGGCCACAGCAGGACATTGGAACCCTAGTGACTACGGAACCCAGTTCATCCTCCTGGGTTCATGCGGGGCCTCCTAGGGAAGTGCATCGTGGGTTAGACTGGACGGAAGTATCCTGGGTCACCAGGGTCTCTTGGTCACCCCACACAAGGACATCTAAGGATCCAGAGAGATGCGTCTTTCTAGATAGAGATCTGAGCAGGAAGCTCCTTCAGTATCACCATTAAGAGCCAGTTCTAGGTGCCTGATTTTCTGGGGGCAAGTTCCAGAGACGCTGATGCTGGACGGTGGGCGCGTGGGCCTGCAGTTGGATGCACTAGCGCTCTTTGAACCCGTGTGGTTGCAGGTCCCTGGATTCCTGGGGCCAGGAAGCCCAGGGAGCTGGGTCCCTCCTGGAGACTTCCTGGGGTCTCCCGGGCCTGCTGTTCCCGCCCCTGGGACACTGATGCTCTTTCTGGGTTCCCTGGAGCGCGCGAGATCGCCTCCGTGGGAGGCCTTTCCCGGCCTTTCTTGTCCCCAAGCCTCACCGGGGCTGGCGGTGTCGCCAGTGGGCTGGGCGATGTCGCCCCAAAGCCCCAAGGACGCCAGCGCTGGCGTCTACGCCGCATCGCCGCACCCCGGCATCCCGCATCCCGGCATCCCTGTATCCCGGCATCCCTGTATCCCCGCATCCCCGCGGCGCCTTGTGCCCGCGCCCGCCGCTCGGAGGCGCCCCGTGGCCCGCGGCCTCACGCAACAATGCAGCGCGCGGGTGCTCCGGCGGCCTCATTTGCATCGCGCCGCGCCGGGCCAATGGGCTTCGCCGGCCTCGCGCGCCGGGCCAATGGGCTTCGCCGACCGCACCGCGCCGGGCCAATGGGCTTCGCCGGCCGCGCGCGCCGGGCCCTCTGCGTGCGCGGGTGCGCGGTGACAGCGGCGCTGGCCGGGGAGGCCGGCGCGTAGCCCAGCGGCGCGCGGGGACCGGCCGCGGCGGGCCCGGCCCCGGCCCAGCCCAGCAGCCCAGCGCGGGCGGGCGGCGGCTCCGCGATGTCGGTGGCGGGGCTGAAGAAGCAGTTCCACAAAGCCAGCCAGGTGCGCGCGGGCGCGGCGGGGCAGCGGGCCTGGGCAGGGCGCCTCCATCCACCCACGCACCCACCCACCCGCCAGTCCATCCGTCCGTCCATCCGTCTGTCCCCCCATCCGTCGGTCCGCCTGCTCCCTTCGTCCACCCGTCCGCCCCTCCATCCACCCGTCCGTCCCTCCATCCATCCGCCCGGCCCTCCATCCATCCGTCCGTCTCTCCATCCATCCACCCCCGCCCTCAGGACCGGTTCCCGCACAGATGCGCGGTTCCCTGCGCGCCCCCACCGGAATGGACCCAGCGGGTCCGCGCCCCGCGCACCCACAGCGAACTCGGCTGCTGCGCGCCCGGGGCCGCGGGTCTGCAGGGGAGACGCAGACTGAGGAGTAAACAGGCTGTGTCTGGCTTGCCTCTTGCGCACCGGGGGTCCTGGACCACCAGGCGGGGGCGTGCTGGAAAGCTTCCTGGAGAAAAGCATACACCTGGGAAGGTTGTGGTGTGAGGAGGGGGAATTAGGTTTGGGGGGTGAGAGGACTGTGGCCCAGAAAAGAGGAAGACATGAAGCACATATTAGGCATGAAGTGTGTGTGTGTGTGTGCTCATGTGAGTGGAAAGCATAAGACCTGCATGTCTGTGTGCCTGTGTGTGCGCATGCGTGTGGAAAGCATGAAACGTGTGCATAACCGTGTGTGAGATTCCAGGATTGCTTCCAGTCCTGCAGAACCACCTCACGCCCACACCAATGTCTCCCTCCCTCCCTCTCTCCCTCTCTTCCCGGCACCCCCACTTTTGCCAGAATCAAAGTAGCTCAATTTTGGATGTCTCCACCCCCCCACCCCCTGCTTTGAATGCAGCTGTGACATGAGACTTCCCTTGGTCCCTGGACAAGGATGATGGGCTTCGGGATCCTTCTCACCCCCCTTCCCGGAGGAAATGGGATAGAAGATTTGCAGAGAGAGGTGCTATTCCTGGTGGCAGAGAGCCAGGAAGTGGTGGCTGTTGCTGTGATAAGTCTGGTGTGTGAAAGGTCAGGTGTAGTTGGCTCCAGTCAGACCCTGGGGGCTCGGGGTGTCAGATGGGGCTCTGGATGTTTGGGATGTCCAGCCTTAATATGGGTTTGGGAATAGAAGAGCAAGTGGGAGGGAGAAAATGCCCTGGGCTTAATATGGACTTCTGGGGGAAAGGGATGACATAGTGAGGGACAATCTTTTGGGGGAGGTTCTCGGCAAAGGTTCTCAGAGCTGTGTGGGAGGCAAGCACATTGCCCAGGGGTCCTGTTTAACCTGGTGTTTTATAAATATCTTCTCAAGAAGTGGAACTTGGGGGATCCCAGGTGGGAAGAAGGGGGGGGAGAGTTCAGGAGAGAGTTGTGGAAACTCCAGGAGGAACAGCTGTCCGCTAAGAATGGGGGCACCCCTGCCCACCGCCTGGGTCAGAAGTGCTGAGTATAGCCTGTTTGGTGACAGAGATCACAGACGCACATTTCACTGGTGTACCAGCTGAGGAATGTGGTCCCCTACTTCCCGCAGGGATCACAGCTGGTGTCAGCCTTGGGGAACCTGCCTGGTTAGTCTTGTCAGAGCATCCTTGCATCTCTTCCCTGCAAAGCTTGTATCTGTGCCCTCTCGATCTGTGCCCACTCAGCTTCTTAGAAACTTCACACGGCATTATGTGAACCAGATGGTACCCTTTGGAGTTGCTAGACATGCATATTTTATTTTAAAGAAATAGGGCATGTTCACTTTCCTTGTGGAGCTTGGGAGAGTCCTGAGGAAGGGAACATTAGCAGAAATTTCTACCCCCCACCCTCCATCCATGCAAACCCTTTTGGAGCCAGACTTCCAGTGTGGACTGTGACATCAGAGGTGCACAGCAAAGGTGCAGGCGCTGCTGAGTTTGTTTCATTTAGTCCCCACGGTGTAAAAAGCCTCAAAGGCTCAAGTGGATAAAATCAAACCCCCAAGAGACCTATTCTCTGATGAGGAGATGATTTTCCTGGCTTTGGAGGCCCTGTGGAGCTTGCAAGTGAGTGGGTGGTCCTCGGGTGGGGTTGCAGGGCTAGAGGCAGGACAGAGAGGGATCCCCAGTTCCCTGTATGCCATGGGACTGGCCCAGTCTCTGCATGAGGCAAAACTGCCTCCCCAAACCTGCACCAGGGTGGGAGGAGGTGGAATGAGACCCCAACAGGTCAGTAGGTATAGTCATGGCCTTATAGCTAGCAGGCATGGTCATGAAGCCACAGCTCAGCAGGTCCACACATGTCTTAGAGGGTGTGCCCATACAGCCATGGCTAAGTGAGATCCAGGTGTTGTCTCAGGTCTGAGAAGCCTGTCCTGTCAGCCTCAGTCTCCCCAGGGCTAGGTGAGGGGGCCCAGGGCTTCGAAGAGGGGAGCTGGAGGCAGGGAAGTGGGATGCTTGTGCCTGTTCATGTGTGTGCCGTCACCCCCGTCTCCACCTCGGTACAGCCATTCCGTCAGGCGGCTGCGCCTGGAGCCGAAGGCCTCCTTCCATATAGAATTGCAGAATAGCTTCACATATGAATAAAACGGCTTTGTTCATGGAGGAGAGAAGCGCCTCCTTGTTCTTTGGCCATGTGAATTTTAAATTAAGCGGTGGCCCGAGAGAGTGCATCTCTCAGGGAGAAACTTTGCTATCTGGCCAATGGTTTGAGCTGTTGCTGGTCTGCTGGCCAGCACCGCCAGGGCCCTGCCACTCGGTGATGAAGCAAGAGACGCCGGGGGGTACCAATACCAGCACCACACAGCCTGTCATATAGTTCTTACCATACTCATTTTCCTCTTTGGATGGGGAGGATGTAGGTTACATGTGGCAGTGCTCAGGGCTTACTCCTGACTCTGTGCTCAAGTGCCAGGGATCAAACCCAGATCGGCCACAGGCGCAGCAAGCACCTTACCTGTGATACCATCTCTCCAGCCCTGGTTTTATGAGTTCTGTTTCGATTCTTCTGTCCCTTCTAGGACTTGAAACTGTTTACAAGAAATTTTTGAAACTGGAATGTCTACCAGAAACATGGGTCATGATCAGGGAAAATAGAAATAGGTCATAAAGTGAAGGCTGGAGGTCTGTGAGGGTTTATGTACATGAGAATATAGATGGCAGCTGCAGAAGCTGCAGAACTTCTGGGCCCGTGAGGGTCTGTAACCTTCTGGCTGACTCGAGGCTGGAGTGCAGTCCCCGAGTCTGGCTGTGCACGCACAAACCACCCATGGAATCTCTGTATTTGTCTCTGTAGCTGTTCAGTGAGAAGATAACCGGCATCGAAGGAACCAAACTAGATGATGAATTTCTTGACATGGAAAGGGTAAGAATGTATTTCTGTGTCAGTTTTTATGGCAAAGCTATGAAAATGTGGGGAGCAAGTATAGTCCCTTGGAGGGTTCCCATCTCTAGACCTTACCCAGATCCTGAACTGTAGCACCACCGTGGCCCAGCTGACCATCACCCTGCCCCTAGATAGATGACTTTTTATTGCATAAAATATTATTGACACCCTTGACTAGATTGTGTTCTTCAAATTGAGAATCTGGTTCTGGATGTTTTGTAATTAAAGAATATATAAAATCGTAGCACTGTAGCACTGTCCTCCCGTTGTTCATCGATTTGCTCGAGCGGGCCCAGTAATGTCATAAGAGAATTTCTTCTGTCTAAACCTGTGAGATGGGGCTGAATCTTAAATACATTTAGTGAAAGAATAATCCTGGTGGAAAAGGAAGAACTTGTTCAAGTGAGGAATCTGGGAGAAGAGCAAGTGAAATCCCAAGGTAGGAGTAGGGAATCAATACAGATACAGGAAAGTTTAATAAAATAAAAGATAATGAAAAGCAGAATGAAATAAAACCAAGACAATTGTTTCTTTGTAAGTTTCCCTCTACCACAGTTAACATAGAGAAAGAGAGACAGGCAGACAGACAAAGAAATACTCAGAGAGTGACAGAGATTGAGAAAGAGAGACAGAGACACAGAGAGAGACACAGAGAGTGAGAGACAGAGAGAGAGAGAAGGGGGGGATCTGTTGGGTCTTATGAGAGGATTGAAGCTCAGCAACCAGGTTCCCTGTGTCGGTGTGAAAGAACCACACTTGGCTTTTGACTGCTGTTACAGGGGCTCAGGCTTTGGGGGCTCAGGGACATGTGCCAGCATTAGGGGGAAGCACAGTTTCATCAGTGAACACAGCAACCTTGTAATAGGTTGACAACATAACAGCTTTCCTTCCTCTTTCTTCTTTTCCTCTGATGGTTTGCTAAGAAGTGTGCATTGCATTTGTTGACAGAAACATTCATACATACACCCCTCCACATATGTACTCACCCATACTCCCTCATACACACATATGCACCCACCCGCACATATATACTCACACACACATATATACACATACACTTACCTATACACACTCATACTCATACATGTACACACACTTACACATTCACACATGTACACACTAGTATACATAACTCACCCCACACACTCACATGCACACACACACTTACACATGCACACACACATTCACACTTATATACATAACTTGCCCCCACACACTCACTCATACTCATACATGTGCATACATATCCACTCACATTCACTTACAAATGCACAGCAGGAATGGAAGGTTTGGGGTTTGAACCACACGAGTTGTGTAGTCTGCCATATACTAAAACTGCCTGCCTGGGGCCTGTGCTTCCACTTTAATTTGGAAAGGGGATCCCGAGCTGTCACAGGACCTGGAAGGTTGTGAGTGTCCCTCTCTTGGACATTTTACCCTCCAGAGATCTAGAAGGGTCTAAAGAGGCCAGCAGCCTCCTCTGGTCCTCAACCTTCAGAGGTGATGACTGTGAGCAGGAGAGGCCAAGACTGATCTAGGATTTGAGTGGTTCAGTGGTCCAGCATCTTGGAATGAAGTGTCTGGGTTCTCTGAATAGCACCTTCATGTGCAGCTTGATGGGGAAATTAGTCGAGTTCTACTCGGATAGGGGGTGATGTTCCCAAATAAAAAGTGGTAACCCCCATACAGAGAAATTCCTTCATGTTATCACCATTCTAGCAGTGCTAGCAGTCTGGAATTAGGAAGACTGTTTCTGCAAACTCGCAGCATTTGTGACTGCTTGACATTCCTACGTGTTTCTCTTTAAGAAAATAGATGTCACCAATAAAGCTGTCACAGAACTGATTTCAAAAGCCACAGAATATCTCCAGCCAAATCCAGGTAAAGTCACAGAATGTCCCTTAAAACCATGCTCACTGTCTGCCAGACACCCTAAGTTTACGTGGTTGGGCTCAGCTCCATTTAGAGACTTCGACCTCGGGGAGGGGCAGGGGTGGGGGGCCAAGATTCGGAAATTTTCTTGGCCTTGCCTGGGGCTTCTGACCTGGCTGAGGATATGCCAGTGTTCCTCGCTCAGCCTTGCCCTTGCTCTCTGCTTACTGTAAAGTTTTTGCTCCACGTGTGAGCCTGGAAGGGCTTTCACCCAGCCCAAGGGGTGCTGAGGATGTGGAGGGAAAGGAAGTCAAACAAAGCAGAGGCCTGTTCCAACCCCTTAAGCAGGGTCCCCCATGAGTGGTCCTGCCTTGTACACTGATTAGCACCAGAGGGCGCCCGAGCCTGATGCTGGTTGGCGTCTGAGTCAGCCTTTGCTCTCAGAATTTTTGATCTGCCTATTGTCACCGTCACCCTGCAAATGTCCAGAGCTAAAACCCCAAACTGAGACTCTCCTGAGAGAGCACAAGTTTGGGCGAGAGCACTGCAGAGTAGGGCAGAAGAGTCCATAGGAATAAAGAGCTCTGGCTCACTCTTCAAGCCCGTGGTCGCCCTCGGACACAGATCTCACTGCTTGTCTGCTTTGTCTGCTTGTTTATTTCCACTCTGGAGAAGCCTGTGTTCTCTCTTGAACATGGACTTCTCCCTTCACATCTTTCAAATAAGTCTCAATAAAAACTTTTTTTTTTAAATGAGAGTTTTGGGGTTGGAGGATTTCGGGCTGGTGTGCCTCCTCCCCAATATGGTTTTGTGTCTTTTGTTGTTCACTTGGTTTTGGGGACCTCACCTGGCAGTGTTCAGGGATCATTCCTGGTGGTGCACAGGGATCCGTATAGCATGCCAGAGATCGAACCTCGGTCAGCCATGTGCCTTAGACAGTCCAATGGGGAAAGCACTTTTCTGCTCCATGGGCCCAGGGAGGTGGCTTTATTGTGGGTCTCCTGTGGATCCCTAGAGTGGGTGAACTTGGAGAATGTGGGTAGCTTTCCTGCTGGGAGTCGGGGGTGCTGAGGAGGGCCCTGTTCAGGGGGCACCTGCCATCCTGGAGCTCACGACTGTCTTTTCCGGCCCCTTGTCCTGCCCCACTGGGCCACTGAATAATCTTTCCCTTAGTCCTGACACCCTGTCTGGGGTTGCTGGTGGTGGGCCTGGGCAAGAGGATTCCCAAATGTGCCATCCTATCCATTCCATCGTGATACCCCAGTGCCTGGTGGCACCATCCTGAGGGAGGGCTGGAACCTGGGGCCAGAGCTCAAGTGGTGGGGCCCAGGCTGGCATGTGCGAGACCCTGCGTTTGATCCCGGCACCACATGTGTGACCTGGAAGGCCCTCTGACACTGCAGGGCCCAGGCCCCAAACTGTCATGTCTGTGTAATGTCAGACTGTGTCACGGAAGGGGCCCCTGAGGCAGTCCAGGGCCAGAGACAGTGCAGGGGTGAAGGTGGCACCTCACACACGCAGCCCAGGTTCAATACCTGGCACCGCCTCGGGTAGGGGGACCCACATTTGCCAGGCGTGCAGGCTTCCGAGTGTTCGTGTCCTTAGCTTACAGAGCAAAGCTGGGTATGCTCAGCACCGTGTCGAAGTTCCGAGGCCAGGTGAAGAGCACCGGCTACCCGCAGACCGAGGGGCTCCTGGGCGACTGTATGCTCAAATATGGCCACGAGCTCGGGGACGACTCCTCCTTTGGTGAGTGCCCAGGGATGGAAGCGGAAGTGAGGCATCCTTTTTAGAGGAAGATCAAATAATTCCCTCTACACTAGTGTTACCCCCTAGACTCCACCCTTCATGGAGGGCCCTGCAGGAGTCCTGGGTGTAGGGGGTGGGAGGCTGTCCCTGTGGGTTGGTGTGAATCACCAGGATAGAACTGCCCATGGCCTGTTTCACAAAACTTGCCCCTCTGTGATATGTGGCCATATGGTCTCTCCATGACACATGGCCCTCTGTGACACATAGCTGTGTGGCCCCACTGTGGCATATGGCTGTGTGATTCCTCCATACTTGTGATTGTGTAGCTACTCATGACTCGTGGCTGTGTGGCCCCTTCCCTACACATGGCTCCAGGACCCCTCTATGACCCGTGGCCTTGTGGGCCCTCTATGACTTATGGCTAGGTGATTGTGCATCAGGAAATGGCTTGTGCAACCCTGCAGGAATGATTCTGTTAGCCATGGGGGTGACTGTGTGGTCTTTGGGGTACCTTGAGAAATTGGAGTAGAAATGTCTCTGCCAGGACTACATTTACTGGCCCCTGGAGTAGCCTGCTCTTACTGGTGCTTTTCTCTGGCCACTCTGTCAGGCTCCCTTTGACGCCTGCAGGGAGGGATCTAATGGCCAGCTAAGGGGTTTGGGCGTGGCCTGCACAGATGTGGTGGCTGCTGGCTGAGAAGAGGTTTTGTTCCCTAACTTTGCTGCAATCCTTACTGGTTACTGCTCAGCTCCTGACACATGTCCTTCTGTTGTTTACTCTGTTGTTTACAAACAACAGTTCTTCTGTTTACAAAGAGGGGTGTTGTTTTCCCCTCTCCGAGAGGCTCCGTGCCTGGCCCCCGCCTCGGGAAAAGAGCTTTACCTCCATCTGGTAGTGGCTTGGACCTCTGTGTACCCTGGCTGCCTTTTCTTTGAGTCCAAAAGTGCAGAACCCGGAGATGCAGGTGGAAGCTGACATTCCTCTAGGCTTTTGACAAAGGGAGTGAGGAGTAGAAAGTTTTGGAGTGAGGGGCCTGCCTTCCTCCACAAAATGCAACGTTTTTTTTAAGAATCCAGGAATGGTCTTTGTTAACTGAGTGCTCTTGGATCAGGAACCCTTTTCATTCCCATTTTCTGTTTAAGGCAACGCCTTGATAGATGTTGGGGAATCTCTGAAGCTCATGGCTGATGTGAAGGACTCTCTAGATATCACCGTAAAGCAAACGTTTATTGATCCACTTCAGTTACTGCAGGACAAAGATTTAAAAGAGATTGGGGTAAGCCCTTACCACTGCCTGCCTCTCCTTATGGTGACGTCAGTATTTAAGACCACTGGACTATGTCATGCAGATGTGGGGAAAGCTTGGTCCTGTGGGGCCCCGGCTTACTGGGAAGGAGACACAGGAGCAGTTCTTCTGATATGTTATTAGTTATGAATTCAGTTCTGTTCTCCCTGAAGCCAGCCAGAAGCCAAACGTGCACTTGATCTGGCCAGTGGGGTAGCTAGCAGCAAAAACAAATGTGGATCCTGGTGATGAATGTGAGAAATGTCTGAAATCCCTCCATTTTTTTATTCACATGCATTTATTTCTACATATCGTTGTGCCTCAGTTGTTGTTGGGCACAGGCTACCAGCCTGTATATGTAAACTGTGTCTGCATGCAGCTTAGTAAATCCATCTCTGCCACCCACCCACTAGCCACTTGTCTGTCCATCTACCTATGTCATCATCATCTACTTGGATGTCCAGCCACCAACATACCCACCTGCTTATCCGTTCATCTACGAGCCATCCATACACACCCACATATGTATCCAAACACCTACCAATCCATGCACTTTTATACTTCAACATCCATCTACCTATTCATCCATCACATTCATCCATTCTTCCATTCATCTGTCCATACATCTGTCCTTCTGCCCACCCAGTCACCTGTCCAACCATCCATCTACTACCAACCTATTTATCCACCCATCAATCCATCCATCCATACACCCATCCATACACCCATACATACATACATACACCCATCCATCCACCTACCCATATACCCATCCATCTATCCATCCATCCATCCATCCGTTCTCCCACCCAGCCACCCATCCATCCATCCATCCATCCATCCAGTCATACCCCCATCCATCCACCTACCCATATACCCATCCATCTATCCATCCATCCACCCATCCGTTCTCCCACCCAGACACCCATCCATCCATCCATCCATCCATCCATCCATCCATCCATCCACCCACCCACCCATCCACCCATTCGTTCTCCCACCCAGACACCCACCCAGACACCCATCCATCCATCCATCCATCCATCCATCCATCCATCCATCCACCCATCCATTCAGCCACCCAGACACCCATCCATCTACCCACCCATACACCCATCCATCCATCCATCCATCCATTTACCTACCCAGACACCCATCCATCCATCCACCCATTCATCCACTCACCCACACCCATCCATCCATCTGTTCATCCATCCACCCACCCATCCATCCAACCACCTATTCATTCTCCCACCTAGAACCCATCCATCCATCCATCCACCCATCCATTCACCCACCCATACACCCATACATCTATCCACCCATCTGTCCATCCACCCTTCCACTTGTCCATCTATCACCCACCTGTCCATACATCATACACTTGTCTATCATCTACCAATCCACCCACCCATACACTCATCCACCCATCTATACCCCACCCATCCATCCACTCACCCTTCCTCCCATTCATCCATCCATCCACCCATCCCATGATATTCCTTGAGGATTGGCAGTGAAGGGAACTTGTAACAAATGGCAAGATACCAAAGCCATGTGAAATGGACACCTGTCCACTACGGTTTAAACTGTGAGGAAGCATTGGTTGTTTGTATGGAAGCAGGATTCTCGGTGTTTTTCCAGTGTGACACTCTGTCATTTTTTAGCACCACCTGAGAAAGCTGGAAGGCCGCCGCCTGGATTATGATTATAAAAAGAAGCGGGTAGGTAAGATACCAGATGAAGAAATCAGACAAGCGGTAGAAAAATTTGAAGAGTCAAAGGAGTTGGCCGAAAGAAGCATGTTTAATTTTTTAGAAAACGATGTAAGTATTTTGATCCCACGGAGATCTTAATGTGAATAAAAACTTTGACTCCCTGACTAGGAATTCCTTCTTGGGAAGCGCTTGAGCCACAGTGACTGGAGTTTCCAGAACTTCCTGTAGTCAGTGTTTCCTGCCCTAGGGATGGCCTCATGCTAGGCAGATTCTGGGAAGGGCGACAGGATCCAGGGGGTTCTTCAGAGCTGCTTGTGTCCGGGGGCGTGGGGGGGTTGTAGAGGTAGGGAAAAGGGGGGAGTCTTAGGGAAATGATGGCAGCTGAGGCCTTGGAGTAGGAAGTCAGTGTCCATGATGCAGAAGACGAAGGCCTGTGGCCATTTGTGTTTCCATCAGGAGTGTGGAAAACGCTAAGCCTGTGTCTTGGTGTTTGAGCCTCCTGCCTTGGCTGCAAGACCTCACTCTGACGAGGAGGCTTGGACTCAGACATGGCCTCAGAAAGGCCAGTCGTGCTGGGGTCTCTGCTACTAGCCTGTGTTTTCTTTGTCCGAGGGGAGTCAGATTCTGGGGTGCTGCAGGGAAAGAGCCTCCCTTTGGGCCCTGGGAAGGCTGAAGGCATCTCTTCTGTTTCAGGAATGAGCAGTCTTAGGCATATCCCACAGCTCGTGTGCAAGAGCCGACCACCCTGGGGGGGCCCTCCCTGCCCCACCTTCCCTGGTGCTGCTGCCAGCACTGACACTGCTCTTGCCCTGCTCCCATGATGGACCCATTTTCGTCTGTGCCACAGGTAGAACAAGTCAGCCAGCTGGCCGTGTTCATCGAGGCCGCACTCGACTACCATAGGCAGACGTCCGAGGTGCTGCAGGAGCTCCAGGACAAGCTGCAGCTCCGGTGAGCCCCGCGTCCGCCTTTGCCTCACCCCTGCCGCCCCTGCCTCTCCCCCTTCTCTTCTGAAATTTCTCAAGCTGGCTCTTGTGACTGGGCAGGAGTGCACTATAAAACGTAAAGACATGGCTTTGGTCGACGGAGCAGACCCGGGACCTGGCAGTGTCTCCTCTGCTGTGATTAGTCTTCAGGGTTCCCCAGCGGAGATGCTCCCTCCCTGGAGAAGCAGCAGGACTTCCCATTTGCAGACTTGGACTGATAAAGGAGTGTACCCGCCCAACCTCTAGCATGAGGAGGGGTACAAGGATGTTCGGGAAGTGAGCCAGGATCTAGACACGTTGTGGGGGGCGTGTTCCTCCTCCTCTGGGGAGTCCTGATGTGGCCTCAGATTCTGCATGAGGAGGGGAGGAGGGAGATGCAGACATGTCCAAGATCTGGTGCCCTCCTGCCTTGTGCTGATGACTAGGAGAGGCACCAGTTGTCGGAGAGCAGGAGCCCACTGGTTCCCTGCACCTGCCCTGCCCAGACAGCTCCTCCTGCATGTGGAGCCCCAGGTGCTGGACCATCACCTTATCCTGACCAGTTCTCTCTCCTGCAGGATACTGGCCGCCTCGAATGTGCCCCGTCGGGAGTACAAGCCCCAGCCCATCAAGAGGACATTGAGTGAGCTCAATGGGCTTCCCATGTCATCCTCTACCAAGACCACAGGTGAGACAGAGCCCCTCCTGCCCTCTGGCCCTGGGCTGTGCCTCCCTCTCCCCCACCAGCACCCTCTTCCCTGTGGCCTGCTTTATGTACCCATGGTCCGTGCTGGAAATGGAACTGTGGAAGAATCCCCCCCAACTGCTCCTCGGCCATTCCTGCTGCTTGTGTGTGAAACCATATGGGACAAGGCGGAAATTCTGCCTTGAGATTTGGCTCCTTCAGAAGGTCTCACTGTCTCCCCTGGTTTCCCGGTGGTGGAACTAACTGGTGTGGTGGTATCCTGAGTCCCTTTGTTGGGATATGCCCCCTCTGGCTGGTCTAGCCCCAGGAGGTAGCTGCTTGCAGGACAGTCATCAGAGGTACAGGATCTACACACAGTGCTTGGGACAGTGGCTCTGACCTCATACCTGGCTCCCCATGGCTGTAAGCCCAGTGGGGCCTTCCCTGTTTCTGGGGCCCCGTCCACAGACAGGGCCTCTGGGTGTGTGTAAGGAAGTGTGGGTTCTGGGTTGATGCCCTGTGAGTCCATGGCCTGGTCTCAGTCCTTTCAAGCCGGCAGTCAGGGGAAACGACGCCCCAGTGGGTGTGAATGGCTCGCACAGCTTGTTTAAAAAGTCCAGGAAAAATGTCAAGCATTTCACTAACAATTTAAAGCAAAGATCTCTGGCTGCTGCCAGCGACAGATTCCAAGAACATTTTCCTCATCATTTCTTGTCCCGAAAGGAAGCAAACAGGGGAGATGAGGGAGGTGGGTCTGAGGCTGAGGGCCCAGTGGGAAGAGCTGGAACATGCATAGCAGGCCTCCTTGGTCCTGGATGGAACGCCAGGGACCGGGGCCAGGGCTGGAGAGTTGTGCCTTGAGATGATGGCTGTGCACAGCTCTGAGGGTCAGTCCTGGCTGGAACCATGGCCACCTGGCCTAGCGCCGAGTGGGGGCTGCCTTGCCTGAGCCCATGTCCCTGGAGAGCAGAGGCAGCCAGGAACGTCCTTGGACCAAGAGCCTGCATGGGCAGTTCCCAGAAGAAAGAGTAGAGCAGTTTGTGGTCCACGAGCACAGACCTTCCGGTGAGTCCGACACTGGCACACAGCAGACACTGCCTTGCTCACACCGCCTGGCGTTGGCAGACCTGTTCCCACTGGGCATCTCAGGGAGGACGCTTCTTTGTATCATCCCTGCCAAGGGCAGCTTTGCAGGGTGAGGCTGAGGTCAGTTGCTGAAGCCATGTCGCCCCTGGATGTGGTCAGGCTGTAGGCTTTGCCCTGGACTCCACACCCCTCCTGTGCAAGAGGCTTATGCTGCCTCCTGCTGCTGTGGTGTCTGAGCTGACTGTCTTGGCTGATTCGCACACATGCCTTTACCTGGATGGAGAGTGTGGCATTTGGAGTGGATGAGCACAGGACAAGCAGAAACCCACACATTTGAGCCTGCATTTCTGGTGGGCATGCAAGCAGTGATGGGGGCTCCCTTAGTGGTCTGCCACCTCCTTCCTTCCTGCTCCTTGGCACCCAGCCAGCCTCACCTGCACTCTTTCGAGAAAGGAACCTCGAGGACTCCCAGAGGAGACTCCCAGTGCCCCTAGGTGCCAGTACCTGAGTGTGGAGTGGCCCAGTTCAGGCTGTGTTTCCAAAGCTTCTGGACTGACTGGACTCAGTGATGAAATGAAGTGATTGAATGTGGCCCATGGCAGGTTGTCTCTCAGCCACTGCGGCACACTCGTCCCTCAAAGACACAGGCACAGGTGGTATGTGTCCCATCTCCTGCACATAGAACTATTGTTTTCTGAGAAGAGCCTTGAAGCATGCATGTTGATGGTGGGTGTGGGTCGGCAGGGAAGGGTCCTTCCCAACTTCCCAGTGGAGTGAGCTTTCAAGGGTGCAGGGAATGGACTCCAGTAACTGCTCTGAAAAGCTGCAAGAGGGGACTTTCTTGGTTGGTCTCCATGGGGCCAGAGCACGGAGATCTCAGCTCTGCAGTTTGGAATGTTGACACATGCTCCACCATGGAGGTGTTGCGTCTTGGTGCTGACTGCGTTGTGCCTCGATGCTGCTGAACCATTGCATGTTCCAGGACAGAGACCCAAGTCCTTGTTTCTGGGGATAGTGCCTGGGACATCCCACAATTGTTCTTGGAGTGTGACCTCTGGTGCCCCAGCAGGAAGCCCAGAGGGAGTGTCAGGGCAGACTGGTGCTGAGAGCCTCAAGTGAGCATGAATGAGCTCACACCCAGCAGAAGTCACCAGAGATGGAATTAACTCCAGTGCGAGTTACCTGGCGGTGGGGGTCACCTGCAGCCTTCCTCTTTGAACACCCCTGAACCTCAGGCTCCTCCCCAGGAGGGAGCCTTGGGGCCTGTCCTTGGCCCATGTGGCCCCGTGGCCTTTTGGCGGGGCCTGGTTAACGCTGCCCCTTGATTGATCCCCAGCCTACAGCAGACTACAGGCCTCAGACTAGGAGGCCAGGAGCCGGCCTCGCCCGCAGGGAGGCAGAATCCAGCTAGACAGCAGGAGCGAACGCACGGGCGCAGCTGGGGAGTGTAGGGAGACGAGACCGTCCACAGGTCAGTGCCCCTGGGATTCAGAGCTGGGACCCCAAGATGCGTGGACGCAACTCCCTGCCCCGCAGGGGCCTCTCCAGCTCCCCCCAACCCCAGGACTCAGTGTGTGTATTGCTGGGGAGGGAGGTATTTCCGAAGGATGCTCTGATCGAATGCTTCCAAGGACCAAGATCCCCATGTTGGAGCCTGCAGAGAGGGAGGCTCCCTGGGGGTTTAGCATCAGCTTATCTGCCCTGATGAGCTCCGGGGCTACCCCACTGACCACCTTCCCCCAGGGTTGGACATACCCCTCTCCTGTTCCCCTCCCCTATCCCCCGCCCCCCAAACCCACTCTGGGCTCCAGAGCCTGTGCATCAATCACCCATTCGTTTTGGATATTTAATTTTTTTTGCTGAGCTTTGAAGCAGGAGCTCAGGGCAGCAAAGCCTGGGGTTCGGGCATGGTAAAGGGAACTCAGGAGTGGGGGTTAGCCCCCAGAGGGAGTCGCACCCTGTGCAGGACCCTGGGCGCCTCAACCCTGTATCACCCTATTTCTTGACTGACACTAGCTCAGATATTAGGGGCCTCCACCCTGAGCTGGCAGGCTTCACGGCATGCACAGGCTCACCTAGATGGACTGTGAGTCTTGGTATTGTTGCTTGATTGCTCTGAACCATGTCCTCTGCCTCAGTTTCCCCAGCCATCAGTAGGAAGGAACGATGACATTTAGCCACTCCCCTGAAGATGACAGAAGTGAGGGAATGCAGACTTGGGAGGAGGGAGGTTCATCGTGGAAGGAGACTCCCAGAGGCTTGGCTCTCAAATGGGTGCTGAGATGTGGGTACAGGGTCTGGACTGGTTCAGAAATGTTTCTTTTTGCTGGTGCCACAAGTGGCCGGGTATCGGAAGCCTCATGGAAAGGGTCTAGGATTGTGGTACAGGAAGATGCGTCCCCAAGAGGGCGGCTGTGACCCCAGGGGAAATTCCTTTGGTGCACCTGGAAATGGAACTTTTTTAAGGAAGATATAGGAAGTTCCCACCCCCATTCCACTTGCCCCTGAGGCAGCTGCTGCTGAGCTGGATCCTTGTAGCACCCCCCATCCCCCACCCCAGGGGTAAACTCCAATTTAGGCAGCACTGAGAAAAAACAGCCTCAGTTTTCCCATGCCTCAGCCTACGACAGACAGCCGTAGTGTCACGAGTTCTCTGGGTCCCCACCTCCTGCCACCCTGCTCATCTTTCCTGTTCACTGTCTCAGTGTCACTGTGAAAAATAGCAATTTAGAGATGTTATCCTGACACCTTCCTCTTGGTTCAGTAGGTCCCGCGGGGCCTTCCAGGGGTCACCCCCCCCGGAAAGACACCCCTACCCACAGGACTGCAGTGCCCACTTGGTACCCACCTGCTCACTGCTCACCTGACCCCTTTCTCAGTGTGCCCGCACTCTGTCTGTGAGCACAAACGGGGCTGGGATTGAGCTCATGACTCCTCATTTGGGGGCTCCAGGCAGAGCTGAGTAGGGACAGGGTGGGGAGGGCAGAGCCCTCATGCAGGCAGCTGCCCTATGCTGTCTCCCCCTGTCCCCCACTGCCCATGTCTCTGCTCCTTGGCTCACTGTCCCTGTGGTCTCTGTCTCCATGTGACCTGGCAGGTTCGAGCGCTGCCCCGGACCAACCCTGCTGTCGGGGCCTCTATGACTTCGAGCCCGAGAACCAAGGCGAGCTGGGCTTCAAGGAAGGGGATGTGATCACCCTGACCAGTCAGATCGATGAGAACTGGTATGAGGGCGTCATCCGAGGGGAGTCCGGCTTCTTCCCCATTAACTATGTGCAAGTGATTGTGCCTTTACCTCAGTAAACAAACCTGTGACTCAGCCCACGCCTCCTGATGCCGTGAGTCCCTTTGCTCTGTCCCCATGCCTCTGCATCCCTGCGCCCCTGCTCTCCGCCCGCCGTGACGTTTTGTAAGTGCTCTCTCTTTATAACGGATTTTGTATCCACTTACTTTGTATACATGATCTTCCTGTAATAGCCACCTCAAAGTAGAGTTTTCTGTGTTCTGCTGGCTGTTCAGCACATCCTCGGTGGAGCTCAGGACATAGCCTACAAGGCCCGAGTAGTGCCTGCAGTGACCAGTGGGACGCGCTAGGCCTGCCCTTGGACCTTGCTGTGGGCCTCTACTCCATGTTCTTCCTTGAGCTTCTGCCGGCCCAAGAGCGCTTAATAAACGTGAGCACTGTGTTGGCAAGAGGCCATCGTGGTTCTTTCTGTCCACGTGACTCTCAGGTTGCACCTCTCCCCTGTGGTTGTGACCACATGGGAACTTGCCGGTGTGGTGCCTCTGAGACCTTGCTGGCTTCCCTCCTATCCAGAGTCAAACCCCCTCCCCTGCACTTGGAGGTACCCCAGGGGACCCCAATTCTGCAGCCACCTGTGTATTAGGTCTTTCTAGCAGACCCTGCTGTGTGCTCTGGACGGGGCATGCGGGGGAGCTAGGGAAACTGGCTGCCCGGGAACGGGGTTGGCAGGTTTGCTGCCTTCTCTGGGTCACTCATGTGCACCTGCCTGCACTGGGCAGCCCAGAACATCCTGAAAGGGTGGAAGGACATGGCACTTTGGGCTCCCTGCGCCCCTGCCAGCCCCCACTGTCAGCTCATGTGGGCCTTGTGCTGCTGCTGGCTCCCATGGGACATGGCCCACAGTCCAGAGGCTGATTGGAACGTTTGATTCTGGGGAATGGGGGTGGCTGAGATGCATCCTCATGTGCCCACTGGGCCTGATGGTTCTGCTCCTGTCTCTCACCACTGGCCCAGCGGCTCAGCAGCTTATTCATTGGTCTCCTTGGACTCCTCCTTGGCACTCATGGGTGGGAACTCGGTGTGAGCTGCAACCCCACTGGAAAGACCCTGGAGTTGGTGCGGAAGAGGCAACTGTGGGGACTCAGAGCTCTTTGTCCTCCCTCACATACACATATCATCCAGTCCTCACCAGGACTTCCTGCTCCCCAAAGCTGTGTTCAAAGTGGCTGCCCCTGATGCCCCCTCCTCCTGGCCACCGCCTACACTACTCGTTCTTCCTAGCCTTTTCTCCTCAAGCCATGGCACACGACTTCTCCGGAGACATCTGGAGCCATGAGAGAAAGCCCCACTCTGAAGGCAGAAGGGCACCTGGCAAGATCATGCTGCCTGGAACCCGTCCACGTCTTTCTCCAGAGGCTCTGCTGACCTTGCGGACATCCCAGACACGTCCACTGCACACTGCTCTGTCCTCTCCCTGGGGGCCACCATGCTAGACCCTTGGCCTCTTCTGTGGCCCCACTGGGGGGCTGGCTTCTTCCCCCTCTCCAGCACTGGTGCTGAATTTCCTGTCTTCTCCACTGGTCGTGTTCCATGAGGATGGGCGTTTTCAGTAAAATGTCACCTTCTGGAATGAGATGGGTCTTACCTGGCCGGGTTTTCATATCAGTAAGTTGGGTTTGCTTCTTTTAAAGTTCTTTTTCCAGCTTCATTATTTTTGCTTTGCAGAACATTGAACATTTTGTTCTCAATCCTGGCCCTCAACCCAATCCATGAATTTGGGGCTCTTTGCTGCCTGGAGTTTTTCAGTTTCCCTCTTAGTTTCAACATTGAGAAGACACAGCCTGAATCCAGCACATGGAAGTAGTAACCATGTCACGCTGCTCTACTTTGTGGGTAAACTGAGCCTGGGCTTCACCTGATGTGGTACTGACTTGGCCCACCTGGTGAGGCACTCGGGAGAGATTAAAAATGGCTCCTCAAAGGTGCCAGTTTTGTTGTGACTTTTTCACAACAAAAGCAGGGCATGGGGGGAGCTTACGTCAATGATGTGCCTTGGTCACGTCATGCTGGGCTGTCTATGTGGATGGTGGGTGAGGAGGCCATGTTTTCCCTGACTATCAACTCACATGGCCTCGAGTGCTGACCAAGCTTGACTTATCTTCTTGAGGTAACCCCTTCTGTAGGGGGGGGCAGGGGAAACACTCCAAGATCTCCTGCCTCTCCCCATCCCCGTACCCTGACACCTGTGTCCTGACCACCTGTTTTCTTAGCTGCTCATTCCCCCAAGCTGTCTCTCTCCTTGTGCCTGGAATCTCCCCAACCAGGGGCAGGGCTGAGCGTGGCAGAGTGGGTTCTCCCAGGCCACTGCTCTGTCCAGGACTCCAGGAGGCACTCAGTGTGCCTCGAAGGAGTGTAGCCCCCCAGTCTGGCTGCCTGGAGCCTTCCCCATAGCCACTTCCATCTCCCCCCATACCCCAGATATATTAGCCATTCAGTTGAAGTAGTGAAGTCCAAGTCCAGGACTAATAACAGATGCCTGCTGTCCAGAAAGCAGAACTTGGGGAGGCTGAGGTTCTGACAGCAGGAAGGTTCTGGCAATCCATAAGAGTCCTACCAAGAGTGATCCCCAAGCACAGAGCCAGAAGTAAGTTCTAAGCTCCAGTGTGGACCCCAAACAAAGCAAGAAAAGCAGAGCTCGGAGGAGTCTCCAGGTACTTAGTGGGGGATGGGGTGGGGAAAGGAGGCACCAGAATCCTCTGGGTTCACAAATAGCCTCTAGGAGCTGCTTGGGGCAGAGGGAGAGGGAGCAGCCCCTTATGCCATCAGCCGGTGGGTGCTGATGAGAAGGTGAATTCAGCAGCCCCCAGAGGGCCCACAGGAGGCAGAATCAAAGTTTGGCAGAGGTGGTGCTGTCTGCCGGATGCCGAAAGACGTGGGTTGCTGAATTGGAACCTTCATCTCTGGCCTTCACGCGTTTTCCGCTTTGTCTGGAATGCTGACTTCACACCCAGACCTGCTCATGAATAATTCCTGCCCAGAACTATTTCTGTGGAGGAATGTGTGGGAATGCCAGGCTAGATAGAACCTCTTCCTCAGGGTTATGAAAGCTGGAATGATCCCCCCGAAATTGCCTTTTCCACTGTCACCTATGAGTGAGAGGTAATTTATGTTGCCCTAGACCTGATTTTCCATATCAGGCAGACGTGTTTACATACACAGAGTGTCATATCTGTCTGTGGGATGGCCAGCATGTTCAGATGGTTCTGAATTCCTGAAACTGAACTGTTTTCCAACCTATTTCTCTCACTGAGAGCATTCTGGGAAAGATAAAGATCTGGACAAGGAACAGATGACCGATCAGTACTTTTCTGTAGACGTCACCGACACTTTTCATCGTCTCATCACATAACAACCAGTGACTCGGGACCAGACATGACACCTGCTGGCCATCTCATGGTCCAAAAATGGCTGACCAGTCCCCAAAGTGGCTTTCTTGGGAGGGGCCCAAGTCAAGCGGGGTTAGCGGGGAGCGGGGTCTCTGTCTAAGCTCATGTAGTCATTGGTGAATCCCAGCTCTTGCTGGTTGCCAGATGGCCCCCATGCCACGCCACACAGCCTCTCAGACTTCGGCTGCAAGGGACAGACCCACACCTGCTGCCACCTCAGGGATTTAGAGCCACACATGCACAGGCACATTCATTCCTATACTTACACGTTACGTTCACACTCATACACATACATAATATTTTCTTGTACATGTCCATGCATATATACATACACTCATATAGAATGCGCATTTGCACACACATACACATACATGTACATATATATACACACATGTGAACATGGTCCTGTAATCAGATAGGATGTTCTTGAATTTGTGATGAATTTACTCTCCTAACTCCCCTTGCTCCCCCATTTTCTTTCAGAAACAGCTGTGCTTGTATCTGAGCTAATTCTCCCTGGGATTCCACTGCTCCCTGACATCCCAAGCAGCCCTGGGACTGATCCGCTACCGCTCCAGTCACTCCTCTGGGACCATCACCAGCTCCTCAGAGCTCTGAGTTCTCCTCATGTCTTGGTTCCCCCTCCCCACAAACACACACACACGCACACACACACACACACACACTAGGTTGTCAGTTACAGTGCGTTTCACTTTGTTGACCTGAGTGGCTCTTTCTTTGGACCCTACTTTGGCCAGAAGAAGATGGTGGGATTGGAAGGAAACTGGTTCTTCCCGCTCACCACAGGACATTCTTGCTTCATGTCTGAGTGAAGACGGGACATGCGTGCTTAATTGCTTATCAAAAACTCCCCAAGAGTGGTGTTCTCGACAGAATGTAATACATGGAAATGTTTTTATTGAACTTATATTTGCGAAGGGACTTTAAAGCATTTCTTTGTGGGGCTTCCAACCCAAATACTGACAGCCAGGAGGATAAGGCACTCACAGGAGGCAGACTAAACAGGCGGGGTTGGGGTGGGGGTCGTGGGGGGAGGAGGAACCAGTATACACAGCCCCGAATAAGCCCCTGGTCTGCTGTATGGACTGCAGAGAACTGGTCATTGACAAGAGAGTGGCTGGAGAGTTCCCCACTCTCTGCTGGGCCAGTTTTGCTGATTCTCACCTAGAACCATGATGATCTGCTCAGGGGGCTGGGAGAGTACAGCTACACAGCAGATGTTTCTGGACTTTGTCCTCTTCTTCAGTCATTGCCTGTGAGCGACAGTTTCTGAATAGCTGCATGTCCTGCCATCTCTGGGAGTTCCTGCACACACCCACCCCCACCCCCTGGTGCCCCATGTGCTTGGCTGTCCGGGTCAGCAGGCACCACTGTAGTTGGGGGAGGGACCTCAGAAACTCATCCAGGCAAGGAACAGCAGCTCGACCTGCCAGCAAAGGAGCACCTTGAAGACCTTGGACGCCTGAAAGAGTGCAGGGGGCAGGACACTCGCCTTGCCCATAGCTGGCCCCAGTTCCATCCTAGCACCCCCATTTGGTCCCCCAAGCACCAGCAGGAGTGACCCCTAAGTCACTTAGAGACTGGGAGCTAGAGTTGCAGGAAAAAATGAGCCACCCTTCCCCCGCAATCGATCGGGGTCATGCTGGTAACTAGATGTGGATGTCCACCTTGGGGGATCAGGCCCCTCCCAGGTAACTCTGGGCACCCCTGTCCCAGGCAAACACCGGCATCTGGGATCTAAGATGGGGCTGGAACTGAAGAGATCTGAGAACTGGACACTGAGATGGGGGAGGGTGGCAGGAGACCTTCCCCATCCTCTTCTGGGCTAAGAATAACACCTCTCAGTCAGTTAAGGGGTGTGAGGATGGTGCTGGGGCAGTCGGGTGCTTCCTGGTGGCCCTCTTGCAGCTTCCCCAAAGCGGGGCACTCCGCAGTCGCCCTGCACGGTGTCTGCCTCCTGATCGCCTTGAGGGTCACACCCATGGCCCTGCTTGCAAGCAGTCCAAGAGGCTGCCTAGCTCGCCTGTCCTCTGTCCCCCGCCAGCCTCACTGTCAAGGTGAGGCTCTCCTGGGCGAGCAGCTCCGGTCCGCGAACACGTGTCAAGGCCCGCCGGCCACGCCCCTCTCCCACCAAACCGTTGGCCGAGGCACTGGAAGCGCGTCCCACCGCCTTCGTGCGCCTGTGCAGATGCACGGGACTGGACACGCGTTTCTGCCCCTCAAGGGCCACCGGGGGTTGAGGCCTCGGAGCCTCACAGGAAGCTCCGGTTTGGAGAACCGGGCTGTTGTGCCCGCTCCTCAGAAATCGTGGACTTGGTGGGGCGTGGCCCGAGGAAGCCCTGGGCGAGGGGAGGAGAGGGTGTGAATGAGGACCGTCCCCGGGGGCCTTCCAGGTGCCACTGTGGGGCCTCGGGCCGGCGGCATGCGTGGGGGGGTGGCGCCTGCAGGGACGATGTTTGGGGGGCGGCGCGCATGGGGGCCCGTGTAGGGGGCGGCGCGTGTAAGGAGGCGCGTGTGAGGACGTGTGTGTGTGTGTGTGTGTGTGGGTGTCGCATGGCGGGCGGCGCGTGTGGGGACAACGTGTGTAGGGGCGACTCGTGGGGGGCAGCGCGTGTGAGGACGTGTGGGGGGCGGCGCGTGGGGGGCGGCGTGTGTGGGGACGATGCGTGGGGGGCAGCGCGTGTGAGGACGCGTGTGTGGGTGGCGCGTGGGGGGCGGTGCATGTGTAGGGGCGACGCGTGGGGGGACAACGCGTGTGGGGGCGGCACCTGCAGGGACGATGCGTGGGGGGCGCGTGTGGAGGACGACGCGTTTGGGGGCGCGTGTGGGGAGCAGCGCGGGGGGGGGGGGGATGACGCGTGTAGGGGCGACTCGTGGGGGGCGGCGCGTGTGGGGACGCGTGTGTGGGTGGCGCGTGGGGGGACAACGCGTGTGGGGGCGGCACCTGCTGGGACGGTGCGTGGGGGCGCGTGTGGGGAGTAGCGCGTGGGGGGATGACGCGTGTAGGGGCGACTCGTGGGGGGCGGCGTGTGTGGGGACGATGCGTGGGGGGCAGCGCGTGTGAGGACGCGTGTGTGGGGGGGCGGCGCGTGTGGGGACGATGCGTGGGGGGCGGCGTGTGTGGGGACGCGTGTGTGGGGGGCGGCGCGTGTGGGGACGATGCGTGGGGGGCGGCGTGTGTGGGGACGATGCGTGGGGGGCGGCGTGTGTGGGGACGCGTGTGTGGGGGCGGCGCGTGTGGGGACGATGCGTGGGGGGCGGCGTGTGTGGGGACGCGTGTGTAGGGGCGCCGCGTGGGGGGCGGCGCGTGGAGGGGCGGCGCGTGGGGGGACTGGAGGGGGCGGCGCGCGTGGGGGCGGCGCGTGTGGGGACGCGCGTGTGGGGGCGCGTGGGGGGCGGCGCGTGTGGGGACGACGTGTGTAGGGGCGCCGCGTGGGGGGCGGCGCGTGGAGGGGCGGCGCGTGGGGGGACGATGCGTGGGGGGCGGCGTGTGTGGGGACGCGTGTGTGGGGGGCGGTGCGTGTGGGGACGCGCGTGTGGGGGCGCGTGGGGGGCGGCGCGTGTGGGGACGACGTGTGTAGGGGCGCCGCGTGGGGGGCGGCGCGTGGAGGGGCGGTGCGTGTGGGGACGATGCGTGGGGGGCGGCGCGTGTGGGGACGACGTGTGTAGGGGCGCCGCGTGGGGGGCGGCGCGTGGAGGGGCGGCGCGTGGGGGGACTGGAGGGGGCGGCGCGCGTGGGGGCGGCGCGTGTGGGGACGACGTGTGTAGGGGCGACGCGTGGGGGGCGGCGCGTGTGGGGACGCGTGTGTGGGGGCGCGTGGGGGGCGGCGCGTGTGGGGACGATGCGTGGGGGGCGGCGCGCGTGGGGGCGGCGCGTGTGGGGACGACGTGTGTAGGGGCGCCGCGTGGGGGGCGGCGCGTGGAGGGGCGGCGCGTGGGGGGACTGGAGGGGGCGGCGCGCGTGGGGGCGGCGCGTGTGGGGACGCGCGTGTGGGGGCGCGTGGGGGGCGGCGCGTGTGGGGACGACGTGTGTAGGGGCGCCGCGTGGGGGGCGGCGCGTGGAGGGGCGGCGCGTGGGGGGACGATGCGTGGGGGGCGGCGTGTGTGGGGACGCGTGTGTGGGGGGCGGTGCGTGTGGGGACGCGCGTGTGGGGGCGCGTGGGGGGCGGCGCGTGTGGGGACGACGTGTGTAGGGGCGCCGCGTGGGGGGCGGCGCGTGGAGGGGCGGTGCGTGTGGGGACGATGCGTGGGGGGCGGCGCGTGTGGGGACGACGTGTGTAGGGGCGCCGCGTGGGGGGCGGCGCGTGGAGGGGCGGCGCGTGGGGGGACTGGAGGGGGCGGCGCGCGTGGGGGCGGCGCGTGTGGGGACGACGTGTGTAGGGGCGACGCGTGGGGGGCGGCGCGTGTGGGGACGCGTGTGTGGGGGCGCGTGGGGGGCGGCGCGTGTGGGGACGATGCGTGGGGGGCGGCGCGCGTGGGGGCGGCGCGTGTGGGGACGACGTGTGTAGGGGCGCCGCGTGGGGGGCGGCGCGTGGAGGGGCGGCGCGTGGGGGGACTGGAGGGGGCGGCGCGCGTGGGGGCGGCGGGGCTCCGGGCCGCGCGAGGCGGCGGCGGGCGCGGGGCCGACTTGGCGGCGCGGCGGGCGGGCGGGCGGGCGGGGCGGGGGGCGGGGGGGGTCGCACCCCACCCGGGCGGCGGGGCGGGGCGCCGGCTGGCTTCCCCGGCGCGGGGCGGCGGCGGTGGCGGCGCGGCAGCCCCGGCTCGTAGCCCGGCGCCTGGCGCCGCCCGCCCGGACCCCGCCCGGACCCGCGCCCGCCGCCCGGACCCGCCCCGCCCGCGCGCGCCGCCCCGACCGCGCTGCACTTGCCGGCCGCGGGGCAGGTGGAGGCGCGGCGCCGGGGCCCCGGACGGCTCCCGCCAGGTGGGTGCGGGGGCGCGCGCGCGGGGCTGCGAGGGGGCGGGCGGCCCGGCGGGCGGAGGGGCAGAGCGGGGCGGGGCGCCCTTGGGAAGGGTCGAGCGGACTTTCCGAGGACCTCCACCCCGGGCGCGGGTGGCGGGGTCAGCGCCCCGGCGGCGGCCGCCGTTGGGGGTCCTGGGGTCGCGGGTCGCGGTGGGGGTGGAGGGGCCGCGGGGGCGGTGCGGGGTCCGCCCGCCCTCCCGCCCCGGCCGGCGGTCGCGGGTGGGAAGCGGCACATTTGCGGATCGCATTAGGCGGTAATGCCTTCTCCAGATGGACCCGAGCCCGGCGGCCCGGACCCGCCCGCCCGGCGCCCGCCAGGCGGCCCGACCTGGGCTTTTCCAGCTCCTGCGTGGTGCGTGCGTGCGGGTCTCCGGGCCAGGCACCGTGCGCCAAGCAGCGACGACCCAGCGGCTTCCCCCCTGCCCCGCGGGAAGGAAAGCGCTGCCCAGAGCCCGCTGCGCGTCCCCAGCCCAGCGCTCCGCCCAGCCCTCAGACCTGGTGCCATGGCCTTTGGGATGGGTTGGTCCTGCTGCGTGACCTGAGGTGGCTCCTCTTCCCCTTGGGGCCAGCCCAGCGGCACCGAGACTTGGTCCAGAATCGCAGAAGCTGGCAGGGCCGCCCCTTGGGAGCAGATGCCAGCAGCTCCCAGTTGCTGACCCGCGGCTGGATGTTGCCAGGCAGCAGGGCTGAGAGACTTTAGCTCCCGGGGGCTGAGGTGCTGGAGGCTGGGCCCACCCTCCCCAGGGAGTTCTCTTCCAGAGAGCACCAGACAGCCCCATCCCCGTCTGGGTGGGCTTTTGGCACTGCCCCCTGCCAGAGCTGGCTGGACAGCAGCTCATCCTCTATTGCAGGCCGGCGCCCCTGGAGCAGCCCCATGGCAGCCTGGAGGAACCCCCAGTGTCTGCAGGTGTGGATGGTCTTTCTGCACATGGCACTCCTGCAGGTATGGAATAAGGGTTGGCGCGGTAAGGGCCCTCAGAGCCCTGCAGGCTGGGGTGCCGTTTGTGCTCATCTTCCTGCAAAGAGAGTCTGTCTCACCTCAGACAGCTGGGTTTTCTGGCTGAGCTGTGAGAGGGATCCAGGGCCTTGTCTTGATCGCCCATTAGGTACGGGCCCCAGCAGGGATTGGAAGGAGATGGGGGCAGGACTGCATGGGACTGAGCTCTGAGCCTTAGTTCTGCTGGCAGTCCTGAGCCAGATTGGACCCACCTGGCCAGGGCAGACCCCCCTCAAGCACAGCATCTTCTCACTCAGGCTGAAGTGACAGCAGGCATGGTGGGTGGTCCACACAGCCTTTTCCCAACTCCAGATGATGTTGCCACCAGGAACCAAACCCAGGAGGGCTGGAGATTGCCCGAGTCTACAGCACGGACACTGTCACACAACTTGTGGTGGTCTCTATTCACCCAGGCAGTTGGGAGTCCCACACCCAAAGGGCTGCATCTTGGGGGCCTGCTGACTCAGATGGTAGAACAAGGATGGAGCAGTTTGTCTGGAACATGCATGCTGGTGAGAGCATTCTGGAGCAGGCCGTACCTAGGTGGATCAAATTGTGTGGGCTGCACAACATCCAATGTGGACAGCACATGCTGGTCTGCTCACCCTGGGTGAATTAGAACACACTGGACTGTCCAGTACTTCTGTGTATGGGCATACACTGTTTTACATACCCATGTATATCGGCCCACGTGGGTCCACATGTTTGGGTATGTGAGCACACATCAGGTTCATATGCTTGAGTCCAGGTACATGGATGCACGTGGGTCCATGTGACTGGGTAAGTGGATTCATATGGGTCCACATGCCCAGGTATATTCTGCTCACCAAAATTCCCGTGCATGAGAACCAGGCAGCCTTTCTTTGTGGATATCACTTCTAGGCACAAGAGTCATACCTGTGGCCCCTCAGTCTGGCCAAGGGCCTCTTCTTACTGGGAGCAGCTCTCCAACTGTTGGGGTGTGCCCTACACATTGGCCAACTGCTCCCTGGCAGTTGAACAGTGGACCTGCTGAGTAAGGCCTCTTTAGCCTATGTGGGGGTCATTGGTCCTCACTAGAACTAAGCCCAGGACAGCCTTCCCCTTCCTGTAATGGGGTGTCTCCTGCTTAGTGAGGTGTGGAATCAATGGGGTGCAGTTGCAACCTTGTAGGGGAGCTCCCCAGGCATGGTGCAATCATCTCCTTTGCCCTGGACAGGGGAACATGCTTGCAGGCCTGCTTTGGACATTGAACCAAGGGTAGGCTTGCCCAGCTGGAATCCCTCTCACCCTCTTTTGGCTTTTTCCACACAACACCTCTGGCCATCTTGTCCATGTAGGGGTAGTGAGTGAGGAGCTCGTAAAAGCAGGCTGTTGTGGACCACATTGCCCCATGCTCCTGGCCCGTGCTGGGAACCCCAGCCAGAGGCCTCCCCCGATGTCCATCACACCATCACCTGTATCAGCCTGGTCCAGGAGCACTGTGGGGAGAACTATCCAGAAGATAGGCTATTCCCTGGGCCTCCTAGTCAGGAGCGGATTTCGCTTCCTGCTGTGGCCTATGGGGAGCACTCAGGGGGCACCCCCGGCACTGATTCTGTGTAGCTCTGGTGATTCCTGCTGGTGTGGCCAGGTGGGCTCAGCAGAATACTTTAGTGAAGGGAAGGATCTGGGGCCACCCCCCAGCCCATCCCCGAGCTCGGGCCGAGTGGGAGTTACAGCTGCCTGGTGAGTGTGAGGAATGTTGGGGCTTAGTCTTGGAGACTTGTCATAGCCCCCAGGGCTGAAAGAAACTGAATTTGCATTCAGGGCCTGAGCTCAGGCATATTGGGGCACCTTTGAGCCGAGGGACTCTGGGGCCAGACGGTTCACCCAGAGACCTGGATTCCAGGGGCATCTGGGTAGAGGTGTGGGTGCAAACAAAACCCACAAGCCCAAAACCCTTGTAGAAGCCAGAAGAGATCGTGCCTGAGGAGCGAGTCTGGGGTTGGGAACAAGGGGGAGAACAGAAGTTTTCTTAGATTTGGGGATGCCTGGAGATGGCACTTGCTTGGCTTGTCCCCTCTGAAGTATCAGATACTTAAGCACCAAAAGCAGGAGATGGGGTATGCTTCCACAGGAAGATGGAAGTAAGGGTAGGTGACATTGTAGGCACAGGAGAGGAAAACCAATTCCATATAATCATTTCACAGCAGACAAAGGGCTGTGCACCCCTGCTTTTGCCCATGGAGACTCAGTACTGGGGCACTCAAAGCTTTTAGAAATCACATTTCCCAACTTCAGGACTCATGATTGTGATTGCTCTCAGTTTATTTTTACAAGATGCTCATTTCCATAAATAGCAGGGAAGCATAAATCCAGCTTCTCTCCAAGTATTTTATGCACTTACCTTCTGGGATTTGTCAGTGCTGAACCACCCAAGCCCATGTGAGAAATTACCGTCGTCAAACTCTTAGAAATGTGTTTCTTCTCCAAGGCTTTGCTTATATGCTAAATGCACTTTAGTTCAAAAATCACGGAAGAACTAGGCAGAACAGCACTCATTTTATTAGTAAAAGCTCATTTGTGATATGAAGGGACCCTTTACACTCTCTTAACTCTCCTGAAATTAGGGCTGCTTTTTTCTTTTCCTTCCTTATTAAAACACATAAAACTTTCATTATAGAAATGTGGAAGACCCAGAAAAGCACAAAGATGAACAGTGGCATTTTGAGTGCACCGCAGCGAAGCCTTTGCTTGCGAATTTCTGTCCCTCCCCATAGAAGGATGCACATCCTATAGGCTTGGGAGCTGCTTTGGGTTCCTTGGGCTGAGTTCTGGGGTGAGACCCACGCCCCACTACCAGCACACTGTGGAACTGATAGAAGTGGGTATTGTCTCCTGAGAGGTCTAGCTGAGACCCTGGTAGCCAGGGACAGTGCTGTGGAGTGGAAGGCGATGATGGTGATGTCCATCGCCCAGAAATCCAGCCTGGGGAGGCCCCAGACACTTCTCCCACATTGTGTCTCTGGTCTTAGAGGTCATCAGAGTTGAGGGTACCCTTCTGCTCCAAGGCAGCTGTCGGGGTCAGTGGTGCCCTCCTGCTCCGAAGCAGCCGTTGGGATCAGAAGTGTCTCGCCTGCATAAAGGCAGAGTGGGCTCTATAGGGATGTCCCAAGCCCTCGGAATGTTCAAGTGTGCACCTCCCAGGACATGTGTGCATGTGATATGTCTGCACGTGTCTGTACATACATGTGCATACACATACGAATGTGGGCACATGTACCTGTGTGCATGTACATGTGTGTGTATGTGTGTCTGATTGCATGTGTGCATATGTGCCTGTATGTATGCCAGGTACATGTTTAAATGTGTGCCTGCGCACGTGTGTACACTCATGTACATGTGTGATTGTATGTGCATACATGAGCATGTCTGTGTGTACACTTGTGTGCTTGTGTGGTTGCCTGTGTATCTGTCTGTGTGCATGCACATGAATGCTTGCCTGTGTGTGCATATATGAGTGTGCCTGTGCATGTGTGTATACATGAGCATGCTGGTGTGCCTGTGCATACAGAAGCATGCCTGCATGCACATGCCTCTGTACCATGTGTGCATGCCTGTACACCTGTGTTTGTGTGTATGCATGTGCAAATGCAGCCGTCTGTATTTTGGAATAATTATCTCATCTTTTCTACTGGGCAGAGCCAGGCTTTTCTTAGGCATCAGATGACACAGCAGCTCCTGGAGTGACTGTCGCTGTGGTCATCTTTAGTAAGCATCTGAGTTTGGGGGAGAAGGGAGGGGCACAGTGGAGGGTGACCAGTTGCCCCTGTGGAGGGGCAGCTCTGCATCCTGAAATAGATGTTCATATGGGATGGGGAGCCTGTGGCCCCCACCACCTTACCTGGACCCAAAGCCCATGTCTGTAGTGAGCCCAAATACAGACAGTAGTCATTCTCACCTGCTGGATTAACATTTAGATGCTCCATTCTGGCATGGAGACCCCACACCTCCCGCCTTCCATGCATCCATGTGGTGGGGACCATGGCCTCTCTTTCCTGCAAGTGTTTCATGTCTGTTCATTTGAGAAAACAAGCCACTCCATTGCAGTTGCTTCTGTTTTCAAAGGGCCCTGAGGAAGTCAGTTTACTACTAGGCCTGTGAATGGGCTGTTTGTAATTTGAGACTGTTCTCTGCCTACTTCAGGGGAAGCTGGTCACACACTCAGCACAGCTCCCAACCCAGATCACCATGCTACCCTCTATCACCCCTACTTTTGCCTCTTGTGGGCCCCAAACTGCCTTCCACTGTCATTCCTCTAATTTAGAGCCTGTACTTTGTTATTCCACAAAGCCAGCTTGTTAATGAGACTGTCCAGACAGTCATGTTCTTCCCTTCCCGCCTTGATATAACAAATCATATTAATAGTTTTCTTAAATCTGAATCATCCTGGTGTTCCTGGCAAAAACTGCTTGGTGACAATCTACAGTCTTTTTAATATTCAGCTGTATTTGGTTTGCAAATGCTTTGCCAAAGAGTTCTACAGTTGCATTCATATGTCATATTCATTAATACTATCATTTTCAGGTTTTTATATCAAGCTTTTTGTTATCTTCCTGAAAGGGACTGGAACATCTCCAATCACTTCTTTTCTGGCTCTGTTCAGATGGCTCAGGAATAGATATTCCTAGAAGGTTTCAAAGAACGCAATAGTAGATAGAGTAAATGGGACCTTTGAGCCATGTGGGGGATAAACTCCTTATCTGGTGATTAGATTATTCTGATTTCCTCCTACTCTGTTGATTTTGGTCATTTGTCCTTCATGGAATACTTGAATTTTGTCAAAAGTTTAAAATATAGGGCAGGGGCCAGAGCAATAGTATAGTGGTTAGGGCATTTGCCTTGCACACATCTGACTCTGGTTTGATTCCTGGCATCCCCTGAGCACCACCAGGAATAATTCCTGAGTGAAGAGCCAGGAGTAACCCCTTAGCATTGCAGGTGTGGCCCAAAAACAAACCAAAAAGTAAAAAGAAAAAAAAAGTGTAGGACAGCAAGTGGAAGTATCTTGTAAATAAAAAAAAAGTGTGATTAAGATTTTTTTGCCCATCTCTAAAATTTTATCTTTGGAAAATGAAGCTGGAAGCAGTTCTCAGCAAAGGCTCAATTTGACAGGCTTGATCTCAGGAAGGCTGTGAGGCCATGAACTGTAACGGTTACTGTCACTGACACCAGGAAATGTGCTGTGGTCTCAGGTCTCGACCCTTGAGGTCTGGCCTCCTTTCTCCTTTGCCGTTTTCTTTCCACTCACACCCTCCATGTTTGCCTCCCCCATTAGCTCTAACCTGTCCTTAGGGGTCTTCTATTCTTGGCCCGGGGAGTGGTTTCAGGGTCACAGAGTGACCCCTCCCACAGGAGGTGCACCACTGCAGGGACACGTCTGTGCCCCAAGGACTACCTGCCATAAAAGCCTCTTCCACTTTCTTACCCAATGCCGGGGAGGGGAGTCCTTTCTCCCCTGTTCTTTCCTGCTTGTGGCCTGGAAACATCCCCTGGCCCTTGCCACAGGTCCTTTGGTCCACCCCCAGCAGTTCACACCTGTAACTGTCCTTTTTGTTGCTTGTGCTCTGGCTGAACAGCTCCCTGGGGCAAGGGGTACAGGGTGAGAAAGTATTTGCAAAAAAAAAAGAAAGTATTTGCCACATAACGGTGAGCACTGGTTTTTCCAGGCAGGGACTCTGAGCTTGTTCATTGAGGACGCTGTAGCGCACACCCACCGAGACAGAACTTGGTGGCCTTTTCCAGGCTTAGCTGCCTTGATTTTTTCAGAACTTCCCATGAACAAGTGGTTATTGTCTGCTGGCCGGCAGGCACATGCTGCCTTGTTGGGCCTGAGCTGTATTTCTTTTTCCAGCTACAAGAACTTGTTGTTTATAATTTGGGAAGAAATAGGAATTGTGGGTTCTTGTTCGCTTCCCTTTCACTTTGCTCCCTCTGCTTCCCAGCTGTTTTGTAGTTTTGGGGTCCCAGGTGAGTGCACAGCTGGTGTGGAGGTACTTTAGCAGGCCTCACACTGGACCAGCCAGCAAACCTGGGCTAAGGAGAGATGGTAGGAGTAAGGGTCCTTGGTCAGACCAGGGTGGGAAGAGGTCATGATGGGTCTCTGTGGTTTCACACTGCATTCCTGGGGACTCTGCTGGGGTCTGCGTCCACACCATGCCAGCTGGGCCATGCTGCTTCAGTCTCCTCCCTCTCCACCTTTCCTTTCTCCTAACACTACTAGCCCCATTCTGCCTCAGAGCAGAGTGACTTCTTGAGAAAGCTTTAAAATGGATTTTTGGCGGGGACTTCACTTTATCCGTCAGTACGTGCGTCCTTGTTACCATTCCCACCACCCAAGTTCTGGGCCTCCCAGCCCAACCCCAGAGACCGCCCCCCTACCACCACCTCCAGTGTTGAGGGTCTGGAGGTATGTATGGGTGTAGGACTGCACATGTCTGCGAATGTGATTCCTGCCCCTTTCTGAGGGAGGCTGTTGGGACCTTGTCTCTTACCTCCTGTCTAATTCCACCAGAGGACTCTACCCCAGTTCCGCCCATTTGGGCCTCAGGGCGTTAGGGAAGGGGACTCGATGTGTGAACCAAGCAACCGAGGCAGGTCCTTCCCTGGAGGTCATGGGGGTCACAGCTGTGTCCAGGGTCTCAGACCTGCAGTTCCTAACTGTTGGATAACATTGGGTTGTCCTTGCACCTCCTATAGGAAACTTAAGGTTTATTGAGCCACTTCCACAACAGTGCAACTGAGGCACACCCAATTCCATCAGGCATTAATAATTCTATATTGCTTTTCTCTTTCCTTTATGTCACTTGCATGGTTTATTTAGCAATGTCCTTTTTGTATAGACACAGGAAGACAGTTCATGCTATGCTTTGTAACACAGGAATTAATTGACTCCTGGGCATCCATATTTACTTGACTTAAGCCTCAGTTGCCCTTAATTCCTAACACTAAGAGCAGGGTCCCAACAAGGGACTCTATGGACCCAGGGCAAGCTGTAATCTACCCTGGTATCAAAATGGGCCAGGCCAACCGCCATAATACTTAACTGTAATTTAAGAACACAGTCATGGACAAACTCTGTCATGACCAAAAAGAAATAACTGAATTAAGGACCCTGCTGGGGTTAGGAAAAACTAACCTGGCCTAAGGACTGTGGTCCAGAATATATAGCGAGATGTCTGTCCCCAGGAAGAGCCAACCTTTAAGCTTAATATATCTCTCACTGTATTCATACAAAATGACATTACTAGAAATATTATAAGAAATAAATTTACCATAACTGTTTAAATAGATTACTAGCTGAGGAAAGGAAAAAGCAATACACCCTGGACGGAATCTTGCCTTTGAGCGGATCTCCTAGTAATCTGGAATGCTGAATCCTTAAATGAGATTTTGTCCTTGAGTTAATCTCCTGAAGGAGAGCTTTACTTTCTTTGTTGTTATGATAATGTTTAACCCCACCTTTGTATCTCACCCTTCATGATTTCTATATAACTGTGCTGTAAGGGGTAAGAGGGAAGGAGATGTTGAAGATGCTGGGAACAAGATGTTGAGGACTGGATGCTGAAGAGTCGATGCTGAAGACTAGACATTGGGGACTAGAAAGTCGACAACGAGACTTTGAAGATAAGGAGAACTGAGACTTTGGGACTTTGAGGTCTTCGAGGACTAGAAGGAAAACCAGATGATGATGATGACTGGAAGGAGAGGACTATAAGACTACAATGAGACAAGAAGATGAAGGGAAGGACTTTGAGGTATACAAGGAGACTAGGATGATGGAACTCTTAAAACCAGGACTACGACCAAAATGACTACGACTGCACCGTGAGGGAGAGATTGGACTATGCTGGGGAGGAGAGAGAAATAAACCGACTACGGGCCAGCCGGGGCCTCGTTCCTGTTTCTCTGTTCCCCTGGTCCTCATTCATTGTCCGGCTTGGGGAGATGGCTCTCAGCCACCGAATGCTAGAGTCCCCTGCATGGGACCACTGCACCCCTTCTCTTTGGAAACTTAGACCTAATGAGCTGTCTGGATTCAGCCTGCTGACTGGGCAGCTGCAGACCAAAGCCTGTGGGATCCGTTTCTGGCAGCTTCTTTCCTGGCCCTGGCCCTGGGCCCTGGGAAGATCACACTTTCTGGGCTGCCTTTCTCTTCCTCCACTCCTTCCACTCTGCTTAGGCTGCAGAGACAGGCATCTCAGGGTCATAATGGGCTCCTCAAGACCGTCGGGTCTTAGATGGGAATCAAGGGCTGTGGGATCATGAATACATAACTCAGGTTCGTGGATGGGCATCTCGGGGTCATGGGTGGGAATCTTGGGCCATAGGTCTTGGGGCCAACGATGGCTGTCTTGAGGCTGTGATGGGTGCTCACGTGGCCATTTCAGGGTTGTGATGGGTGTCTCGTGGTTGTGATGGGTGTTGTGGGGCCGTGGATGGGCATCTTAGGGCCTTGGATAGCTTTGGGGATGTGGCTTTCTGACCTGGAGCATCAGCTTGTTGATGCCCCATGCCTCAGTAGTGGGAAGACTAGGTGGGGATGGGGGAGGCAAGATTCGTGCACCTGAGGGACCAGTGTGGCGTCTGGCCTGCCCAACGTAGGGCACCTGTGTGGCTCAGCTTGGCTCTGCACCGCTGCTCTGCTCTTTGGGGTCTGCCCGGGATGGAATTCCTGGCCTGTGTGTAATAGGCTCTTTCCTTGCAGACCACAGCCGAGAAATCCCCTGGAGCCTACTTCCTGCCTGAGTTTGCACTCTCCCCGCAGGGGAGTTTTCTGGAAGATACCACAGGGGAGGAGTTCCTCACTTACCGCTACGATGACCAGGTAGGCAGTTTGAGAGCATTGGCTGTGCCCTGCTGTTGGGTTGAGAGTACACACCAGCATTTCATGGAGTCCTTCCAATCCTACCACTTCCTGCACATATCTGGTGCAGTAGGCCTGACCAGAGGCTCCTGGACTTCCACGCAGCCCTGCCTCTCCCTGTGCTCCTGCCAGGCTGGGGCGCCGGCCTGATTCCCCTTTCTCTGCCCCATCAGGATTTATGACTCATGTTCATTTTAGCCACCACCCGCCTTAGACTTGATTCTAGAATTACCAGAGAGCTCTTTTCTGAGTAAGCATTGCGTTCTTGGCTCTGTTGGCTTTTAGTTTGCCGCATTTACCCACTCTGCAAATCCTGCCCAAGCCCATTTTCCAGAAGGGTACATGTATGTGCCTGTGTAGGCATATATGCGTGTGTATGGGTGTGTGCTGATACCTGTATGGTACACTAGCATACACAAGTGCAGTTCATGTGTCTCTTCGTGTGTGCATGCATGGCCATGTGAGCGTGCACCTGTCTATATTATGCACATTCATGCATATATGTGTGCATGTTCACCTCTGCATGTGTGCATGTGGTCTGTGCAGCCTGTGGGTACATATCTGTGTGTGGGTGTGTGTGCACGCCTGTATGTGTACATATCTCTGAGTGTGGGTATCTGCACACATCTGTGTGTACATACCTTTTGGTGTGGGTGTATGCATACATCTGTGCGTGTATATGTCTCTGAGTGTACACATTGCTGCATATAGGTGTGTGCATACCTGTGTGTACAAAACTCTGTGTGTGGGTATGTGCACACATCTGTGTATATGTACATATCTCTGTGAGTATGTGCACACATCTGTGTATGCACGTACATTGTTCTGAATGTGTATACAAATTTGTGTGTTTACATATCTCTCTGTCTGGGTGTGTGTACACATTTTTGTGTGTACATATTGCTATGGGTGTGTGCACACACCTATGTGTGCACATATAGTTGTGTGGGTGTATGTACACATGCGTGTACATATCTGCATCTGGGATGTGCACACTTCTGTATGTGCATCTCATTGTAAGTGTGAGCATGTGTGTGTCAGTCCCCGTGGGACTGCTGACTAGGGAATAAGGCCGGCTCAGCTGAGAGGCAGAGATGAGTTTTTGAGCGTGGTATCCTTCTCTCCTCAATTCCCATTGATGCTTCATGTCTTTAAAGGTTTGAAATCATGAAATCATGAAATAGAAAGTGGGAAGTTGGCCTGAGCTTATGGGAGTCCAGGTAGGGAGGGCCTCAGTGGATTGGCTGGCCTTGGCACTTGTAGGCCAGGACAAGCTCAAGTGGGTCAGTCTGGTAAGAGGCCCTTACCCTGGGAGCTGAGTCTGCCAACATGGATGCCAGGTGGGAGAGGAAGAGAGGGTGTGGCATATCCACAGTGTATCATTGATAGTGTCATGGTTGACATTACCCATGGTGTCATTACTGACATTCCCAGTGGCATCATGGTCATAGCCTGGTTGATGGGACCCCTGGGGTCACTGACTTTGCTGAGGGCCTTATGACTGACTTTCCTCTTCTTTCCTTGGATACACTAATGTTCATGTGACTGCTCCTCTAAGGTGCCCCTCCTGTCTGTCTGCCCACTGCCAAAGAGAAACAGCATGTCACCCAGGGCACATGACCCCGGAGTGGCAAAGCCACATGCCTATCTTTGTCTTAAATCTAATCTGTGGGAAGGAAAAGTATGAGAGAAAATTTTGAATGGATTTTTAGTCATAGCCGAGCAAGAATGCATTCTGTAACATGAATACAAATTTGTCGTTAGATCAACTTTTTCGTGTCTGTCTGGCATTAGCTGACAGATGCCATTCCCCTTGCAGCTACTGATGTGTGCTGCCTTCCGAGAGGAGGCCACATCTGCTGAGGCTGGTGCTCCCCAAAGGAACCTCCTCAGGACTTTTCACAACTGATTTGGCGGGGAGCTTGGTTGTGGTTGGAGTGCTGGCAGCCTCACAAGAAGCTCTGCATGTCTTCAAATCATTTATGTAATAGCTTGTACCTGGGGGTGCAGAGACTGCTTCTAACATTCAGGGATAGGGATGGCGGGAAGGTGGCCATGCCCTTGGGGCTGTGACACTTTGTCTACCTGTCCCTGGGTGGGAACAAGCCAGTCCTGCATCTCCAGGTGGTGTCCCAGACAGAGTGGCAGTGTGTGGTCTGGCACAGCTGCTTCTTTGTCAGGTGGCATTTATGTTCGGGTGTCAGTAACTTTCTTGCTTTCCCAGGGCTTCAGAGACCAGGTGCTGCACATGCTACTCTCGAAACAGTAGAGAGATGTGATAAGCTACACCTAAGAATGCAGGAAAGGTAGAAATGGGGGGAAATGAGACAGAGAAGCCAGAATAGTCCACAGTCTTTGAAACTCAGCAACCCAAATAAAAACTAAGAAATAAATGTCTTCAGGAAAACACTGGAAATGAAAATTACAACTGCACACTGTTGAAGATGACAAAAGGTATAAAAGGCATACATATGTGTCATCAAAAGGTGTAGTGCATAATACGTAGCTGCATCAGTAGATAAGTATGTAAAGTCTGATCTCCATTGAGAGGTAGACCTATAACCCTAAATATTTTCAGTAAGTTTAAACATTGAATGTAATCAACAAGTGGTATTGGAACCACTGGTTGGATATTTAGATTAAGGCAATTTTTAAAAATTTTACCATTTTAAAATTTCACCAAGTTTATATATTGAGAAACATTCATGCTGGTTGCTAATGCACAAGGCTTCCCCAGATAGTGCTCACCCATGGTAGGCTCCCTAAGACAGTGCTCACCCACTGAACGCTCTCCAAGACAGTGCTTATCCACTGGATGCAAGCTCTTAGGGACAGTGCTCATCCCCTATAGAACATCAACTTCTTTGACAACATGTGAAACAAATTCCATTTATAATCAGTTGCTGCCCACAGAGAGCCCTGTGAGCCTCTTCTTGGGACTGGTTAGAGGCGTGGGACAGGGAGATGAGGGTATGTGGGGTGAGAGGCCTCAGTCTGGTGTCTCCATGCTGGGCTCTGACCCATGAGGCCCATCATGGATGTGTCATTGAAACCCTGGAGCTGAGGCTTCATTCCTCTTTGTGTGACGTTCCTGTGGGCTGGAGTGAACAATGTCCTGATCACCACCACAACGAGCTTGTGGGTGGAGGGGCTGGGAAGGGACTCCCCCCGTGGTGTACTGTGTCCTGGTGGGGACTTTCCCCAATATCAGGCCTTACTCATTAAGCCTCATCTGGTGGAAGCGGTCTCACTGTCTGGAGAAAACAGTGCTGATAAAATGAACGGGGATGACTTTATAGAAAACGCTCGAGTGTGCCCACACTGCTCAGACTTAATAAAGCAGGGGCTGCCATCCTGACTTTTGTGCAAGTAAAAGCTTATTTTGACATTGATTGTAAATACTTTCGATCATTGATTTGGCTTGGTGCCTGGGAAAAGCAGGAAGGTGACTTGGACATAATCACACGCCAGCCCAGGGACACCCCCCCATCCACTGGAATTAGCATCTGGAATGTTCCACAGGGACAAGACAGGCAGGTGCGTGTTTGTAGATCTGGGGAATATGTGCTGCACCTCCCCTTCGAGTGAATCGTATATCTCTGGGAGATGGGAGAGAAATGGTTGGTCTATTGTGTAATAACTTTGATACTGTCTCATGAGAAGATAGACTGTGAAGTCCTAACGATGTCACATCCCAGGAGTAACTTTGATGATGGCAATTTCTGAAGAATCTGTGTGAGTTCTTTGAAGCAGAGTAACTCACGTGTAGTTTGCAGTTTGTCTGCAGAGAAAGCCGTCCCGCGTTGCAGAGATCTAAGCAAGTTCATTGATGGCAGGGGTCTCTCTGAGTCATCTGTTATGCCAATCTGGACTTGTAGACATTATTTCAGATTCACAACATTGGCGAGAGCCATGAGCTAAAACATTAACATTCCACCAGTTTAAGAAAATATTTGTCCTCAGGCCCTTGAGTTGTATGGGCACAGCCTGGGCACTGCCAGGGATGCAGTGATTACAGTCCAGGTTTCTCTTTCTGGGCTGAAGCCCAAAGATTTCAGAACTATTTTGGAGTAAAGAATATTTCAGGAGTGAAGGAGACAGGGTCCCCTTCCTCAGAGCCAGCAGTGTGGTCTTGGGCATAAGCTTGGCATGCTGGCAGTGGTGGTGGTGGTGGTGGTGGTGATGATGATGATAATATCTGTTCTCCAGCTCATCTTTGTGGGCCATGAGTGGAACAGGGCCTCTGTTTGGGCTGCATGTCTGGGAGGTGTCCCTCCTGCTGTGGCATCTCCAGGTGGGGGCCCAGAGTGGAGTTAGGGTCCCACAGAACCGTTTCCCTAACCACCTCTTCCTGGGTAGAGGGGCCTCGTTGGGCCCTTAAAAGTCCCAGGATAAGGAACTTTTGAAAAAAATTTTGAATATAGTTTTAAATGCTCAGATGTGCAGAGATAAACAATCCAATACAAAATAAACCACAAAGGAGAAGCAAGAAAAGGTAAGAATGGAGGCAGAGAATGAACCGGGAATAAGAGTGCAATGCAAGTGAACACCAAGGACTCTGTAGATGGGAGAGCACACCGTTGATGCTGGGCCTCCTTTCTCTCCTGCTCACCTGCTCTCTGCTCACCTGCTCCCTGCTCCCTGCTCACCCACTCACCCGCTCCCTGCTTACCAACTCAACCTGCTCACCCACTCACCCACTCTCTGCTCACTCGTTTACTCAGCTTCTCTCTTCTCACCCATTTCGTGTCCTGGGGCCAGCACATGGCTAGGCAACAAGGCTCTGAATGTGGCTTTTGGTGTCTCTGGAGACGAGGCAAGTTGTGTAGCGGAGTTCAGCAGCATGGGAGTGGGGTGTGCAGTCAGGGCTGAGGAGGCTGATTCAGCAGTAGTTTTCTGTGGCTGGGTGGCAGAGCAGGGCAGGGCAGGGCTGGGCTAGGCTGGGTTGTAGGCATGCACCGACAGCTCTTTCCAGCTGAGGCTGGGAGAGCAGGAGGGACAGTTGGGGGCCCAGGGCAGCTCTTGGCAGACTGAGCCTCACCTATCCTGGCGGGAGGGTCCCCTCATCTCTGGACCAGCTTGGCGACCTTACTTTTGGGGGTTGGGGTACTAGAGCGCAAATACAGGGTTATACATGTGAGCCTTGCCCTCATTTGTTGGCAATTGCCTAATGCCCATCGTGTGTCTGCCCTCGATTTGTGCCTGCATTGTGGGCCTTGGAGTTGGCTGCACATGGCCCTGGCATCCTTGCGGCAGCGCTGATCCACGCTCCTCTGTGTGGGAAGCAGCATCCCCGTGGACGGGCTGTACTCTCGGTTGTTTTTGACGTGGAGCCTTTAATATCGCATTTCCAGTAAGTGACCTTCTACGTGGAGTCTGGCTTTAATTACTAGCGTTTGTGCAAGCCTGGTAGAGCCGTGCTATTCATTATAAGTCACAGGTTTTAGAACTTGTCAGGAAAATATTTTATGATTTGATTTATGTCTGGGGACCCCAGAAAGGCCAGGGAGGCCTCCGGTGTGGATGAGGGTTGAGTTGACGGTTCCTGCAGGATCCTTGGCGCGGGCCAGCCCCATTATTTAATAAGGAAACAATATCTTTTTTGAGTTTTTCATCCAAAATATTCCCCAGCTAAAACTTTTACTTAGGAAACTATGATTTCCTAAGAGCTCTTCCAGCTCGATCATCTTAAGCAAACAGCACAAGGCCCAGTTTGCTGCTTGGGATGTGTTCTCATGGTGTCCTTCCAGGCTTTCATAGCCACCTTTTGGCAAAGAACCATTTTATTGGGTGTTTTATTGCATCAGCTATATGCAGTCATTGTCTTCTATGGGGAAGTGGAGATGAGCCAGAAGGAGGAAGTTCGAAAGGTGGAAGGGACGTGCAGCAGGCAGCCTGCTCCTGGGGGGGCGACAGGTTCCCCCGACTCAGGGAAGAGGTGGAATTTCCATTCGGGGTCTTGGGCTCTCAGGGCTGGGCCCCTGCTCTAACCTGCCTCTGGTTTAGATCCGGGTGTGAAACCTGAAGAAAGTGTCCTGGTGGATGGCTTGGGTCTAGAACCGGGATTTCTCCCATGTCTGTCCACATCGCCATACGTCACAGGGATGGAGTGTGGAGAAACACCAGGTGGGGAAGGGTGGCTAGGCCAGGGGCAACAGCAGGCCCGGCTTCCTGGTACGTGAATTCTGGGCTAGGGACGTGGGCTTGGCCTTGGTGTTCTGCCGCCCTTTAGAACATGTGCTCCCTGAGGCCACAGTCACTTCCCTTCTTTGGTGGGATCCTGCCACCAAGCAGCCCAGACGTGTGTCAGCCTCTGCTGTTGGCCCCTCCTCTCAGGAAACAGGCCCAGGATAGTGTGGCTGTGAGCTCCTCCTCTGTCATGTACCTGGACAGTGCCACTGAACAGGAGGGAGGGAGCCAAAGCAGATTTCATGAGCGAAGAAGGTGGAGGGGCCGAGAGGGGGAAGCCACGTGGTGCTGGAGCAGGACGTGCCTCTACAAGACAGCTCCTCAGATGCCAATTTCCTCTGCTCCATGGAGCATCTGTCTACAGATGTGGTGTCACCACGTGCTGAGCTTTGATCCTGGAGAGCATAGATGAGCTGAGATCCAGGTATGTCATTGCTGCTCTGGGAATAGAGGCGACGCAAAGAGAAGACAGCTGAGCTGGGGTTGGGGGACATTTATTTCTGGGAAGAGGGAACACTTGGTCCCTCTGCAGGTGCCACTTTACCATTTTCTTAGGGGGCAAGGCGTGCCTTAACTCAGCTAGAGGAAATGAGTGTTCTGGCTGTGAACAGCCCCGTTTAGTCATATCAGAATTGAGAGCCCGAGTTTTTTTTTTTCTTTTCCTAAGTAAAGATGGAAAAGTCATGGATAGAATTCTCTGTCCTGGTCGAAAACAAACAGATGGAACAGTGAGAAAGAAGACAAATGAAAGCGATACTGCGAAGAATGTTCAGTTTTTACTTCAAAATATATATGCAATGATGTGTATCAACTTTCCACAGTCAGCCTGTTCACATATCGAATGACAAAAGGGAAAATTGGTTTTGTTCATGTGTATCTCCCAAAGTTAGCCTCTGTCACCTATCACCCAGGCTTGGGGTGTGGGGGAACAAATCTGACTCACGTGGTGTGTGGGAGAACGAATCCAGCATACATTGAGTGCGGGAATGAATCTGTGAGATGCATCCAACTGTGCCTGTCAGCCATGTATGGCCCAAACCAGGTTGGTCACAGCCCTGGAGTTCCTAGTTGGGGGTAGAGCCGATGCAGTCTCGTCACTGCTTTGCCAGGTGACTAAGGATCTCATGTTTCCCTAGTCTTCTGTGGCTCAGTGCTCTTGCATTCACCTCTGACATGCTGGAGTCCTTGTGGCCGTGCTTGGTGGCTAAGTCATTGGTGATTAGAAAACAACATTCATGGCACTGGTGAGTGGCCCCATCTGCATCCTGGTGCTTGATGCTGGCTCTGGATATGTCTTGTTTGGAATTTAATGGACCCGCCTGCAACTTCCAGTGCCAGGTTTGTGCTTTTCCAGTTGAGGCCTTTTTGAAACCGCTCACTTCCCTCCTGCAGCTTTTCCCCTGACTCTTGGCAGAGCTCACCGCACCAGTTGGACTTTAGAACCATATGGACAGGTGCCAGAATAGTTTTCTCTGGAGTTCTGATTAGATTCTGGAGAGAATGAACATTTTACAGGGTCAAGTCTGTAGGACTCAGGAGGGCTGCTGTATTTATTCGAGATACATCTGCTTTGCTTGGGCAGCCCCTTTCCTGTCTCTGAGTCACCCTGGCTCAAGGCAGGGGTGGCAGGCTGAGGAGATGAGTGCCACCAAGCTGCACCTATCATAACCACCCCCTTTCTTTTCTCAGATCCCAGAGCTTATCTGCTATGTTTCCTTCGGACATAGCCACTCTGAGGAGACTCCTTCCAACCCCGCGTAGACAGCTCCTTGCCATGATGGGAGTTCTTCGGCTTTGGGCAGAGCTGCTGCTAACGAGAGTCACAGAGCTGCCCCACTGTGTAGCTGAACCCCTGAGGAGCTGAGTCAGTGTCAGATAAGACAGCTTCACATTTCCCAAGTCAACTTCAGAGCTGTCTGGACAAAACCTTTGGGAGGTGGAAATACATTTACCACCACCTCTAAGCCTATCATGTGCATGGTCTGTGTACATGTACATATGCAAGCAAGTGTAGTCATGTTGGTATGTGTGTATACATGTGTATAGTGTGCAGTACTTGTGTGTTCATATGTATATGCAGGTGTGTAGACATGTTGGTATGCACATACATATAGGTGTGTAGTGTGAATTACTTATCTGTGTACATGCAAGTGTGTAGGTATACATGTATATACATGTGTGTAGTACTTGTGTGTACATGCGTATATTCAGGTGTGTGTTGTGTGTAGGCATGTTATTATGCGTGTATGTTGTGTGTGATTGTGTCAGTGTACCTGGTGTGGATGCAGAGGAAGCCCTTGTGCATGGGTGAGTTTGTCCATGTGTGCATGCTCTATTTTAACCATTCCCAGTCACAACACTTCTAGGCAACTTAGGTCTCTGTGAACAACTTTGGGTAAACCCTGGAGAAGGTGGCGCTGCTTTGGGGATATTCCTGCCACAGTTCTCTCTGGTTTATGCGTTCTCTTCTTTCAGCCCTCCAGAAACGCTCATTCTGAAGAAGACACAGATGGCAGCTGGGATGCCTGGGGGGACTGGAGCGACTGTTCCCGCACCTGTGGGGGTGGGGCCTCGTACTCGCTACGCAGGTGTTTGACCGGGAGGTGAGTGGAGTCCCAGCTTCTCTGTTTGGAATGTGCTGAAACGCGGGGTGCCACTGTTCAGCACAGGAGCCAGCACCACACTCCCAGATTTGGTCGTGATGCTGTTTACAGGGTGTGACTATGACCCCCACAGAAAGTCCCCCATAGCCAGTGTACTGTGGATGTGAGTAAGGCATGTTCTGGGCTGTGCTGGGCATGGTGGTCTGGTTCTTGTCCCCTTCTGTGTCCTGGGCATCTCTGCGTAGAAGCTGGGGTGCCGTGGGTGTGTGCATGGCTCTGTTCACTAGCCTAGCGAGCACCGTAGTGCACATGTTTCAGCAGCCTCTTGCAGAAGCTGCTGGTGAACCTGCCCTTCCTGTGCATCTGGGACTCCTGAAAGGGCTTGCAGCTGCTGCCTGATGGTATGAGGAACCATTACATCATTCAGGGGAGAGTTTAGGGACAAGTGAGCTTTAATACTGCATTGATTTTTAAAAGTTTTAAAATTTTTAAACGTTTTTTAAAAGTTTTAAAAGTGATGGTTGCATCCTGAATCTCTGCAGAAAATAAATAAATTGGTGTCAGATGTGCAGTGATTCTGTGGCGAAATGTGGGAGCCCTCGGATGGGTTTGCGGGCCACTGGAGGGGAGCTGCATGGAAAGCCGGGTGTTGGTGACTTGCTTTTATTTGGAGATGACTTTGCACCTTGTTTCATCCTTTCAGAATTGCTCAGCCTTATAGTCACTGAGGATTTCCCAGGGACCCCCCACTCGGGTTGTTGTGCTGCACTCCAGGGCTTGGGGGTCAATGATAAAATTGCTTCTTTGGGTGTCTCCCACAGAAGCTCAGGAATGCCTCTGTTGCTGTCATTATTCCCCACCACCACCCTTTGAGGGGTTAGCTGCTGGAATTCTAGGTTTTGTACCTTCTCTTTCTTTTGTTGCTTTTGTCATCCTGTGTCAGGCCACCATGTATGTGTTCCTCCAGACTTTGAGCCTCCCTCTCTCCTTTGGAAGCATCACTGGGAGAGGGAGCTTCTGGGGGCTCAGCCCCAGCACCCATTTAAGATAGAAGCTTGGGTCTGGTTGTGGGGGCAGCAGTTCTAGCTCCTCACGGACTCCCCGGAACAGTTTCATGGGCTGGTGGGGGCAGTTTCACATACCGACTTGTGGCCCCAAGAGCCCCAGGAAAATCCTTTGACTTTATAAAGACTTCTGTGGTCCTTCTGCTCACCTAGTTCCTTGTGGCTAACGTCATTGCAGAACTGAGTTCCACTTAAATCCATGGGCAGTGTGGTCGTGCCACAGCCCAGCGCCTGCCCAGCACCTTTCTCTCTTGCAGAAAACACGCAACTTGATACTTCAGGCAGGTGCCAGTCATGGGAAACACAGGTCTGAGTTAGCTCCTATTTTTAAAAAAATCAATATATTTTTATTCCTCAAAACACATGCCTCTCAGTCTTTCAGACCCCAGTATTTGAGTCAATATATCACCAAATGAAGGCAATAAATTACAGAACTGCACACTCCAGGGAAATTTTATTAATGTTTTTCATGTACCCTTATGTGCAGTCAACATATGTTTTTTATATATTTCTAAATTTATGGCTTCAAACCCCTTCCACTTCAGGGTGTTATGAATGGTGTAATGGCTAGAAAATACATAATTGTGAAATGATGTTCTTGAATTTTCCTGTGCTCTTGCATATCACCAATTAACCAAAGTTTTATTTCTGTGGTTTAGTTGCTTCAGGCCAAAGAACCCATTTCCAGAACAAACAGGCAGGTTCCTACTCAGGGAAGCAGAACTCCAGCATCCTCAGCACATTGGATTAACTAGCCTCTCTGCTCCCTGCAAAGGCTCCTCCCACTCAGCCTAGCTCAGAGCCTGGAGGCCTCACGTTGGTGGAACCCCCTGAGCTGAATCTGTGCTCGCCTTTGAGCCTCTTCGTTCCCTTCAGGCCCACCAGTTGGTGCACTCAACTCAGGCCGTGACCCTCACTGATACCATCTTTAACTGTGACCCCTCAGAATATTCTGGACCCATGGGGAGGGGCTCAGATGACCCCTGGTTGAGGAACTGTGAGCCAGTATGAGTTTAGATCCAGACCGCCAGTGTGCTCGGGGATTGAGTCACTTGCACTGTTAGGCTAACATCCTGGCACAGTGGTGGCCATAGTGGGGAAAAGCTGGAGAAGGAAAGAAGAGGGAGAGCAGCTGTGTCTTGGGAGAATTCACAAAAGCCTACACTTTCAATTGCAGCTGTCAGGGGCTTCTTCCAAGAGAAAGACGAGGTTTAGGCTGAGATTTTCAGGCTCAGTACTCAGGAGGAAGACACAGCCAGTAGTGCCGGGGTGTAGACAGGTTACACCACAGGCTTAAGACACAACCACGACTGGGTTTCTTCTCATTTTAAATCTGAGTTTCTTTTTTACAGAATTTGTTTTGTTTTCTTCTTTGACTCACAAAAATTAAACAGCGAACAGAAAAAAGCATCTGAAAAAGGATGTCTGACCTTTTTGTCCGCTTAAAAATGTCATTCTCTGAACTCGGACTGGTTTGGGGGTTCCCAGTATTTATACTAATTCAAGCACTCTCAATACCCCTGGAAATTGGAATCAAAGCTTTCCCAGGTCCTGGACCAGCATGGCTCGATGTGGGTATTATTTCTATTAGCCTCTCTGGAGAGCAGGCAGGGGCAGCACTATTCTCCCCACTCATGTCCCCCGTGTCTGAATGACCCCTCCCATCCTCCCACTCTTCCCATCAACCTCTATTGTGCTTCTTGAATATTTACAACATAGTGGACTTTAGGATGTCTCATAAGACAGGGCTTGGACATGGGGGCACAGTGCTTCAGCCTGGGTGCACCCCCTGGAAAGGGACTCCATTCTCACAGGCCATCACTTCTGTGAAATCTTCATTTTCATTCTTTCTTCAGGAACTGTGAAGGGCAGAATATTCGGTACAAGACGTGCAGCAACCAGGTAAGCTCTGCCACAGAAACACTGACCCTGGAGGAGGCTCTTGGCCATTTTCTGTTGTCATGCAATGGCCTTTGGGGACAGGGACTTCTGTTTAAGTGACATTGGCCAGTTCCTTCCATATGTACCCCCTTTTCAAGCCACTTTGCATTTATTATCAATTGGCAAGTGTTTGCTCATGTCTCTGTTTACGGAAGTGGTCGATCTGAGGAAGCTAGAAGTCCCTGCACAAGGCCAGGTGCCATACTCACTCCTCTCTGCTGTCTGTCTCTGGGCTTGGGCTCCACAGACCTTGGGCAGGGTCAGAGACTTGAAGGCAGGGAAAATAAGCCAGTGTTGGCATTTCTATATGCACAATTTAGTTGCATGGGGAAGAAACACTTGGATGGAGAGGGAGTGCAGAAGTGCGTCGACTTCCAGGTGGAGCATGATTGTGGGTGGTCCTGTAAGGTCTTTCTGCTGTGAACAGAGCAAGCAACCTAGGCTTGCTCAGCACCCACCTCCCCCCAGATGTCTGTACTGTGACCTTCTTCCTGCCAGGACTGTCCTGCTGACGCTGAAGACTTCAGAGCCCAGCAGTGCTCAGCCTACAACGATGTCCAGTATCAGGGTCACTACCACGAGTGGTTGCCCCAGTATCATGACCCTGCTGCCCCCTGTGCTCTCAAGTGCCAGGCACGGGGTAGGAGCCTGGTGGTGGAGTTGGCACCCAAAGTGCTAGATGGGACCCGCTGCAACACAGACTCTCTGGACATGTGCATCAGTGGGACCTGCCAGGTGAGTCACACCTGGCCCCCTCATCGCACCTGCCATCCAAGACACCCCTAGTAGGTGAGGATCCAGCCTCACTGTTGTCAGCCTGGGTGTGATCCCCTGAACATTGTCATGCGCAAACCGAAAGGCTCCCTGACCTCCCCAGCGGCAACCCTGAAGGCTCCCTGACCTCCCCACCACTGCAGGGCATGAGCAGCACCATATCCTCTGGCCTGGGCACTGAATCCATGGCCCAGCACACACACACACACACACACACACAAATACACACTCACAAACACACACTGAAAGGGCGGCCATGTCCTTTCCAGGCAGTCAAGCTTGTGTTCGCACAGCTCCAAGGTCCCAGTAGCCAGGCTGTGAAAAGAGAGGGACAGACTGAGAGGGCAGAAACGTCTGTGCCAATGAGAAGAAAGCACCCTCTGAGCCATAGGAAATGTGGGGGAGGATGAGTAGGCCATCATCCGCCTGGTCCCTGGAGGGAGGCAGGGAAGACATACCCTGGGCTCTGTGTCAGAGCATCCAGGCACCTGAGCCGTGGCCTCAAGGACCGCATGGGGACCAGTGGTGATTCACAGTGGGATCCAGCTCAGTCCACTCTGAATGGTCCTTCTGTCTTCAGGTGGTGGGCTGCGATCATCAGCTGGGAAGCCGGGCCAAGGAGGACAGCTGTGGCGTGTGCGCTGGGGATGGCTCCACCTGCAGACTCGTGCGGGGCCAATCCCATGTCTCCCCAGAAAAGAGTAGGTTTGAGTCTTTACTATTCCTTCCCCAGCACAGCCGAGTCACCCTTAGGACCTGTTGTGATCAGGGATGGTGTGAGAGCTTTGGAGGCGGGTGGGCAGTGAGGGTTCTCCCAGGTCTGATGGGTGGTGAGGGCTGTCCCAAGTGTAGGTGGGTGACAGATTTGCCTCACAACTTGACAGATAGCAGACAAACAGAGTGAAAGGCTCCAGGCTCCCTGTCCCTGCTCCCCGTTGTGCCCTCTATGCCTGGATCTTTTGTAGAACTTCTGCACTGGTCCAGATCCCCTCAAATTCACGACTAGCTCTGTGAAATGAGAGTGCTCCGGTTGCCAGGGTCCTGATCGTGCCCTTGGTCAAACCTCTCTGTGACCTCTGATGGTTCCTCTGCCCTTAGGTTCTTTACTGAGAGTCCCTTGTAGTGCAGGTGGCCAGGAGAAAGGCAAGGGGACCCCATGTGTCTGTACAAGCCCCCACAGACAGGCAAGGAAGGGGAAGGAGTGTCAGTGCTTGTCAAACAGGCTGTCAGCCAGGAGCAAGCAGAAGGACTTGGGCTTGTGCTAGGAAGGGCCACAAAACTTCTGGTTTGTCTCAGTGCTCCAGCCTGGGAAACACCTATTACCCTGCCGTGGGTGGGGGACACTGTCCCCCTGAGGCTGCTTGCTCTCAGGACCCTTCCCTTCACAGTCACTAGTTTATCCCATGGCACATTTTGGGGTGGTACATTCTGAATCCCTCTATCCACTGCAGAGGCAGAGGGCAAAAGGTCACTTCCTGTCCGCAGGCTTCAGTATGTTTGGTGCTGAGCACAGAACAGGTTGTAGAAGTGCTGGGGATGGGAGCAACGTGTGTGTCCTGTCAGCCCCACACACACGGCTCACAGTCTGCCTGGGGTCAGTGGGGAGTGGGGGATGTGCCCGGCCAGCCTCCCGGGAGAGGTCATGGTGGAGATGGGAATAGGTGTATGTGTGTGGACCCCAGTTGCAACAGAGGACACCTCTTGGCAGTGTTGGGGCAGGAGGTTCATCCAAGGATGCTGGCATATGGTGTGTTCCCTTGGCCTGGAAAGCTGCCAGTGTGCCCCTGTGCCCCAGCATGTCCCCCACAATGTTCATGGGCAGAAGCTCCTAGCCAGTGTGGCTGGTTATGACTGATTTGGAGGTTGTGGCAGCGGTCATGTGTGTGTATGTGAGAATTGTGTGTGTGAGTGTGGTATGACAGTGTGTGATTGTGGTATGACCATTTGAATGTATGATGCGACTATGTGTGTGAATGTGTGTGTGGTACCTGTGAGTGTATGTATGTGTGTAATGTGACTGAACGTGTGTGTTGTGTATTGGTGTGACTATGTATGGTGTCTGTGAGAGTGTATGTATATGAGTATGAGCAGTTGTGTGCATGCCCACGCATCTCATTGCATCTCTCCTGCCTCCTGTCTAGGGGAGGAGAATGTCATCGCTGTTCCTCTGGGGAGCCGGAGTGTGAGAATCACAGTGAAGGGGCCTGCACATCTCTGTGAGTAGACGTCACCCAACTTGTTGTATTGCTTCACCAAATATTTCTGACAAATAGTAACGTCTTTGTTCTGTGAGCACAGTACAGTGGACTCACCTCTCTTGGGTTGGTCCATGTCTGGATTGGCTCTCAGTGGGAAAAGGTTTGCTTGGGGTCCTTCTCTCCTCAGCCTGTGCCAGGTACACCAGCATGGCAGTCAGCTGCTCCTGGGAGAGGAAACCGAGTTCTGTGTGGACAAAATTTTGTAGAATTAACCAGGATCTGAGGGTGCAGAGTCATCCTGATGTGTTGCTATTTGGAACAAAACTAAAGAAAGATGTCAAACTCAGCTATCAAGAGAGATATCCCATCTGCTGCAAAGCACGCGTGCATGTGTTTGTCTATGTCTCTGTTTGTCTGTCTCTGTCACTGTATTTGTATTTGTGTTTCTGTGTCTGTTTCAGTCTCTTGGTTTGTCTTTGTCTAAGCCTGTGTCTCTGTGTATGTATGTGGTTATGTCTGTGTGTGTCTGTGTTTCTGTCTGTATGTGTTGGTATATGAGTCTGTGTCTCTTATGTCTGTGTGTTTCTGTGTTGTGTGTCTGTGTGTGAATCTGTGTATCTGTGTGTCTGTGTTTGTGTCTGTGTATCTCTGTCTGAGTCTGTGTGTGTCTGTATGGCTTTGTGTGTGTGTGTATGTGTGTGCACGCATACAAACGTGTGCAGGGAACATGTGTGGTGTGGTGTGTCTGACCCCACTTAAGCCTGTGGACGCTTGCTTTCCCGGAATACCAAGGGAGCAGGGAGGGTCGCAGCTGGATTCTTTCCTTGGCCAAAGTCCCATGTCATCTCCTCCGTGATCATTTTTTTGGCCTCTCAGGACCTACAGGAACTGGAAAAACCAAAGTTTTCCTCTATTTCTCCTGAGTCTCCTGAGCCAAAATGAGTCTCTGCCAAGACTGGCCCCTCGGCCTTGACGAGGCTTCCTGTGTTTAGCGTGCTCTTTCCAGAAACAGTGCAAAATGCTATTAGAACAATTTTAAAGCCACACAAATTAACGCCTGCTGGATCAAAGTGCTACATTTTTTGGCGAAGGGTTTTTTTTTTTTTTTTGGTAAGCCATCATCAGATTTTTAAATCATTACAATTTCTCAGGGTCAGAACTATTTTATGTTTTTGGTAGCTTTTGAATATGTGTGTTTGTATATTTTGGATGCAAAACTAATATTCCAGCCAGTAATGTCCTCTGAGAAAGGCTTCTATCAAGATGTTTCAATAAAAATGTTTAAGGTCACTAGTAATACAGACTGAAATCTTGAGGGAAGGAAGAAATTTTCAAGCACAGGGACTGAGCAGAATGCTGGAGAATGCCTTTCTGACAGTGTGGAGGAATTCTAGCCGCCAGCCCGCCGCTGCCGTGAATTACAGCTGAAAGAATGTGGCTGGTTCTATCCAACCCAGATGCAGAAGCATGTGCAGCCAAGTCAGGATCATTCATTCTGAGGCTTGAAAACACTTTGACATGGACCCTCCGTGGGGCACTGCTGCCCGATAAAGCCTCCTCCTGCCTATGCCTTCTGACTCTAAGGCTGTCATGTGCCAGGACACTGAGGAAGCTCCTTTGTAAAGGGCACAAGTTCCTGTTGCTTGACAAGAGTCATTGTTATCCCATGGGCCTTCCATACAGGTCCTCATCACTCAGATCCAAACCGTGCCTCTCTTCTTCGCCTTTAAAAGGCCGCTTTGGATTCAAAGATAGGAAGCAGCAAGGCTTGCTGGTGGCATCAGTGGTAATAGCGGGAAAGGTGGCAGCCATGTGCCCATCAGCTGATGTCTATGCAACCTCGCATGCTCCTGCTGATGGTCTCTGCAGTGCCTGGGAGCCAGGCACCCAAACACGGTGATACACCTAGAGCGCACTAAGCACAAAGGGACAGCCACCAGCTCACACTGTCTCATTACATCCTCCCCATGCAGAGGAGACGCTCCTGTGGGGACAGATGGCAGGCTGTGGGGATTTGGTTTGGGGGAGCCTGGGGAAGGATGGGCCTGTGCTTCTTTGAGGACTGACATAAATATCCAAAAGGTCGAGTTTAGAGACCTTTCACCAACTCTGACTATACTGAAGATGAACAACTTTTGAAACCGGCAGATTTTATGATTGACTACAAAGATGTTTCCAGAACACTTCGGTGATTTGGGCCTGATTTTCTCATTATACAAAAGGCCATCCCCCAGTTTCAGGTCCCAAAATAGTTCTTTAAGTTCTGAAAACGGAGCTGGGTAGACCTGAACAGATGGAGCGGTGGGGAGGCTCTGACACGGGCTTTGTGCAAAGACCTCATGCCTTCCATGGCCTGCTGTGGCTGAGAGTGACTGGCTCTGCACTCCCTGCCCAGTGCATCATGTCCAGTAGCCACAAGGTCCTAGGTTCCACCCCTGAGACCCGCTAATTCTGGGTCTGATCAAGCTTTCCTCTTGTGCACTGGAGAAGCTGGCATTTGGGTTTTGTTGTGATGTTGGCTTCAGATGGTGGAAGAACCAGGGATGGGGACAGGGCAGCACTTGGGAACCAAGACATGGACACCCACGCTGCCTCTGGTTCTGGTCTCCAGCCTTAGATCAGGCCTATACAGGCCAGGACAAAGGGCGGGAAGGAAAGGAAAGGGAGAAATCACAGCCCGCTTGAATCAGACGGTTTTAAGGAGAGATCTGAGTGCCCTTGGGTTTCTGTACAGGCAGATTGGCCCCAGGTCTAGGTGCATAGAGCCCCAACTGTTAGCAGTCTGTTCTTATGGGACTGGGGAACAGTCACCCTCAAAGGCCTCTGGCTTAAGGTGTTCACATGGGGATGTGGAGGTAGCTTAGAGGGCAGGGGCATAGACTCGTGTGAGAATCCCTGTGTGTTCTGCACCACAGTGTCCCCCAAGCACTGAGCCAGAAGTCAACCCACACTGCTGGGTGTGGCCCAAACTAAGCAAAAAACAAGATGTTCAAGCAGGCAATAAGGCCAGGAGCAGGGATTTCCATGGGGGTGAGCTGCATCATGGGAAAAAACAAAGATGCCCCTGTCCCGCCCCATCGGATGGACCTGTGCCTCCCCCGCCTCTGGTGTTTGTGGGCAGCGATGCTGCTTCTGTGTCTTCCTCTGCTGTGGTGGCCTGAGCCAAAGAGCATTAGAAATAAGATGCTCTCCCAAGATTGTGGTCTCACTGATTCTTTCTCCTTAAATCCTAGTCATTGAGTCCAAAACCCTGCATGGCAGCCGTGGCGAGTACAGCTTCCCTCGCGCCGGAACGTTCGTGGTGGAGAACAGCACAGTGGAGTTCCAGCGTGGCCCGGAGAGGCAGACGTTCAGAGTCCCGGGACCACTCAATGCTGACTTCATCTTTAAGGCAGGGCCTGCGCCTAAGCGGAACATGTAGGGGGTTCCATGAGCCACCCCCATGTTCAGCACCGCTCCCTCAGTCCCTGTTGTAAAGGTGGTGCCTGACGTGTTCTTCTCACTCACACCCCTGCTGAGAAGGGGCTTGGTCCTTCCAGCAGACCCATGGTGGCTATGACTGGGGCCTTTCCCACTTTCCACTGGCATCTCTCTGACAGTTTTAAGGCATCTCTCCTTGGTCTTCTGCTCCCTTCCCAGAGAAAGCTTTTCAGCACCCCTAGAAATGACCCTTCTTTAAGGGGATCAACGACTGAAGACAAAAGCCCCTTGCCTCCAACTGCACCCAGGGCTGCCAACTGCCCCGGGTTCCCCTAAAGGGCCATGTGTTGGGATAGTGTCTGGACACAGACATCAGGGTCAAATGCTGTGTATCCTGAGGAAGTCCTAGCAGTACCCAGGAGAGTAGCTGCCACCTGTTCCCCAGGACCTTACCCTCCAGGGATGATCTGGCACTGCCTTGTAGGGCAGGGGCGATGCAGATGGGTAAGATGACAAATACCTGAGAAAAGAAAAAGGGTATTTCACTGGGTGATTTTGTGCTGTTCCTATTCAGAGATATTCCATTTCAGGTTTGTTTTTTGAAAGTGTGTCATTCTTCTCTTCCCCACACTACCAACCTGTGTTGATTTACCATCAGTGTACAGTGTTTTTGAATTTCAGGAGTTTCCTGTCTCTTTGTGTGTCTGTGACATGTGTCCTCCAAAACCCCATCAAGACCTCTGATGATTCCCAGCCCACCTCCATCTTTCCTGCAGCCACTCGAGTTTTCACAGGGTCCAGGAATTTCTTGCTTTTGCTAGTTCGTGTGTCAGTTGTTTGCGTTCTGCATGTGAGTGAGGTTGTGGGAAACTGTCTTTCAAGCCTCAAGTCATTCATTTAGCACGAGCACTTCAGGTGCCCTGTCCTGTGTCCCATGTCCAGAGAGCATCTCTGCATACCCTGGCGGGCTCCACCCCATGCATGGCCCAGCTGCTCTGCCAAGCTTCTGTGCACAGAATGTGCAGTCAGCCGCCTTACTCGGAGTTCCCCTGTCCAGACAGTTGTCTGTAATGGAGTTTTCTATATATTTCTGGATAATATGGAATTCCACTTTTCAGATTTTCACAAATTTATCTTGTTTTGGGACCCACACCTGGTGGTATTCAGGGCCTACTCCTGACTCATGCAGGGCTTCATGCTAAGTGAAATAAGTCACTGAGAAAGGCAAAAACTCTTGGACTCGTGTCTGTGTAAGTCAGAATAAATCCACAACCCTGGCTCATAGAGACAGGACAAGTGGTGCTGCCTGTGTGTGGGGAGGAACGGGAAGGTTCGGAGCCCATAGCTGAGCAGTCTCCTGGTTGGTTGTCCCACCCAGGTCCACTACTGTCCTTGTCTGCTGACTGGGGACCTCTGAGGTCTGCAGATAAGGGTCCGGGGGCTGCGCGGAGATCCAACACTGGTTGTCCCGTGAAGCTCTGTCCTGGCTCACCCTCTGCAGGCCCGACACGTGGCAGCCCGGGACAGCGTTGTCCAGTTCTTCTTCTACCAGCCTATCAGCCATCAGTGGCGACAGACCGACTTCTTCCCCTGCACGGCCACATGTGGTGGAGGTGAGCAGGTGTGGAAGTGACATGGACAGGCAACGCTGGACTGGTGGGGAACAGCAGGGCAGGTGCTGGCCCAGAACATTTAGGCATTGGATGGTGCACAGAGCGCTGGCCAAAGGCCACTTCCCTTCCTTCTTGAAATTCCACCGGAGACTTAGAAAGTGCTGGCCTGCCACAGGTGGATGTACAGGGGGTGGGTGGGGTGTTTGGTGGCAGAAAGTGGACATGGGGGGCTCAGGAATGCTGTGGAGGGGAATAGACACAGAAGGATCAAGAGCTGCAGCCAGGAAATGGGGGAGGGAAGGGGGCTCAGGACTCTGAGGACAGACAGCGGGGCTAGGACTGGACATGGAAGAAGGAGGAAGGATTTAGGACCCCAAGGATGGGCAGCAAGGGTGGGAGTGGAGATATGGGTGCACTGGATAGTGACCTGAGAAGGTGGGTCAGAGTCAGGACAAACCCAGCCAGGCTTCGGCCTCGTGACATCTTGCAGGTCTCAGAGAAGGCATTTCTGGAGTGGGCAGAGTTGAAAGAGGGGTGAGGCTGGGGACCTGGCAGGGCTGTGCCACAGGGAAGCATGGCAGGTAGCCTCTGCAGCGGGATAGTGCACAGTTGAATTCACTATCTCTGATTGCACCCCAGGCTACCAGCTCAACTCTGCAGAGTGCGTGGACGTGCGCCTGGGACGGGTGGTCCCCGATCATTATTGCCACTACTATCCGGAGAATGTGAAGCCCAAGCCCAAGCTAAGGGAGTGCAGCATGGAGCCATGCCCATCCAGGTGGGGGCCCTGGGTGCAGGTGGTAGCCAGGGGGGTCCTTCCACCCCCTGCAGTGCCCAGCAGCAGGGGGCATTGCTGCCTTGAGCTCACGTCCTGCCTCCTTCCATAACAGTGACGGCTTTAAGGAGATCAGGCCTTATGACCACTTTCAGCCCCTGCCCCGGTGAGTCTTGTCACCCCCTTAGTTCTGCTGTGGGCCAGGAGACTGGTGTGGGGGTGTCTGCCGGCACCTCATGGGAGGGTCCAGCCACTGAAGCCACAGGACCCCTTTCTACCTGGGGCTCTTGCCGGTTTGGCACCTGCCAATCACTCAGCATTCCTGGGGATCCCAGAACCTCACAGTGAGGGCTGGGGAACGCCATGAACCCTGACTGAGCGGAGGGCCCCGCTGAGCAGTGATGCCCTCTCCATGTCCTCTCAAGCTGGGAGCACAACCCCTGGACCTCGTGCTCAGCCTCCTGTGGCGGTGGCATCCAGAGACGCAGCTTTGTGTGTGTGGAGGAGTCGGTGCAGGGCACTGTCCTGCAGGTGGAAGAGTGGAAGTGCATGTACGCACCCCGGCCCCATGTTCTGCAGACCTGCAACCTCTTCCACTGTCCCCGCTGGGCTGCCATGGACTGGTCACAGGTAAGGTGAGCCGCCACACAGCCCAGTGGCCTGGAGCAGCAGGTGTGTTTGAGAACCTCTTCCTGGCCCCAAATTTGGTTAGGCAGTAGGGGACAAGAGGGAGCCCTGGCATCGACACACGTGGGGTGCTTAGGGTCAGGGCATTCCATGAAGCTGAGTCTGAAGTGTCTTGGTTTTTGTTTCTCTTGTAGCTTTCTTGGCAGGGGGCTACCATATGTTACTCAGGGGGCCTTGGGGACCGCTCCTGGTGGCACTGAGTCAGCCTGGCTGTATAGTGACTCAATCTCAACAGTTTAGGACTCAGGGACCATGCTGGGGATGGAACTTGGGGCCTTGAGCTGCAAGGCATGTGCTTCAGCCCATTGAGTGCCCCCATTCCATGACCCTTTCCTATTCCCCTTGACTTCCTAGAATGGTATAAGCCAGGACCTCAGGGTACATTCCTGTAGGTGACCAGGCAGAGATACCAGGCGTGGAGGTGTGCTGTTCCCTGGGCAGGGGTCACAGGGTCAGGGGCGTGTTCATCTGAAGGGATCAGGGAAGGGCATATGGAGTTCTGAAGGGGGATTTGTGTAAGCCCTAAGGGAACTACTGCCTGCCTTGTATCTCCTATGCTGGGAGGTGTGAGAGGCGACATACCCCTAAAGGGCCTTTGGTCCATTCCTGCCCTTCCTTTTATGTGTAGGCTGGCACATCTAAATGTTTTAATCAGAAGTTTAAATGAGTGGTATCAAACGATGTTATTCCTAACAAGTGGTGAACAGTGACGATTCTTCTGAATCACAGGGTTGGAGCCTTTTATAGAACGTGTCCAAGGGAGTGGAGGTGTCACAGTGATTTGTGTCCTTTGCTTTGGTTCCTTTATTTTAACTTGTCCTTTGGGGGGCGAAACCACTCGTCAGTGCCTTACTCCTGGTTCTGTGCTCAGGGATAACTCCTGGCTGCACTTGGAGGACCATATGGTGCCAGAGATTGAACCCAGACCAGCTGCATACAGGACCAGATCCCTGCCCATTGTACTATCTCCCCAGTTCCTGCTGCTTTTCCTTTTTAAAAAAGAGCACACAAAAAAGGCCTTCTGAAGCACTGTTCGATTTTTTTTCTCTCTCATTTTGTTTTGTTTTTGAGTCACATCCAGCAGTGCTCGGGGTTTACTCCTGGATCTGTACTCAGGGGTCAGTTGTGGAAGTACCCAAGTTGAGTACCCGAGTCGGCTGCATGCACTACTACCTCCTGTCTAGTTCAATCTCTTCTCCCCATAAACATAGTTTGTGGGCCCTGCATAGTTCAATGTCTTCTACCCACAAACATTTATCCTACTAGATAGTGTAGTTTCTATGTCCCAACATCTTTTAGCGATTATAGAATTCTACCTTTCTCCAAAAAATACCTAAAGTATTGAAATGAATATGTAATTCCCTGTGGCCACAAGGCTCTAAGCATGAAAAATGCTCCTTGATATGGTTATTATTAAATTTCTCAGTACACAATCAAAACAACCCAAATATTTTTTTCAGATTTCAGTGGCTTGAAAGGTCAGTGCTCATTTAAACCAGTTTCTAGAAGCAGATTGAATGCTTCCTTGTGTGGTGAGTCTCGGGGGTCTCTAGCACCCTCATCTTCTGCTCCTGCTAACTCCTTCGCCAGCACATCCAGGCTGGCAGAGCTGGCTCCCACAGCAATAGAGACAGGAGAGTTTGTCCAAGTGAGGCCTCTTGATTCTGTGAACTCTAAACAACTCACAGGATCAAAATCCCACTGCCAGACCCAGTGCCAGCACTGAGCCTGAGACATGGGACCTTTCCCATTTGTCCCTGATCACTCAGTCACCACAGTCACCGTGATGTTTCGTGCATGTCTTTGTAATAAGTCATTTGAACCACATTCACATTGGGACTGGAACATTGTGATGAACAACATCCTTGCCTCATCAGCACCACACATTCATTGTCCCAGTGGTAAGTAGTTTGTCTGCTTCATGGTGTCACAGTCCCATCATTACTCTTGTCATTGTCATAGCTCAGCCACTCACCAGACTATTCACACCGTCTCCAGAGTTGCATCTGCCTGTCCTCTGGTCATTGCTCATCTCTGAGGATGAATAGGATTTGTTTGGCGTGGCTGCACCCAACAGTGCTTGGGGCTACTCGCAGACTCTCTCCTAGGGGTGTTTGGGGAATGTTGTGCTGAGCGTGGAACCTGGGGCCTGCCATGAGCCAGGCAGCTGTTCTGCCCCAAGACCCCAGAACATTAGCCTGGTCCTCATCTGATGACAGAGTAACTGTGTTCCCCTCCGCAGGGAGAGTGATGCCCAAGCAGGGTGCAGGAATGCGCTCACAAGTCTCCTTCCCTCCCACCAGTGCACGGTGACCTGCGGCCGTGGGCTCCGCTACAGAGTGGTCCTGTGCCTTGACCACCGGGGCGAGCACGTGGGTGGCTGCAACCCACAGCTGAAGTTGCACATCAAGGAGGAGTGTGTGGTCCCTGTCCCGTGCCACAAGCCCAGAGGTGCGTGCATGAGGTCCAGCCCCTCCAGTCATATGACCGTTCCCCCGCTGAACCCACCTTCTGGGCCCCTTTCTCCATAGAGAAAGGCCCGGTGGAAGCGAGCCTGCCGTGGCTGAAGCAGGCTCATGAGCTAGAGGAGAGGGGACGAGCATCTGAGGAGCCCACGTGAGTCGCTCTGAGCACCTGGTTGAGGTTGGTCTTGTCCTCCTTGGGGTCCAGCAGTGCCTTTCACATCCAGATGTCCTGCTAGCTCATGTCTTTATGGCAGAGTCCCTGGTCGTGCATAGAAAGAACCCATGAGAAGCATGGGAAGGAGGGAGGCTGTTAGTATGGGGGGTTGGGGGGTCCTGGGTCCTGATTGACATGGGGCATAATCTCACATGTTCCTTCAAGTCCACTTACCTGAGACCTACCAGGGTGGAGAGCTGGCCAGAGAGCAGCTGCAATCCAGGGACAGAGAGACAGGGTCACTGGGACCCAGAGCCACTGCCCCAAGTGCAGAAGACTTTCAGCTCTGAATCTTGGAGCTGAAGCCATCAGCGGGGACAACACTTGCCTTGTACCCATCTGACTGGCACTGCATAGAGTTCCCCAAAGACAGAGCTGGGAATGATCCTAGAGCACAGAACCCAGAATAATCCCTGAGCACAAAGCTAGGAATGACCCCTGAGCACAGAGCCAGGAGGAATCCCTGAGCACAGAGCCAGGAGGGATCCCTGAGCACAGAACCAGGAGTGCTCCCTGAGCACAGAGCTAGGAGTGAGCCCTGAGCACAGAGCCAGGAGGGATCCCTGAGCACAGAGCCAGGAGTGAGCCCTGAGCACTGCTGGGTATGGCCCCCAAACCAGAGCAGAACCCCAGTGTCTGTGCCATGCTCCAGTGGTCACGTGCACCCACCCTGCCCTGCAGGCTCATCGCCGAGCCCTGGTCCCCTTGCAGCACCACGTGCGGTCCGGGCATCCAGCTCCGGGAGGTGCGGTGCCTCGTGTTCCTTACCTTCACACAGACGGAGACGGAGCTGCCTGCCAATGAGTGCCAGGGCCCCACACTGCCCACCCAGCGGCCCTGCCTCCTCCAAGCCTGTGCACAGAGCCCCACCGCCCGCCAGCCACCCTCTCCCCTCGCCCATGATGGCCAGACAGCCTACGACTGGGAGTACGCCGGCTTCACCCCCTGCACCGCCACCTGTCGGGGAGGTAGCCGACCGCGTGGGGGGCTGGCGGGGTTGCCCACACGAGCGTGGGCGTGTCAAGGGCCTCATTCTGCTGAAGCGAATGGGAACACTGTGGCTTCTTTCCCGGGCAGCCTCCCGGGCCTGGTGCTTGTGCTTGCCCTTCCCACAGTGCAAAACTCTCAGTCCCTGGGGTGTTCTCCCCACCCAACCCCCAGGCCACCAGGAAGCCATTGCCGTGTGCCTGCATGTTCAGACGCAGAGGGTCGTCAACGAGTCCCTGTGTGACAGGGCCCACCGGCCCCCAGCCATGAGCCAGTCGTGCAACACAGAGCCCTGCCCACCCAGGTGGGTGCTCACTCATGCCAGTGCATGCGTGCTGGGGAGCTGCTGGGAAGGGCATTTGTGCAAGACACGCCCTAGCAGAGACCTGTCTGGGGTCAAGCCAGGAGGAGCCATGTGTGCTTCTCAGCGGCCTCATTGTTCCTTCCTCCCCTCCTCCCTTCCCCTCCCCTCTTCCCGCCTCCTCCCACCCCTTCACTCCCCTTCTCTCCCTATTCCTCCTTTCCCGACCCTTCCCCACCCTTCCTTACCCTACCCCTCCTTTCTTCTCCCCTCTTGTCCCCACCCCTCCTTCTCCCCTGCTGTCCCCACCCCTCCTCTCTCCTCTCCTTTTCCCATCCCTCCTCTTCCCCTCCTCTCCCGACCCCTTGTCTGCTTTCCTCTTCCCAACCCTTCCCTTTTCTCTCCTTTCTTCTCCTCTTTCTGTCCCTCCCCTCCCTACCCCTCCTCTTTCCTTCTCCCTCCTCCCCTCCCCTACTCTCACACAGGTGGCATTCAGGCCCATGGGGGCCCTGCTCAGCTAGCTGTGGGGTGGGCATCCAGACCCGAGAGGTTCAGTGCCTACACCCTGGGGAGTCCCCAGCCCCACCCCAGGACTGCCCAGAGGAGAAGCCTCATGGCTTGCAAGCCTGCAGCCAGTTCCCCTGCCCCCCCAGCTGGCATGTCGAGGACTGGCAGCAGGTAGGCCAGCCAGCACCCCCACGTAGCAGACAGTGGCAGGGGCCGCACCCCAGCAACTTCACCATGGCCTTGCCCCTCTCAGTGCTCCAGGACGTGTGGGGGTGGCACCCAGTGGCGGAGGGTCACCTGCAGGCAGCTGCTCACAGACGGTAGCTTCAGGAGCCTCTCAGACGAGTTGTGCCCAGCGCCCAAGGCCTCGTCCCACAAGTCCTGTGCCAGGACTGACTGTCCACCTCAGCTCACCACAGGCCGCTGGTCACAGGTGAGGCCCTTGCAGCAGCTGCTCCTTCAGATCAGCCTCTGAAGCCTGCCTGCAGAGGGCAGGGGCACAGGAGGACCTGCAGGGTTCCTCATTCATTCTGGGGAGGGTAGGAAAGTGGGCCACAGCCTGCTCTCGCCTGGTTCCATGGGACCCCTCTTGGCTCGTGCCCCCAGACTCGTCCACTGCAGCCCTGGCTGCTGCCCTTCTGAGGCACCCCCTTTGCAGTGCTCCGTGAGCTGTGGCCAGGGGACTCAGCGCAGGAAGCAGGTGTGCCAGAGGCTGACAGCTGGGGGCCGGCGTGTGCCTGCCAGCAAGCAGATGTGCGGGGCCCATGCAGGGCTCCCACTCGTGCGTACCTGCTGGATGTCAGCCTGCCCCGGTAAGCAGCCCCACATACCATCTGTCCTCACACCCACAGGTGACACCCAGAGTAGATCATGTGGGATCTAGGATGATGACATTGATCAGGTGTCGGGGAGAACCCACGCATGTTCAATCCTAAGGGTGTTGTAACCTCACGGGGCTCAGCTGCCAGGGTGCCCGAGAGCTGGGCCGTGTCCGAGCTGGGGGGCCTGGTTTGTGCAGGGCCCCACGTGATTCCTGAGCACTGAGCATGCTCTGTCTCCGCGTTTCCACAGCGGACGGAGCCCAGAAGCACGTGGTGGCTCGGCCTCAGAAGCTGCCACCGGCTGCGCTGGTCACTGACCTCCTCCTCCCTCCTCCCCGCAGTGGTGCAGGCAGAGCTCGGGGGGCAGCGCCCTGAGATCCTCGGCGTGCGCAGGGTTTACATTCAGACCCGGGCACAGCCGCGCATCACCCTGACAGTGGGCAGCAGAGCCTACCTGTGGCCCAACACTTCCGTGGTCATCCGGTGCCCCGTGCGCCACTTCCAGAGACTGCAGGTCCGGTGGGAGAAGGACGGCCGCTGTCTGCACAGCTCCCCACGCCTGGTCATCACCAAGTCAGGTGCCCTGAAGCTGCGCCGCCTCACCGCTCCCGATATCGGCACCTACCACTGCATCGCGGGCTCTGTTCGGGACTCTGTCATCCTCAAGCTCATTGGGACAGACAACCGGCTCCTCCTGCCCCCGGCAGTCAGAGAGCAGAGTGGAGGCTCTCCCACTCTGGAGAGCATGGACCACCAGGCAGACCCCCTGGGAGCCACACGCCATAAAATGAGAGCCAGCCAAAAGGTGCTTCAGTCAGTCAAGGGCCAGGCTGACCAGCAGCCTTCCCGGGACGCGCTGTTGGGCCCCTGTGGGGGCACCGGCAGCTTCTGGGAACTGCAGCAGCTAGACGGGGCTGCACAACTTGGATCATACAGTATGGATGTGGGCCAGTTCGAGGAGCTAGTTCGGAATATGAGCCAGCTCATGGGCACAGGGGAAGCAGGTGATGACCTGGCGTCTCAGCTCATCTACCAGCTGGTGACCAGCCTTGCAGCTGTGCCCCAGCAGGAAGACACACCCCCACACCCAGTCATGGAAAGCATAGGCAAACCCACCCTCCAACCTCAGGGACCCACTCTCATGCGTTCCAGCCAGGTGCCCTCGGTGTCACTGAACCAGACAGTCAACATCAGGATTGGAGACACAGCGTATGTGACACCCAGGACCACAGTTGTCAACATCCTGTGTGAGCTGCTCACCCCCATGGAGGCCACATTCATGTGGACTAAGAATGGGGCTCCTGTCCAGCCCTCTGACAGGTGAGCAGGCCCCCAGGCACCCTGGAACACCTTCAGCAGGTGAGTGGGATTTTATACGTCCTGGAACACCTTCCACTGCCTCTCAGGCTCCCCACAGCATCTTCTGCTGTTCCAGGGAAGGTAGCGCAGAAACACGGGATAGTCTTCTCCCCTCACTGCGTCCCCAAGGACCAAGGTGGCCACAGCCCTCAGAAGCCCTTTCTGAAGGGCATTTTAGAAATGAAATCAGTGACAGGCCATTCATGACAGAATCATGGGGATACCCCGCAGGGCGGGTGGGGGCACAACTGTGGGGTGGAGTTGTGCAGTCACAAGAACATCTGAGTCCACCATTAGTGGCCCTGGAAGAAACAGATACATTATGTGAATGTGTTCTCTGAATGTGTTCTCTGGCTGTTCTAGAATAATCTGGGATGGAATGGGGAAAATCCAGATACGGAACCCAACAAAGAAAGAAGGAGGGCTTTATGGATGCTCAGTGTCCAGCCATCTGGGTTCCGACACAGAAGGTTCTCTGGTGCTGTTCGCAGGTACCCCAGGGTGATGCACAAAGCCTGGTGGGTGCGGGATTCCACGTGCAGCTTGGGGGCCACAGTTCCTCAACTGCAGCAGCTTCAGTCACCCGATGCCACCTTAGTGGCATTTGGAAACAGCCTTACTTGCTCTCTTTGTTGTCTGCCCATTCATCATCTAGTCAGCCCTCCACCTACTACATATGCCTCCCCCATCCATCTGTCCATCCCTCCATCTTTCCATTTGTTTATTCATTCGCCAATTTATATATCCATTCAGGCATTCATTCTTCCATCCCTCTATCCTGTCCATCCCTCCATCATCCCTCCATCCATCTGTCTATCCATCCATCCATCTGTCTGTCCATACATTTATCATCCATTCCTCTATCCATCTGTCCATCCCTCTGTCCATTTAATCCATCCATCCATTCATCCATTCATTTTCCCTCCCTCTCTCCATCCCTTCCTCCATCCATCCATCCCTCTCTCCCTGCATCTTTGCCTCCAGCCACCAACCATCCATTTATTCACCATCTGTTTGTTCCTCTGTCCACCAGTTGTGTCTTCAGGCAGTGTCCCTGTGAACTTCCAGGTGCTCTGATGGACACAGAGAGATCCAGGACAGTGTCCTCTGCTCTCATGAGCTCAGCACAGTCTCCAGAATCATCCTCAGAGCTCTTCACCAAGGGGAAGAAGTGAAGATAGAATCATCCCTAGAGCTTTGTCCAGGGGCAGAAGCAGGAATGTAATGCAGTTTCCTGTCCCCTTCTCTTCTAGAGGCCCCTGCCATCCTATCTGTGGAAAGAGTGGTTACTGTGCCTGAGCATAGCCACCTGTCAGTCGTAGTTGGAGGTGTCATAGAAGCCGCTTTGGGAGCCAATTTGATGATCCACTGTCCTACAGATGGTGAGTGTGGTCTCCTGCAGGTTGCCACATGGCTCTGATGGTGGCAGAGATGCTGCTGGCATTGGGCTCCCCAGCCCTTTGCCTGGCAGGCTTCTTTTCTGCTTCGAGCGCACTCGAGTAGAGCTGCAGGCTGAACCCATTGCAGCATCTTGGTTCCCACGAGGCTGAGCTGCGCATTCATGCAGGTGTAGAAAGGTTCCAGACTGCTGGTCTAGTAGACAGTGGAGGGGCTGAACCATGCTGTAAATATACTAACTAGCCATTGCAGTGGGTGAATTTTATGATGTGTGAATTACATTTCAGTAAGCCCTTATAAAAATATCAATAAATTTTGCTGTGTTAAAGGTTTGGCAATTCCCCCCCAAAGTTAAAGAAATGACCCCCATTCCAGTGATAGGTATCCATGAGATGATTGAAAACACATGTTCAAACAGAAACTCGTTTGAATGCTCCAAACTGTCGTTCACAAAGGCCAAAGTGCGGGAATGATGCAGAGGACCCCCAGCTGATGAAGAGGTAGACAAAGTGTGTTCTCTGCACACTTGGGTATTTTTCAGCAATAGACAGAACCATGGGCCTAATATAGATGTGGTCAGGGTCGAGTGCAGAACCTGGAGCCAGTACCACTGAGGAAGTGGGTCAGAGACCTGAAAACTAAAGAGACGGGGACAACAGTGGCCAGGAGAAGGCGAGTGGAAAGCAAAGTCTGGTCCAGGTTGGCCATGTGCACAGAAACTGCCTTCCCCACTGTCCTTTAGCTCTGGCCTTCTTCCTTCTTGTTCTGGAATCAGCCTCTTGTCCAGACAATCTTCATAAACCAGTCCTGCCTCTGGGGCTCATGGATGCCCTGCAGAGGAGAGTATGGCTGGGGGGTGCAAAGGACTTTGGGGGCTTGTTTCCAAAGCCCCTTTGAGCCGGTGACCAGTGGCAGGGACTTGCTCCCCTTGGATCTGCCATTCTCTGGCTCTTGGGCAACCTGCTGGCTGGCATCTGTCACATGAGTCTCTGGCCTGTCCCCAAGGCACTTAACTTTGTCTTGTTCATTTTTATTTCATAGGTGTCCCTGCACCCCATGTGACCTGGGTGAAGGCAGGAGGAGGGCGTTTGAGTGACGGTGACTCTTCACTTCTCAATGCGTCCCTGCGGCTGTACAACATCGGCCTCCACGATGAGGGTACCTATGTCTGTACAGCCACCAATGCCCTGGGGGAGGCAACGGCCCACACTGAACTACGCCTGCAGGGTGAGTGTGAGTGGATCTGCAGCAAAGGGGCAGTGTCAGCCCTGACCTGAGTCACTGCCCACAACCCCACAAGCTGGCTCTGGGTCTCTCTCTCTCTGGGTCCTGCATCCTCTCTGCCTGGGAACCACCCTGGGCCTCTTCATCTCTCGGAGTCCAGGCGCCTCCACTTCTACTTCCATACCTACCAGTCCTCTTCCCTCCACCCTTCCAGCTGTGAGTGCCCAGTTCCTCCCTGCAGCCCAGCACATGTGTGCACATATTCCTATGTGCTCCTGCACAGGCATGCTTTCACACAAGTATCCCACACAAATTCATGTTTGTGTGCATAGATGGACACAGGTACATGCTTACATATGCACACTCATGTATGCCATACACATCTTAGTGCACACACATGAACACACGTTTATGCACGCTCACATGTATGTTTGTACACATGCATGTGTGTGCTTAATGCATGCACACCCACATATATGGACAAGTTTGCATGCACACTCACATGTATGCCACACATGCATTTTGTACACATACATGGATACATGAGTATGTTTATGCACACACTTGTGTGTGCAGTCAGATGCACACATGAAGTATATATGCCTATGCATATGCATTAACATGAATACTTGTACACATGCAAACCATATGTAATATTCATATCATAAGCATGCATAATGCATTTATGCATATGGCATGTATAAGCATGCTCATAAACACATATAAGAAACGCAGCTCGTGACTTATATAAGCAACACATATAAGCATGTATGAGTACAGTTATACACGGGCACCCAGCACATGACATGTATAAGCATGTATATGTATACACAGGCACCCAGCACAAGACATGTACGAGCATGCGTATGTATGTATGTATATATACATACATGTACACATTATCTACTTCTTACTCTGGAGAACCAGGTAGGCTACTAAAAGTATCCTGCCCCCACGGTGGAGTCTGGCAAACTCTCCGTGGTGTATTCATTATGCCCAAAACCAGTAACAATGATGGGTCTCATTCTCCTGACCCTGAAAGAGCCTCAAATGTGGCGTTTTCTAAAATCTTAGGGCTAGGATGAAGGACATGTTATTGGTACCTGCTGGAGGAAATCGATGACCAACAGGATGACAGTGATACAGTGACAGTATACATGGGCACCCCAGCACATAATGTGTATAAGCATGTGCATATGCCTGTGTATATGGATACCTGGCACATGACACATATCAGCATATACATGTATACATGGACACCTAAGAACATTGCATATAAACGTGTACATGGGCACCCCAGCTAATGACACGTAGAAGCATGTGCATGTAAACGGACACCCCAACTCAATGTATGTAGGCATATGTGTGTATATGAGCCCTCAGCTCATGACTTGTAGAAGCATATGCATATATGTGGGCACCCCAATTCATGACACATACAAGCATGTGCATGTACACGGACACCCCAGCTTGAGACTTGTATAAGCACATGCATGTACACGGGCACCTCAGCTCATGACTTGTATGAGCATGTGCATATCCGTGAGCATCCCAGCTGATAACACATGGAAGTATGTGCATGGACACGGACACCCCAGCTCGTGATTTATATAAGTGTGGTCATGTGCATGGCCACCCCAGCTTGCGACACATCTAAGCATATACATGTACACTGACACCTGAGTTCGTGAGTTGTATAAGCATGCACATGTACATGGGCACCACAGCTTGTGACTTGTTTAAGTGTGCACATGTGCATGGGTACCCTCAGCTTTTGACATGGATAAGCATGTGCATATACGTTGGCACCCCAGCTTGTGACTTTTTTAAGCATGTGTATGTACATGGGCTCTCCCTATGCTTCTCAGCCGGCATAGGGAGAAGTGACCACGGCCCCACTGTGCCCGCTCCTCTCATGCAGCCCTGCGCAACTGTCCAGCCAGATTCTCCACCACCACACACACACCTACCCCCACCCCTGCCCTCTCTGTCCCTCTAGCCCTGTCTAGAGTCTGCTTGATGCACTTTCCACCTCGGTGGTAAGGCTGTGAGCCCTGGAGTGGCAAGGACACCCACTGTTGGCACAGGGACTGACTGATTCCATCCGAGAACACCCCACCCCACGTGTACCCCAAACCAGGGCCTACTGTGTGGCTGGCACAAGCTCGCTCTCCTGTGGCTCCTCTGTAAGACCCTGGGGCCACGATGAGCACCACGTGGTTTCTCACTGGCCTGCCAGTGACCTTCTCCCCCTTCCTCAGAACATAGACAGCCCAGCAGCCACTTTTCATTCCGCAAGAACCACAGGAAGCCTGAGGCCCACAGTGCTGACCCAACAGGCGAAGCCCCACCTCCAGGTCTGTGGTGTGGACGCTGGGTGGGGGGATCTCCTGGGTGGGAGGTGTGCAAGAAAAGGAATTTAGCCGGCGGGCCCTCCAGGCTGTGTTTTGCAATAAGTGAAATGACACCAGGCACTGGGCGAGCTTCCTTCCCGTTCCTTTGCAGCCTGTGGTCCACCGTTCCTTTCGTACTGAGACATTTCTGGAAACCCACAGAGCTCCTTTCTCATAGGTACTAGCGTTATGGTGTTGAAGCTGCCGTCTTGGCAGCATGGTCTCCACACTCTGTACATGGCACCGGGTCTCACTTCCCCTGGTCTCGGAAGTTCCCCGTGGCCACCACAGCCAGGTGGGGAAGACAGTGGGTGCCAGAACAAAGGGACCTCGGCCTTGCAGCTCTGCCACGGAAGACCCAGGGGAACCCGGGGGGGGGGGCGCTGGCCATAGTCCCCAACTCCTTCAGCTGAACATACTGATCCCCATACTGAGCATCTCTTCCGTAAATGCCAGCTCAGCCGAGAAGCCCCTGGGCCCTTGCACCAGCCTCCTGGGACCAGTGTGGGTGGAAGAGTCATACACATTACTCGGGGTCAAGGCTGACCCTTTCCTGACAGATCTTGTTCCTTTCCAGCCCTGTGAGTGGGAGCTGCTGTCCACTGGGTACACTGAAGGTCAGAGGATGCCTGGATCTTAAAAGTGTCTGACAGTGCTGCCCACCTGGGACATTCTCCACAGATTTAGACCAGTATTATGTAGGGCTGGGACATGATATAGGGGAAAGTGCTTGGCCTGCACATGGTCAACCAGGGTCTAACCTCAGCACTATGTAAGGTTCCTGAGCCCTCCAGGAGTGAGTCCCAAGCACAGAGCCAGGAGTGAATCCCCGAACACAGAACCAGGAGTGTGTCAAGCAAACCCCAAACATGAAGCCAGAAGTGAGCCCCACTTCTGACATGGTGCTAGGAATGATCCCTGAGCACAGAGCCAGGAGTGATCTCTGTGTGTGTACAGAGCCAGGAGTGAGTTCCAAGCACAGAGCCAGGAGTAAATCCTTGAGCACCACCAGTGTGTCCCTAAAACAAATGACATGGAAGGCTGACGAGCTCTCAGGGGCGGAGCACAGGCCTTGCACACAGGAGCCTGGTTTCATCCCCAGCACTCAGGGTGCCCTAGATACCTCAGGGATGAGCCATGAGCATCACCCAGGAGGCCCCTACCCAAGAAAACTCAGATAAAAGTAAAAACAACGAGAAAGTGAGTGGGACTGTGCCGTTTTCCCAGTCACTGGCCCCTGGCACAAGGCAGCCTTTGTCTGTTGCGGGACCTGGAGCCAGCGCCCTTTCCCACGAGACCCCTTCTCGTCCTCCTGACTGCTTGGACCTGCTGGGCAGTGCAGGGAGGACTCTCCGTTCTCTTGGCTTCCCCAATCTTGCAGGACCCTCACCCAGCCCACGGTCTCAGGACTTGTGGCCTGTGACAGGAGAGATGTGGGCAGCCAGGACTCAGGGCCCTCCTCTGCCTCAGGGTCTCCAGGACTCAGGGCCCCACCCTTGCCACAGGGTCTCCAGGATTCAGGGCCCTCCTGAGGCTGCTGAGTGCCAGTGGCAGCAGCAGATGTCCTCTCATACCTCTGCCCTAACCCTTCACTCCTCTCCACAGAACCCTTCTGGAAACTGGGGCACTGGACTCCGTGCTCAGCCACCTGTGGCCCCTTAGGGACCCGCGTTCAGAGAGCCCAGTGTGTAACAGCCACTGGGCAGCACGTGGTTGAGGCCCTGTGTGCCCACCTGCAGAAGCCACGGGCATCCTGGCAGCCATGCCACCCCCGGGACTGCCCCCCCAGGTACGGGGCCCCACCTGTCCCATTCCTGAGGCATCTGAGATGGAATTGGCTGCAGGTTCCTGAGAGACAGTTCTGCTGACAGAACAGTCCAGGCCAGAAGCTTCCAAGATCACAGGGTTAAAAGGGACCCCAGGTCACATGGTGATATAGGGGTTCTAGCTCATAGGCTTTGGGCCCAGGTAACAGGTAACAGGACCCAGGTCACAGGTAACAGGACCTAGCTCACAGGTTATCAGGCCAAGGTCACAGGTCATAGGGCCCAGGTCATTGTTTATAGAGGTCATAGGTTATATGGCTCCAGCCCTTGGATTCAGACTTGCAGACTTCCCTCCCTTGCAGCGAAGGGTTCCGCCATCGGCAGGTGATGTGCTACCGCACCAGAGCCTCGGTCCCTGACCCACCTCCCATCCACCTGCTATGCCTCTTGTGCTTGAAGCTTTCAGTCCACCCAGGGCCCCCCAGCTTCTCCTGGACCCCCTGCTCTGTCTCTGGAAATTGAGGCACAGCTTGAACTTCCTGGGGCCCCTTTCACTGCAGCTGCCTTCAGCTATCCCACTTCCTGTAGTGCCCCAAAACTTCTCAGTGCTGTTCCCCATCACTGTTCACATGTGAGTACTGCTTCTGGCAGGCTCATCTCAAACCTCACGCCTCATGCCTACCTGTAGGGTCGCCTGGGCGGGCTCAGACTCAGACAGGGACAAGTCCCCCATGCCCCTAACCACTGGAACTGCATTGACAGGCCCCAACATCTCTGCTGCCTCAGTTCAAGTCCCCACTCAGAGGCCTCGAGCAACAGCTCCAGCAGTGCCACATCCTTCTGAAGGCAGGCACCCCACAAAGACCCCCTAGAACCAAAAACGTGGAACCATGACATGTCATGCCCGTCCTTTGATTTGGGGTGGGAAGTGCGGCTGGAAGGTCCCTGGCATGCTCCTGTTCTGTGTGTTTGTGGATGTGGGTGTGTGTGTATTTAGATCTGAGTGTATATGTACAAGTGTGTTTGTGTGCATGTATGAGTCTCTATGTATGTCTGAACATACATGTGTGTGGCATGTGTATATGCACATATTAGTCTGTATATGTGAATGAGTATATATGTATGTGTGTGTGAATTTCTTTGTATGTGTCTGTGTGTATGTGTGAATGAGTGTATATGTGTGAATATGTGTCTGAGTCTGAATTTCGGAGTATGTGTGTGTACATGTGTATATGTGTGTTTGCATGTGTTTATAAATGTGTGTGTGAGTTCATGTATGTGTGGGTGTGTGTATCCATGAGCACATGCGTTTCTCGGTCAGCATGAGCAGGCCCCTCCATCCTGCCTGGTGTCATTTCATCTGTTCACATCTATTTCCAGGTGGGTTACGGGGGCCTGGTCCTCATGCTCTGTATCATGCGGCGAAGGGTTCCGCCATCGGCAGGTGATGTGCTACCGCACCAGAGCCTCAGGAGGGGTGCAGCTGCTGGCTCCCCCTGCCTGCACCCCCAGGGACCGACCTTTGGGCAGAAGAACCTGCAAACAGCCCCCATGTGACCAGTGGGACATCAGGCTAGGGGGCCAGGTAAAGCCAACCACAGCAGCTACCCAGTGTAGCATGCTAGTCTGAAATTCATGATGTCCTGGAGTGAGATGAGATTTCCGGTCCCAGCTGCAGCCACTGGGCAACGCACCGAGGATAGAGGGTGTCACTGTCAGACATGACTAATGGAAGGCCCAGAGTAGATCAGAACCTCTGCGGTCTGGCTGCTGATGGCCCAGGTGGGACTGTCTTCATGGTGACAGTGCTCTGGGGACTGTCATGGGGGTGACAGTGCTCTGGGTGACAGTCCTCTGAACTGGCTTGTGTTGATGTCACTCAGCAGTGAGAACATGCTTCATGGTGGTGCTGTATCCAGTATGGGAGCTGCAGTTCCATGAGGCTGTGGGGACTGGGCAGTGGGTGAAGGCTGGACCATCAGGCCAAGGACAGGCCCCACAGCCCTGAGCATACTTGGAAGTCCCCCAGAAAGGGAAAACAGTGCTATGATCGCACACAGATGGAAGACCTGAGTGTTAAACTTTTCCCCCCAACTGAACTCACTCTTATGGAAGAGCACCCACAGGCCAGGCCCTCTTCAGGCTTTCCCAGGCCAGCTCAGTACCCTCAGTGCCCTCCTGCTCTTCAGTAGAGCTCTCGGGCTGAGGTGGCAAAGGGAGACCTCTGTCTCCTGTCTATTGCAGATGGGTGCATCCGAGCCCTGTTCCCCCGCCCCCCACTCCCAGCTTCCTGGGGCACCTGGGGCCTGAATCCTTTGTCCAGGTTCTGATGTCCTGGCAGGTCAGATTCCGGGGGCTAACCTGGCCTTTGCTTTGTTCCAGTGTCCTGAGCGTTGCCTGGGTCATGCCGGAAGCTCACAGCCACTCGGGGGACTATGTCCCCACCACAATGACTCCAGCTGTGAGGACAGCAGGTACCCGCTGCCGTGTTCCCCTTCCACCATTCACCCCTGTCCTTCTCAGCCTTTTCTGTCTAATCACTGGTGGTGCTGTCCGCAGTGCCTGGCGTTTCAGAATGTTCTCTGAAAGTAGGGTTCCATTGTGTAATAGTTAGCACTCTGGGCTCTGATACACATATACAGGTAACCATCAGTCTGCATGTTGAGCTTGTGACGAGAGTCCTAAAGAGAGTAAGACGAGCAGCTGAGAGAGTGCCTCCTCCATGGCCCAGGGCCACATGTCGCGTGTAGTCCCAGTAATGCTGTAGCAGGTTAGAGACCATCCCAGTCAGGATATGGTCCTGCAGAGAATTGCACATGTGTGTTCAGGATCTTGGTGGGGCCCAATCTGCAGGTAACATGCCCCTGAGACCCCAGCCAGAGGGCCGTGAGCATGAGATTGTTCAGGGATGGGCAAGGACACGGGACTGCTGCTACTTCCACCTTCGTATACGTTCATGACTTTGGCTGCGGGACCCCAACTGGCCACGGTTTAAACTGTTTTCTTGAACTGTCCCATGCAGTGAGTGTCTGGTCCCCTTAAGATTCCCAAGTCAGATTTCGCCAATCAGCCCTTGGGGTGGCTCCCCCTGCTGGCTGATGGGAGTATTGCCCCACCCTCCCTCAAGTCACCAGCCACGCTTCTTTGGCACCCAGGCTCCTTGGTCCTCTCTTGGCCATTCCCTTTAGATTGCCTTCAGATGGCAGACATGGGAGCCTGCTGACAGAGGTCAGGGAGGTGCCCTTGGGGATAAGGTTCCAGGTTTTGTCTGCTTCCTTTCCTGCTCTTGCTGCGGTCCATCCCCCTTCTCCGGCCTGGGTGGCAGGAAGACAACCCTGTGCTCCAGTCCCCTGCGGACTGCAGGGAAGGAGTAGCAGGACCGGTCAGGCGGGGTGGAACTTGCAGGGACCCCTGTGTGCACCCCTCAGGATTCTGATGCACATATCTGCATCACGCTGTTGATTTGGTTAAAAGTGTTGGGACTGAATCTGCCTTCTTGCTAGCATGGACCCATCTGCTATTTCAGAGTCCGCCCTGGGAGGAGCTGCTCGCCGAGGGACTGTGTAGGCTGCTGGCTTCTGCATCCCTGGGGGTCCTGCTCAGCCCCCTGTGGTGGGGGCTTCCAGGCCCGCAGGGTGCGTTGCGTGCACCCCCTCACCTGCATGCCCCTGGCCGAGGGACGTTGTGTGCAGAGAGACAAGCCTGCATCCCGGAGACCCTGTCTGGGCCCCCCGTGTGAGCGTATGTATCCCCCACTTCCACATGCTCCCCCAGCAGGCCAAGGCAGTCCCCAGTCCCCTGTGCTAGAGCCCTCACACCTCCCGAAGCACCTGCCTCATGCCTGTACACCCAGGGCCCAGAAGAGGACCCAGCCCCTACCTCATCCCTTCCTTCATGGCATAGGAGTAGATGCTGCTTTCCTAGAAGCACACAGTTTTGTTTTGGGGGGTGGGGAGATGCTCCCAAGCAGAACTCAGGGCCTCCCCAGTGATGCCCACGACTGGACCAGTCTGTTCAGTGTCCGGTAGGATGGTTGTTGGGGGCCACTGGCCCCCCCCCCATGTGGCAGGGCAGGGGCCCTGTGACATCAGAGCAGACACAGGCCCCCAAGGAAGCTCAACCCAGGTCTCTGGCAAGCTGTGGCATCTTCTGCCTGCCCACAGGGGACTGACTGCCCGGAGTCCACCCGCAGCTGCCACTGCTTCTGAGACACTGTCGCGCAGGGCCCCGAACACCTGCTCCTTGCCTGGCAGGCAAGGTGGTGCCAGGCCTCTGGTGAGGCTGAGCCGTGGTCGCCCAAATGCTGCTGGGAAGAGTGAGGAACAGTTCCTCTCCCAGGACTGCTGCTGACAGAGACTCAAGGACCTTTCAGGAGTCAAGTGAGGATGGCACTGCACAAGCCGTCCAGCGAGGGGACACCCTTCACGGGCCTCCTGGGAGGCCCTTCGTCTCTCCAAGCCAGACAATTTTGCCAGGAGACACAGACAGGTGGAGTCCGGTAGCCAATGCCACTTACCCACGGGGGACGAGCAACTGGCACTCCCTGGAGGGACCCAGATGGAGTGGCCAGAGCACTGTTCACAGACCATTCTCCTTTCCTGCCCACACTGACTGGGACTTCTGTAGAGTGTTCTGGAAGCCTTAGAAGGAAGTGACCTAAATATGGCTTATGGCAGCCGAGGGCACTGTAGATATGGTTCTCCCAAGAAAAGGGTCACTCAGACCCTGCAACATCAGAGCTGGGGGTCAGGTGGGCCATGCAGGTGGGATTTGGGAAGGATGCTGTCTCGGGTTTGGTGGAAGTTGCTGGAGGATATAGGTTAGGGTGGTGACGTCGGGTGGGTTGGATTCTGTGGGGTGTGCTGGCAATGGTCAGGGCAGATGCCGCATAGGGTACCGTGGTAGCTGTACAGAGGGCTGGGTCTGGGGTTGGATTGTACATTCTGATTATGACTGGGGTTCGCACTCCATGCCTCATACCTTCCTGGCTCCTGCTCGACTTTGGGACACCATCTACAGGGCCCATGGGTGACGGTCTGGGAGAGCAGCCGGGAGAGAATGCACCAGTCTCCCAGGGTCAGCGTGGCTGCCTGACACACAGGTTTGGGGGACAGAGTGGTCATAAGCAGATAGGAGTCCATGGCTTGTGAGTCACTCACTCTTGGCCATTAAATGTTTATGAGTTAAGAGGAAGATGGCCTGTAAAATGCCCTGTACATAGCCATTATGGGACATTAAGGTGCAATATTTGATTCTGTACAGACCAATAAAGACACAGGACATCCGTTTATCTTAGGAGTAGCATTTTTAAGAATCTGCCTCAGCTTGATGAGAAGATTTGGGTGTTTTGTCACCTGGTGCCCGGATGCTGTTCCAGAGTGAACGGGCCTGTCCCAGCATGTGCAGCTGCCAGGAGGCTGAGGGAGCTGGCCAGTGCATTGGCTCTCTGGGATGTACCTGTGTTTCCACAGCCCTGGTGCTGTGCCTGTGGCGGGGGGTTGGAGGTGCAAGGGGCTGTGCCGGGGTCTAGGGCCATCCTTGTTGGGGAGTCTATGCCTGGGGCCATACTTGGAGGACAGAGCCTGTGCCTGGGACCATCCTTATGTGTTGGGGGGAAAGGGACTTGCCTGGGGCCATCCTTATGTGTGTGCTGCAGAGCAGAGACTGTGGCTGGGGCCTTCCTTGCTTGGGGGGGGGGGGTGTCAGGTGCAGAGTAGCTCCCCCCCCCCAGTAGCACCACACAGGCAGTGTCAGGGGCATGGGTGACCTCTCATCACTGCCTTCCTGGGACCTACTGCGGGCTATTAGGCTGTGGGGGTTGTGAAAGGTGCTGAGGGGTGGGGTGCTATGTGATGTTAGGGTGGGAGAGTGAGGTGCAAAGTGGGGGGTGGCCTGTGCGAGAAGGAGCCCTGGAGCAGCCCCAGCTGGGTCACCCAGAACCTTGCAGAGCTGGAGTTGCGCGGGGAAAGTGAGCATTTCTGACAACACTCGAGAGTCCCCTGCGTGCCTTCACCAAGAGCCTTGGCGTTTCCAGGGTCGCCTGCTGAAGGCCAAAAAGTCATTTCATTATAATGTGCAATGATGTTAACCTCGGAGATCAACAGTGGAACCCCAAGTAACAATGCTACCCCAAGGCAACAATGGGACTCCCAGGTAACAGTGATACACCCCCAAGTAACAATAGGGTCCTCAGGTAACAATGGAACCCCCAGGTAACAATGGAACTGGCCTCAGGTAACAGTGGGGCCCCTATGTAACAATGGGACCCCCAGGTAACAATGATACTCCCCCAGGTAACAGTGGGGCCCCCAGTAACAATGGAACCCCAGGAACCCCAGGTAATAATGGAACTGACCTTTCAGGTAACAGCAGGGCCCCCAAGTAACAATGGGACTCCCAGGTAACAATGGGATTCCCCAGGTAACAGTGATACTCTCCCAGGCAACAATGGGGCCTCAGATAACAGTGGTACCCCCAGGTAACAATGATACTACTCCAGGTAACAATGGGATCTCCAGTAACAATGGAACCCACAGGTAACAATGGGACCCCCCCACACACACACACAACAATGATACTCCCCCAGATAACAATGTAACCAGCCCCTCAAATAACAGTGGGGACCCCAGGTAACAATGGGACCCCACAAACACTGCAGTGTGCTTTCTGTTTATTTGCAGGGGGCACACCTGGCAGTGCAAGGGGGGTCACTCTGGCGGGCTCAGGGGATGGAATGGAGTACCAGAGATTGAAGTCCTCACTGTCCTGTTGCTCTGGCCTCCTGTGTGGTGCTTTTGTTCCCTCCTTCCCACTAAGGCAAGAGGGATTCTCGGCTCAGCCGGGAAGGGCAGCACCTGCATTCTGGGGCCTCATGGGATGGCCCCTTCTTAGCACCAACTCAAGTGCCTTTGGGAGGCTGGGAACTTGCAGGCTGGGTAAATTCCCAAATGTTTCCTCCATGTTTCTCAGCCAAACTGAGAGAAACAGGTTCGGGGCAGAGGACAGCTTCTCCCTTGCCAAGGGAGCATGGTGAGGATGAAGGAAGTGTCTGCTTAGGAGGTACAGATAGCTGATAGGGTGCTATCAAGCCCTTGCTTGCTTTTCCAGGGAAGAGCCATCAGAGAAATGAGTTTGTTTCATTAATGCTTTATTCAAGTTGCAGAGATAGGAGATGGCAGATGTCACTGCCATGAATATGCGAAACAGTAAACCACTTCCAGATACTCCAGAATGCTTGTACCACGTGTTGCTGGGCTCTCAGGTAAGTGCATCATTTGGAACATCCAAAGCTCCAGAAGAAAGTCTTGAGGCACGTGTGCCATCCTGCAGCCATTTACCCAGGGAACTGCAGCAGGTCAGTGCCTGGCCCCTTAGAGACTCACGGTCACTCCAAGGCAGCCGTCCTCCCTCAAACTCTCCCTTGTGCCTGTTTTCCTTTCCACCACTTCTCTTGGTGAATAGGCAGCTGACCACCCAATCCCTGCCTGAAGGAAGCAGGCACAGACCCAGAGGGTCTCATCTGCACGGGCGTTGCTGCTCACCAGCCCCCAGGTGGGGACGTTGGGCAGATCAAGGCCCAGAGGCCTGCACCCTCTGCCCCACAAGACTTGTGCTCTCCGCCTTTCCCAGCTCCGTGTGGTCTTGACCCCTGTGAGGAGCCAAAGGTCAAGTAAGTGCCCACAGGAGCCATCCAGCTGGTTTCTAGACTTTTCTTTGCACTCAAGAAACGACAGCCAGGGGCTGGAGTGACAGCACAGCGGGTAGGGTGTTTGCCTTGCACGCGGCCAACCTGGATTTGATTCCCAGCATCTCATATGGTCCTCTGAGCACTGCCAAGTGTGATTCTTGAGTGCAGAGCCAGGTGTGACCCTGAACATTGCCAGGTATGACCCAAAAAGAAAAAAAAAAAAGAACAGCCAGTGTACGGCTGCCTCTGCTCACCACGCTTGCAAATAGAGCCGTGGGAGGATGCTGGCCAGCCACAGCTTAGTGGGGCTGGAGAGTAAGAGATTAGGTGCTTGCCTTACCTGAGGTCAACCCTGGTTGGATCCCCAGCAGCATATCTGTGCCTCTGAGCACTACTAGGAGTAATCCCTGAGTGCAGGGCCAGGAATAAGCTCTGAGCAATGCTGGTATGGCGGCCCCAACCCCCTTGTGATCCCCCCCACAAGGTAAAAAGGTAAAGGCCCTCCCGTTGATCGTCAATTTGCTCGAGCGGGCCCAGTAACGTCTCCATTGGAGACTTTGTTGTTACTGTGTCTGGCATATCGAATGCGGTAGGGCGTTTGCCTTGCAAGCAGCCAACATGGCCGACCCCCCCACAAAAGAAGGGGAAAACGTAGATTACAGCAAAGGAGCTGTGGCAGCTTTCACAAGAACCTCTTAAAGATCAGTGTGGGTACCAGACGTGTCTGAGGTACTGACTTCCTGTGAGGACAGCCTGTTTGCTTGTCTAAACTTAAGAACGTACTTTGGGCTCTCATTGCCGCTCACCCGGAACTGGGGTTGCTCCGGAGAGCTGCCCACTTCCTTCTGTGGGTGGCTGCTGACCCTCAGTAGGCCTCCACCATAGGGGGCAGCCTGCGGAAAAAACGGTGACCCCGGGAGTCTGTGTTAGCAAAAACGTAGCCTGGAGGAGAGGGGAAGCTAGCTGGGCACACCACCTGCTGCCTGGGCACATACTCAGTGGAGTACATGGTCACCGCATGGAAGGGTGCCTTACTCTGTGAGAGAGCCTGTGTGGGCCTGCAGCTCCGAGTGGGGACCAGGGCGTGTGGCACATAGTGGGACCTGAATGTGCTCAGGCCCTCGAACTTCCCAGACGGGCCTGGGAGCAGCTGCTGCGGCCGCACTGGTGCCCGGCGGCTGACCTGCCAGGCAGGGAAGTGGTCGTGGGTGGTATTCATCCCCTGGAAGGGCCCGGGGCTGCTGCTGCTGCGGCGAGGCACAGGCCAGGCAGGGAGCACACGCGTGGCCTGGTGGGGGATATAGTCTAGGTGGCTGGTACTGGCCAGCTGCATGGTGCCCGAAGGGGGCACATACTCTGACACCACCTTTTTCTCAGGGGGCACCATCTCCCAGGGCGGGAAACTCTCCCGGAACTCCGTGGTCCCTGCGAAGCAGGCCTTGGGGCTGGCCCTGGACTCCGCAGGTCTGCAGAGCCTGGCCGCCTGGCCTGGGAGGCCCTGGAAGGCCCCACGGTGAGTGGTGAGGCTTTCCATAGGCTGGCTGGCCACCTTGTACTCGTCCTTGGGCCTCGCCAACCGCGGGGGCAGCTCGTAGGGTACATAGTCCCGGCGGTGGCTGGTGTCACCACTGAAAGGGGCAGTGGGGCACAGCAGCCCCTCATGGGGGCTATAGCTCTGCTGCAGCACGATCTCGTGAGGGATGAAGTCGTCCTGGGAGGTGGTAGGGTTCCCGAACTGCACCATCGGGGGCTGGTACACGCGCTCCGGTTTGTGCAGCTCACGCCTCGGAATGGCCCAGGCCCGGTAGTCGTCTTGGGGCAGACAGAAACAACAAACAGCTCATGAGTCTGAGGCCAGGCATCGCCTCACAGTCTGGGAAGGGCCAGACACCCTCGGCTCCTGCTCCTGAGAGGGCCCAGACACACAGGCTCTCTGGTTCCCAGCAGGTCTTCATCCTGGCTTCCACCTTCCTCTTCCTGTGACTGTGTCCCATGATGCAAACTCCTGCTCAGCTCAGCCCATCCCGACAGTGGAGCACAGTCCGCCCTATTGTGATGATGGCTTACAAATTGGGGAGGTGGTGGTGTGCGTGCCCCATGCATTGCTCCTTGGAGCACCAGGAAAGCTGTAGTGCCTCTCCTTGGGTCTGGAGCCCAGCACCTCCTGCACTGAGCAAGGCCAGAAATTCCTCTGCCTGCCTACTGGCCCACTGGACAAGGGCTTGGCTCTCCCAACGCCTGGTGTGCTGGGAGGCTCAGAGACCCACAGGGATGCTCCAGTTCAAGGCTGTGTCACCTGGAATGGATAGGTTACCTTTGTAGGTGGGGACAGTGTCCAGCTTCCCTTGCTTTTCTGGTGGCCTCTCCCTGGGCCGCACGATCACCATGGGCTGCACCTGGTGGGGATTAAAATCCCGCTTGTAGGTGGTTTCATGATCCACACTCCCTGCTTTGGGTCGATACTCTTCTGGCATGTGTCGAGGCGGCCTGGTTATTTCATAAGGGCGGTAGTCAGACCTGGAATAAAGAGATGAGCACAAAGCCTTGGGGAGGCGCTGTGGGCCCCTGGTGATTCTCAGCGTGAGGCTGAAGTTGAGGCCCTTTCTTTGGGTTTTCTTTTAAACTTGAGAAGAGCAGGGTGAAGGCTGGTGAACTATGTGCGAGAGCGAATGGGGTTTCTGAGGCTCCGTGCAGAGATGAGACAGTGGGAGGGGGCGTTGGGAGTTCAGGTCTGAGCAATGCTGCTGTGAAGCCCCTCAGAGCATCCCTGAGAAGTCCGTGAGGAGCTATCCTGGCTCTGCCATCTCTGCCATCATCATCATCATCATAGAGTCGGCCTAGCAGTGCTTGGAGGCTCACAATTGCCCGGCTTCCTGCACTGCATGCCCCACACTCACCGTTGCTCTTGTGGTTTCGTTTGGGCCAGCCGGCGATGCTCAGGGCTGACTGTGGTCAGGAATCACTTCTGATGGAGCTCTGGGGGCCCTATGAGGTGCCAGAAGCATCCTACCTGCTGTGCTCTCTCTCCAGCTCCAGTTCTTGTGGTTCATAAGGCCCAAGGTGATGCCTTGAATAGGGGTTGAGCACGAAAAGCTTCAGAACCGCCTCCTGTCACGCTGACAGAAACAGGCCAGGTCCTGGTGAATATCCCAACTCAGTGCTGTGACCTCTGCTCGGAGCAGAGCCTGGACACTGATGCAGGCCTGAGTACTCTGAAGCCCCTTGAGTGAGGAGGGCCAGGGAGGGTCTTTGAGCCTCTCTGGTGACCTGGCTCAGGCTGCTTTGGGGCCTTTAAGCAGGGTTTCTGAGACAAGGTGACAGGAACAGAAGGGAGGGCGAGGGAGGAACATGCGGGGGAGGGCTTGGGAAACCTGGCACCTCAAGAACAGTGTCCAGTGTATGTGGTGTGGATGGATGGGCTGTAGACACATGCTGTAGGGTGTGGGCACATGTGCTGTAGGGTATGAGCGTGTATGCTATAGGATGTGGGCACCCATGCTTGGGCTATGGGCATGTGTACACAGGGTAATATAGTGCAAGCAAATGAAAGAAGCCAGCGGGGCCCACTGTGCTGGGATCTGGTAAGAACTGGGGTGTAGCTTGCACCAGAGAGCGAGAGTGGAGTTGAGTCTTGTCTTGCATGCAGATGAGGCTGCTTGATGCCAGGGTCTGCATGTCCCCCGAGCACTACTAGGGGGTCATTCCTGAGCAGAGCCAGAAGTAGCCTCTGGGTGCTTCCAGGTGCTGCTCAAACCTCCCCTCCTGGCTATATATATATGTGTGTGTGTGTGTGTGTGTGTGTATACACACACACATATATATAGGTATCCTCACACAGTGGTAAGGGTGAAGTTTTTCCTGGAAAGGTGTGGGCTTGGATGTATAGTTTGAAAGATGAATTTGGCAGGTGCAGGCACAGTCAGGTCAGAAATGCAACTTGAGCCCAGGCAGAGCCCCACAGAGTGAGCCAGTGTGGGAGCTCAGAGGCATGGCACCATGGGCACTGCCCTCCCCCCATGCCTGCGGAATCGGCCTTGACCTGCTTCTCTTCAGCCCCTCATTCATTGCACTGGCGGAATCAGCCTCGTTCCGCTTCTCTTAGTCCCTCACTCCTCACCACCTACTCACAGAGTTTGCTTCCTAGTTCAACTAATTAGTTCCATTGAAAGGTGGGAAATATCAAGAGCAGAGGAGTGGGGAAAGAAAGCCATTGTTTCCCATATTTACTTAAAGGTGGTGATGTCTTCCACTCGGCCTCGGTCCACAGCCTGCACTGCTGGCCTGGGTTTGAGACTCTGGGGTGGGGCCACAGTGCCGTAGAATGGGTACTTTTCCAAGTACTCTGTCATGGGGCAGAACTCGCCAGTGTTTTCATAGATCTTTGTGGTTCCATGTGGGCAGTGATGGCGCCTATGCAGAGATAAAATCACAGGTAACTTTCACCTTCAGAAATACCATGTGAGGGTGGCATATTGATCAGAGCTTAACAGGCAGATCTTTCAGAGCTGCTTCACCCGAGAAGGAGAAACCTACTTGTTGGGCCAGGAGAGCCGAGTTCTGTCCTTGGCACCGTGACTCCCAGGGACCCCAATACCAGCCGCCCCAGCAGTTCTGTGCCACCAGGCGGGAGCACGAGACTACAGCCCGCCTGACCAGCTGTCACTGGAAGGGCCCAGGGGTCCCTAAACATTGCTTGGAAGGACCCTCACAAGAAAATTTTATTTTTAAACAAACCAGTCCACTGTCTATGGCTGAAGTGAAAGCACAGCAGAGCAGGGGCTGGCCTTGCATCGGTGGACTCCGGCTCAGTTCCTGGTCACTTTCAGAAGTGGGTATCCCTAAGTGCAGAGCCAGGACTAAGCACTGAACACCACTCACATGTCTCCCCCAGATGCCCCCACGAGTGCTGCTGCTTCCCCATGCTCACGGGGTCCCCGTGTCTCCTCCTGAGAGGAGCACTGTGAGCTCTATGGGTGGGGGGGGGCTGCAGAAGCTGACACCTGGAGGAAGGGGGGCCTGGTTCTGGGGGCTTTGGGCTGGTCTGGGCTGCGGAGGAGACTGCTCGGTGTGCAGACTGGCAGCGCCCCATTACTGCCCATGGCTGCAACTCTCCGTGTGGAGTTCTTTGGGAATCTTCCTGAAAGCTTGTTCAGCAAACAGTTGCTTCTCTTCTGCTCTATTAGCTGCTTGGCCTCCGTTATGCCTGCGGTACCCAGAGCAGGTGGTAGCACTAGCAACCCGGCCAGTGTGGCATAAAAGCTTCAAGCAGCAGGGGGTGCCCTTAGCACATGGCTAAGAGGGCAGCGCTGCCCAGTGAGTGTGTCTGGTTGCCTCAAGACCGAAGCTCAGAGGGGATTTTGTGCTTTGGGGGCCGTGCTCAGTGGTGCTGGAGGTTACCCTGGCTCTGAGGTCAACTCCTGACGGTGTTTGGGAGAGCAGATGGTGCCGGGTATTGGACCAGGGTCAGCCCCATGCAGGCAAGTGCCTTACCCCTGTGCTTGCTCCCAGCCGGCCACGTAAAGGACAGGGCTGGGGATCTCAATACAGGTGCAGTCTTACTTTTGTATTTATGTACACTTATTCCATTCTTTTAAAAATATGACAGGATTAACAGCAAGCCCAAGAAAACACAGAAATAGGAATGTCAAGTCCCACCATTCTGAAACATCATTCTTGGGGGGAGGCTATGTGGAAAGGCTGGCAGTGCCAACCCAGGGACATCGGAGCTGCAGGAGATGCAGGACAGGAATAGCTCAGGAAGCAGTTCCTGAGCTTGGAGGAAGCAGATGTCAGAGGAAGTGCCTTGAGGGAGTGGGGCAGAGGGGCCAGGGAGTCTGGTGGTAACACAGGCATGCAGGAGAAGCCAGTAGGAGGAGTCAGGCCTGAAGGCTGACTCAGGTGACAAGAAAGAGAAGGCCACTCTTTCAGCTCCCATCCATGACTCAACACCCACTGTGGGCTGGAGCAGGAATCTGATGAGAGGGTGGGACTGGCTTTGTGTCTTCCTAACATTGAGGTATTTAGATATGAAACTTTTCGTTCCATCCTCGAGGATTTTCTGAAGTCATTTGTTGGGAAGTTCTTTTCTCTGCTTCACCTACTTTGCAGAGACTGGGGAACAGTATTGGACCAATTATTGTTTTTCAACTTTCTGCCCGTTTACTTTATTGTATGTTGCAAGTTTGCTTTTGTCCTTCAGTAGCATGAGTTCACAGGGCTCGAGTCTGGGTCTTCACCGAACACTGTGAGCCCTGTCCACATCATCACTAAGATGCCCTTGAAGGAGGATCCTCCCAGAACACAGGCTCTCACATTCCCATGTCCTGGCTTCAGGTCTATGAACCCTGGGGCACTCAGACTATGACTCTCTACCCTCAAGGTGGGGTCACTAGACATTTCTCACATGCAACCCATGACCAGTCCTTAAAGATCACCCAAGGTGCTGAGAGTCAGCTTTGGTATACATGCCTGTACGCACAGGGGCCCTCGGTCCCCTCTATTGCTGAGCCTCCCTAACAAAAAAGAAAAAAATTAGATTTTTCTGAATTGGAGAGGGTCATACCCTGCTCAGGGACTGCTCATGGGTACACAAGGGTCACTGTCACCTGTCTGTCATATCTGATGAGGAAGACTATAGGAGAGAAGGACAAAGCACCAGAGGCCTGACAGTGCTCATGGACTCCTGAGGGGTGCTGGAACCAAACCAGGTTTGGCTGCCTGCAAAGCACCATCTCTCAGGCCCCACATTTGACTTGATTTCTGAGCCACACACTTACTATATAGTTTTTTTTCCCACTGAAGCTAAAAGTCTCTTTGGAGTCAAAGACCCAGATTCTTGGCCTGTCATCTCAGAAAATGTTGGCCTCTCTTGTTTCTGGAGTCCACTTTTGTGGTGGGTTTCACTAGTAGAGTTTTTACTTTCCCCAGACAAGCAATTCCCCCACCCCCACACATACACTATTGAGTGTCACTGTCACCCATCAGTCATATCTGGAGATCAGATATGTCACCCATCAGACAAGACTATGGGAGACAAGAACAAGCAGCCGAGGCCATTTGGTCCTGGACCTCACTGGACCGTCTCACCCTTCTGAAGCTGGCTCAGTCGCTCCCTGTGCGCTGGACAGGCTCCACTACTATCTTCAGAGTCCTCAGATTACCTGTTGGTGCACACAGACCTGGCAGCCTCTAACAGCTTGTTGAGGAGGTGCAGAGATGCTCAAAGGCTGAGTGAAGCTTTGCGTGCTGGCCCCCAGATCTGAGCTCCACTGCAGCCACAGTGATGCCCTGAAGCACCAGCAGGTATGGCCACAAAACAGAACAAAGCACTGCAGTGTCCTGGGTTAGAGCTGAATTGGGGTTTGTTTCTCCTGGGGCTGGGGAATCCTTTCCTCAGCTGGGCTCCTTTGAGAGTAGCAGGTGGGGACCCTTTTGTCTTCGCAGGGCCATCTGGGCCTAACAGCAGTTGGGGGCCATAGGACACCACACCAGCAGACGAGAAGCAGACGTGTGTCCCACCAAGGGCCTAGGCCAGACCCCTGGATCTGTGGGCCCTATGTGATGGACCGGGCACTTCCTACCCATGCTAGAGAGAGATCATAGGGGTGGGTGGGATTCAGCATTTCCACAGAGATGAAAGGCAACTGGCTACCTGGTAGGGTCGGGGGGGGGGGGGGGAAAGGGCTTTCATGAAAGGATGGAAAAATAAGAGAAGGGCAAGGAAAGAAAGTGATAGGCCAGGGGAAGGAGGGAGAGGGGAGGAGGGAGAGAGAGGGGGGCAGAAGAGAGGACAGCAGACACTGCCCCACTCTCAACCAGGCTCCACTGTCCCCAGCAGTCCGCAAGTGTGACTGCACTTTTGGTGGCTCCAGTTTTTCCAACGGGTCTGCTCCTGAGGGAGGCCCCCTCTTGCTGAGAAGGTGTGGGCTGCTCTGAGCTTCCTGGTGGCTACTTGCAGGAGGGCCCAGTTACCACAGCTGGGTGGGACCTGACTGTAACTAGGAGACTGCTGGCAACAAAACATCAACCATTTTCTTGCACACCAGAATCCACAGATTCATACCCCTTCTCTAGTCTACCCTTGCTAATAGAAATAGTGGCAGCCATGAAACTGGCTTTGCATAAACTTGCAAGAAAGAATGTCTTCTTCGGAGGGGAGTGGAAAGACAGAACCCGAGAGCTCCCTAGTATTTACCGAGCCAACAATGATCTGAGGGTCGGCAGTGGGGCAGGAAGGACTGGGCTGCGTCCACTGGGAGAAGGTGCCCGGGCAGGGAATGCTTTGGGGACCGGAGTGGAAGGAAACCGGCAAGTCTCCGGGGAAGCTGGGGGGGACAAGGTGCATGGTCGCGGCTTGCCCAGGGGCGCTGGCTTTTCCTGCGGCTTCTGCCTGCTCGGCCTCGCCACCCTCGCCTGCCTCCCCACTCCTCCGCCTCCTTCCGCCCTCCCCTCCGTCTTTCCAGCACGCCTCGTGGCCTCCCACCGCGACGCGAACGCCCCCCGCACTGCTGCCGCCCTGGGTCCCGCGCCCACGCCCTCACCCGCAGGTGCAGATCTGACACAGACACTGCGTCCCCATAGCCGCTCGGCCGCTCGGGTCCCAGCACCGCCGCCACGCGTCGTCAGGGCAACCGCGGCGCCCAGGACGCAGCTCCGCCGCGGATTTCCTGCTTCCGGCCGGTCGGGCCGCTTCCGAGTGCGCAGGCGCGCAGGTCAGAGGTCAGCACGCGGCCCCGCCCCCAGGAAGCGCCGAGTCGCGGCGCCGGCCAGTCTCCGCGGCGGCGGCACCTGCGGGGGTCCGGGCGGGGGCGAGCGTGAGTGTCGCGGGGCGGGAGGGGGCGGCCGCCCGCGAGCCTTCGGGCCTGGGTCTTGCAGCCAGCCCGCCGCGAGCCGGGCCGGGGGTCTGGCCGGGGTGGGCGCGACCCCGGGCGGGTTGGAGCCGCCGCAGCTGACGCTCTTGCCCTTCGCCCGCAGGACATGGCGCTGGGGACTGTGGACCGGGTGGTCCGGCTGCAGCGGGACCCGGCGCGGATCCGCAACATCTGCGTGCTGGCGCACGTGGACCACGGTAGGGCTGCGGGTCCCAGAACTTCCGCGTCACGGCCAGGGCTGCGTGTGTGTGTGTGTGTGTGTGTACGTGTGTGTACGCGTGTGTACGCGTGTGTACGCGCATGTCTCAGAACATCCGCCTGCTGGCACACGTCAGTCACTGGAGGGCTGGGTGTGTGTCTGCGCGCGCACGTCTCAGAACTTCTGCATGCTGGTACATGTCAGTCATGGTGAGGGCTGGGTGTGTGCATGTGCTTGCATGTATGTGTTTGTCCCGGAACAGCTGCATGCTGGTGCTCATGAACCACAGTGAGAGCAGTGAGTGCATGTACATGAGAGAGAGAGAGAGAGAGAGGACCTGGAACATTTATGAGCTGGCACATGTAGACCCTGGTGAGAGCCGGTGAGTGTGTGTGTGTGTGTGTGTGTAGAGGGGGCTATGAGCCCACGAGTGCACACACCCATGTTTAGGAGCACACAGAGGGGCAGGTATGTATTTTAGAAGTCAATTGCTTCTACATTTGCTCTTTGCAATTATGTTACTGGCACTGTCCTTGAGGACCTTGTTCTGGTCATTGGGAGCATGTTTATTGGCATCGCTTAATTGCCCGATATTGTTACCATCCTAGTGGTACAGCCATGAGTAAAAGAGTCTGGGCCTTCTTGGCACTTAGGGACTAGGGGACGTCAGTTTGCCACATCTGCCATGGTGATGCCCTCTGTTTCTACAGCGTAGTGCATACATGGCAAACAGATGCCAGTATTTGCTGTTTTGAGCTTCCACAGATGGCATTCCTTAAAGTGACCATTTGAAGTTGTGTGAGATACTGTGACTTTCTTGTACTCTGAAGTCATTTCTGGTTGGATACTAGGTTTCGTTGATGCCTGCATGAAACTGATGTTCCATAGGCTACTTGCACCAGAGGAGATAACAGGCTGAGTTTCTTTCCCAAACAAGTATTTTCTAGAGGTAGATAGTTTTGCTGGAAAATTCCAGTCAAGGTCATGGGTGGAAATACATGGCCTAGATCAAATTCTAATGTTGCATGGTAATGCTTTCCCCAGCATATCTCTCACAGGCAGATTTATTACCACATAGTCACTCATTTGTCATTCTGAGAGGTGAGGCTTTAAGTTTATATATGTCATCACTGTTAAGGATAGTGGGTGATTGATGTGGTTATGATAAATTCCATTGTGTTTTGTAAGAGTTTATAATAACTGCAAATGTTTGTCAGGTGGCAAACATTTGATTGACACAAGTCTGCATTTTTTAAGTTTATTTATTTTTGCTTTTTGGGTCATACCCAGCAATGCACAGGGGTTACTCCTGACTTTGCACTCAGGAATTACTCCTGGTGGTGCTCAGGGGACCATATGGGATGCCAGGAATGGAACCAGGATCTGCCGCATGCAAGGCAAACGCTCTCCCCGCTATACTATCGCTCCAACCCCAACTCTGCATTTTAATCTGTAAATTGTGTTCCAACTAAAAAAAGTTCTACACTTAGAAGGTTGCTTATGGGAGCTGGAATGATAGTACAGTGAGGAGGGCGTTTGCCTTGCATGTGGCCAACCCGGGTTCGATTCCCAGCATCCCATATGGTCCCCTGAGCACCTCCAGGAGTAATTCCTGAGTGCAGAGCCAGGAGTAAGTCCTGAACATCACCGGGTGTAACCCAAAAAGCCAATAAATAAATAATAAGACACTGTGATTTTTTTTCAAAGGTTGCTTATTCACTTTTCTGGTGCTATTCTATATGATGTTATTCATCTACCAGTCCATGGACCAGTGTCGAATTGTGGGTATAGGAAGGTTGAAAATCACTGCCCTGTGGCACCATACAGTGCTGGAGTCTGTGTCCCTCCTGATGGTCCCTCCTGAAAGCCTAATGAAACTCTTGAAATTGTGTCTTAGGTTTTTCCGCACTCTGTCTAATAGGAAATCTTTGCTGAATCAATTCTTAGTCTCTCAGATACTAAATTTGTAGGTACACCCCATCCTCCCCTTTCTTGCTCTCTGGAAAAAAAATTAATAGAATTTAATTGACATTGTTGTTTGAACAGGAAAAACTACTCTGGCGGACTGTCTTATATCTAGCAATGGAATCATTTCCAGCCGCTTGGCAGGCAAGGTATGTTGTCAGTTTGACTAAAACCTTTCAGTAATCATCTGCAATGTGATAAAGAGCTGCTACTTATACTCTTAGCGATTAAAACTCTATAAAGAATAATTTGTGTATTTGAGAACTCTTACGAAGGTTAAATTGATGCAGAGAAAAAGTTAATTGTATGTTGCTTTTATTTCTTTACATTATTATTCTCTTTCTCTCTTTCTCTTTCTCTTTTTCTCTCTTTCTCTCCCTCCCTCCATTCCCCCCTCCCTCCTGTGCTTAAGACTTATTCCTGTCTCTGTGCCCAGGGATCACTCCTGGCCATACTCAGGGGATCAGATGGGGTGCTGGGAATTAACCCAGATTAGCCGTGTGCAAGGCAAACACCTAGTCACTGTTCTATCTCTCAGGCTCATACATATTATTTTCTAAATGCAAAGAGGAGTCTTTGTTACAACTCAGGTGATAACAGCAGGATAGTGGAAGTTTTCACGGAGAGGGAGGGTTCTCACTGGTGGATGAATTAGGTGGTTTAAGGAGAGCTTGATTGATCTGAGTTTAGTCCCTGGCACCCCATCTCTTCCCCTGAGTACTGCCAGGAGTACTCCCAGAGCACAGAGCCAGGACTAAGCCCTGAGCACATCTGGGTGTGGCCCAAAAACAAAAATCAAATATGATAAATTGGAACTTCTGTTCAGACTTGAGGGTATGTGTGTGTGCTCCTGAAAGGGGTGACCTCTCCCTGCCACCTACAGAACCTTCTCCACTTTCCCCTTGATTTTTGTTTTGTTTTGTTTTGGTGTCACACCCAGTTGTGCTCAGGGATCACTCCTGGGGCCATCTAGGGGGGGCATATGTGGTGCCAGGGTCAGCCGTATGCGAGACAAGCACCTTTCACGCTGTATTGTCTCCCTTCCCCTTTAACTGGAGAGGCTTCTTAGATCTGCTTTTGTGAGATCAGGTTGCTTCTGTGTCACTGCAATTCATGGGTCTGGGGTGCACCTCTTGCCTTCCCAGTTGCGGTACATGGACAGCAGAGAAGATGAGCAGATCCGAGGCATCACCATGAAAGCCAGCGCCATCTCCCTGCATTACGCAGCAGGTCAGTCAGTGTGAGTTTCCAGAGAAAGCGCATGGGCACACGGGACTCGAGCATTTGGTGGCCGAGAACCATTCCCCTGGCCAGCCACTGGCGACAGACGGACGAAGGACCAGGGGAACGGAGAAACAGGGCCTGGGCCCCAGGCTGGTCAGTAGTCAGTTTATTTCTCTCTCCTCCCCGGCACAGTCTGATCTCTCCCCTTACAGCACAATCTTCGTCATAGTTTTAGTTGTAGTCCCAATCATCATAGTTCCATCATCCTAGTTCTCATGTTCTAGTCCTTATCTTCATCGTAGTCTCCACTCTCCCCTTGTAGCGTAGTTATATAGAAATCGTGAATGGTGGGGATACACATAGGTGGGCTTGAACATTGTCATAATAACAATAACAGAAGTAAAGCCACTCCTTCAGTAAATTCTAGGAGATTAACTCAAGGACAAAGTCTCATCTGAGGGTTCAGCACTCTAGATTGCTAGGAGATCCGCCCAAGGGCTGGATTCCACCTAGGGTGTATTGCTTTCTCCTTTCCTCAGCTAGTAATCCATTAAACAATCATAGTGAATTTACTTCTTGTAATATTTCTAGTCATTTTGTATGAACATAGTAAGAGATATATTAAGCTTAAAGTTTGACTCTTCCTGGGGACATCTCGCTATATATCCCAGACCACAGTCCTCAGGCCAGGTTAGTTTTTCCTAACCCCAATAGGGTCCTTATTCAGTTACTTCTTTCTGGATCATGACAGAGTTTTTTCCATGTTCATGCTCTTAACTTATTATACTTAATGGTGCTTAGCTTGTTCCCTTTCAGTGCCTGGATAGCTTACAGCTTGCCCTAGGTCCATCCAGTCCCTTCATCGGATCCTGCTTTTGGAGTGCTAGAAGGAAGGGCAACTGAGGCTTAAGTCAAGTAAATATGGATGGATGTCCAGGAGTAAATATTATTTGCAGTCAAAAGCATAGCATCAGCTGTCTTCCTGTGTCTATACAAAAAGGACATTGCTAAATCATGCAGTTGACATAAAGGAAAGAGGAAAGCAATACAGGATTATCAGTAGCACTATAGCACTGTCCTGTTGTTCATCGATTTGCTCGAGCGGGCACCAGTAACGTTTCCATTTGAGACTTGTTGCATGTCAAATATGTTTTTGGCATATCAATTATGCCTCAGGGAGCTTGCCAGGCTCTGCCGTGTGGGCAGGATACTTTCCGTAGCTTACCGGGCTCTCCAAGAGGGAGGGAGGAATCGAACCCAGGTCTGCGCTTGCAAGGCAAATGCCCTACCCGCTCTACTATCCTTCCAGCCCAGGATTATCAGTGCTGGTGGAACTGGGTGTGCCTCAAGGGCGGTGTTGTGGGAGTAGCTCAATAAACCGTAAGCTCACTGAGGGAGGAGTAAGGACAACCCAGTGCTATCCGACAAGTCAGTATACCCACCCTCTGTCGTCCCCCCCACACACCCGCTTAGCGCAGCAACACACCAATCACCACTCCTTTTCCCGAGGTCATTATACACCTCAGTTTCTCTTCTTTGTTTCCTGCAGTGTAAATACCTAAGTCAGTGGTGGCTATGCACTGAGTTTCGTAGTTCTTTAGCTTATGCAGGCATTTCTCTGAGGTGTTCTCAAGCAAGAAAGGTGGCGTGTCACTGCACCATTGAGACCATATCTTAAACTTGCTTTCCAGGCAATGAGGAATACCTGATTAATTTGATAGACTCCCCAGGACACGTGGATTTCTCCTCAGAAGTATCTACTGCCGTGCGCATTTGTGATGGCTGCATCATCGTGGTAGATGCTGTGGAAGGAGTCTGTCCACAGGTAGTAGGCAGAAAGGGAAACTGTCCATCTGATGGGCTGGGGGTTGGGGGGAAGGGAGGGACCAGCTATTGAAATCAACTGACTGTGCCACTTCAGGCATTGCACTGGAATCAGAAAGTTGGTTTTACATTTCACATCCAGGGTGATCATGAAAGTGGCCCAGAAGATGGGGAAGGGAGAGATGCTTCTGGGAGAATATTCTGGTTTTGACCTGTTGGTGGTGATGGTGTGGAAAGAGAGGGAGAGAGAGAAAGAACTGCCCTTTGGAAATAGAAGCTAAGGCAGTTTCTTTTTTTTTTTTCCTTAATTTTTTATTTGTGGATCACCATGGGGTACAGTTACAGACTTACAGACTTCCGTGTTTGTGTTTCAGTCATACAATGGTCGAGTACCCATCCCTCCACCAGTGCCCATTTCCCACCACCAATGGTCCCAGCATCCCTCCCACCACCCTGTCCCGTCCCCTCCACCCCATCCCCGCCTCTGTGGCAGGGCATTCCCTTTTGTTCTCTCTCTCCTTTTGGGTGTTGTGATTTGCAGTAGAGGTATTAAGTGGCCATCATGTTTGGTCTGTAGTCTACTTTCATTCCACATCTCCCATCCTGAGCGGGCCCTCCTAGCTCCCCTTACTTGATGGTCCCTTCTCTGTCTCAGTTGCCTTTTCCCCCAGCATGAGAGGCGGGCTTCTAAGCTGTGGAGTAATCCTACAGCTCTTGGTACTTATCTCTACTGTTCTTGAGTGTTAGTCTCCCATTCTGTTGCTTTATATTCCACAAATGAGTGCAGTCTTTCTATGCACGACCCTCTCTTTCTGACTCATTTCACCTAACATGACACTTTCCATTTTGATCCACCTATATACAAATTTCATGACTTCAAATACCATGCAAGGCAGTTTCTTATATGTAGTTCTGTGTCCTATGAGTGCCTCTTGAACTCCTATCTCTGATGTATAGAGATAAGCCTGATTACAGAAATGAGTTTATTATTCCAAAATTCTGTGACACTGTTTAAAATTATGTCTTATAATTTTCCTTTTGTTTTAATCAGACACAGGCAGTTCTGCGACAAGCCTGGCTTGAAAACATCCGTCCGGTCTTAGTGATTAATAAGATAGATCGCTTGATAGTAGAACTGAAGTTCACCCCACAGGAGGCCTATTCTCACCTCAAGAATATTCTAGAACAGGTATTTTAAAGTCTCTTCAGTATTTCTCAAATAAGCCCAGAGAACAGTGGTGTGGCAGTTCCTGTGTAGAGTAGAGTGAGACAATACTACATTAAGTTCTCTTAGCCTTTTCCACATGGGATTCTGGCATGCGGCAGTTTTCCTGCTGCCATGGAAGTGGGCAGGGCAGGAGCCTTTGAGCAGCCTGGACAATGAGCTGCGACAGTCGGTCTCATGATCTCTGGCTAGCATGTAGTATTTTGTTTGTGTGGTTTTTGGCATTTTGGGTCACGACTGGTGATGCTCAGGGGTTACTCCTGGCGGTGTGTGGGCTACTGGGGATCAAACCCAGCTCAGATGCTTGCAAGGCAAACACCTTACCTGCTATACTACTGCTCTGGCCCTGGCTGAGTGTGTTGTTAAGTAATTCCAAAGCGAAGTGATCTGGGGTACTATGTCTGCAAAAAATTTTACCTAAGTATGCATTTGTTTATTCAGCAAACACTTGCATAGATATATGTCAAACCAGTGAACTCTGGGTGTCCACTGAGAATATAAAGCTAAAAGATCATAATTTGCAGAGTACAACATGTAGTTGGAGACCAACAGTTACAGAAATAGTTGGAGAACAATAAGAAGTTCTGAGCAAGATTGGAGAGTCAAGGGTGCACCAACTTGAAATTATTTATTTTCTGAAGAGAGGAAGTGATAATGACAGAACAGTGACAAGCGGCCTCCATGGCCTCATTCCCTGCCAGGATAGGCTGGGAAGTGATGGCACCATACATCTGCCGTGCCACACAGAGAAGACCAGCAGTATTTGTCCATAGGAATGGACTTATTGCTTGTAGTGTGAGGCATTGACAGGCCTTCTGTATAGTTGATTTTGTATCTCTTTGAAGTGAAAATTCAGATCATTTATTGGGAGTAGAAAGAGTTGAGGGTAGAGGTGGAGAAGTACATCTGAAGAGAAGTAAATGTTTGAAACAACTGATGGGAGAAATGGACAGGAGGTTGAGTGAGGTTTCAGAGTCAGATTGTAGTGCAGGTGGAAGTCACGAGTCCCTGGTGGCACCAGACCTGGTTTGAGAAACAAGCTGAAGATGTGATGCATTTGTGTTTGCATAAACTAACGAAAGCCACGGGAACTCTGTGTGAAAGGCCTCGCAGTTCCACTGAAGGGGGCGAGCGGGGCGGGGATGGCATGGCATGGCTTCTGACATGGAACTCAGTCATCTAGAATAGACATCACCTCCACTGCTGGCGGCCTTAATCAGGGTGAGGCATGTCCCCCAGCATAACCAAGCAAAGCTTCAGAAGGACTGACTCTGCCGTTTCACGTCTCTCCTAGATAAATGCACTCACAGGAACTCTTTTTACTTCTAAAGTCCTAGAAGAAAGAGCAGAGAGAGAGACTGAGTCGCAAGTGAACGCACACTCGGAGCAAGGAGAGCAGGTGTACGACTGGAGCAGTGGCTTGGAGGACACGGATGACTCGCACCTCTACTTCTCTCCCGATCAGGGCAATGTGGTGTTTGCCAGCGCCATAGATGGATGGGGCTTTGGGTAAGCCCACTGGAAGCCAGTTGATGATGTATATGAGTGTATTTTTTGTTGTTACTTGTTTTTGTTTGGTGGCTACACTCAGCAGTGCTCTGGGATCACTCCTGACAGGCTTGGAAGACCATATGGGGTGCTGGGGTGCAAATTGGGAGGAGCTGTGTACAAGGCAAACACCCTACCTGCTGTACTGTTGCTCCAGCTCCTTTGCTGAGCTTTTTATTTTCAAATCATCATAGAGTCTTGTGTGAGAGAGAAAAAGTTATCTTGTACCCTTTACTAGTCAGTATTTCCCCAGTGGTGACATGTGGTAAAACTAGCTCATTGTCACAGCAGGGTGTCAGCATTGCCCTGCCTGCCTCTCCTGCATGGCCACTTTCCTTTCCTTTGTAGTCACAGCTGAACGCTTGCTTCTCTTTCAGAATCGAGCACTTTGCAGAAATCTACAGTAAAAAAATTGGCATCAAAAAGGAAGTTCTCTTGAAAACCTTGTGGGGAGATTATTATATAAATATGAAGGCCAAGAAGATCATGAAGGTGGATCAGGTAATGGGCTTATGTCCATTCTTTTGTGGTCGCACTCTCACTCTGTGAAAACCATAGCATCTTTAGGGTTTTAAGTTGGTTTCGTTCACGTGGGTCACCTCAGGAGGGACTTTGACTGTCTGTTTTTCATTAGAACTTGTGAGTAATGCTTAGGATTGCTTAAAAAATTTTTGGCTTTAAGTTATAGTGAACAGCCGTTATTTTCATCCTGTGAGAGAAACAGAAAGCTTAAATCCATTGCTTCCATTATCATTTGTTTGCCTACTATAGACGTTCATACACATTGGTTTTGGCGCTACACCTGGCACTGTTCAAGGCTTAACTCCTGGCTCTGTGCTCAGGGATCACTCCTGGCAGGGCTTGGGGGATCAACTGGTTGTCGGCCTCATGCAGAGTCTGCTCCCTCCCCGCCCAGCTTTAGAACATCGTTCTACACAAACTGGCATATGGTTTCCTTCTGTTTTTTCAGTGTCTTGCCGCTTTGAGTAAAATTCTAACAGGCATGTTCGTATATTAATTTTTATGTCTCCGGGAGTTTAAATGACTGAGATATTCAGAGCAATCGCTTAAATTCCTGTTACTTAGTGCCAGTTAGGGCTTCAGCTTGTACTCCACTATCAGAGCTAGAGATGGAGTGTCATCCTGGGGCACTTCCCTTACTCTTTACCATGGCTTGGTTTGGTAGAGAAATGGGACTCTATAAAAATATATCCTTTTCTTTGAAATTGGTTCTCAGTGGTTCTCCAGAAGGAAGGCTTTGGACCAAGACCTGCACATTCAGTGGGTGGCCTGAGAGGGTGGCAGTGGGGTGATGGTGGGGAAACCCCCATGGTGTCTGTCAGTGCCATCTGTGGTTCCCACAGCAGGGCACCGTGGGTTCTGTTGACAGCAAGTTAATGGCTGCTGAGTACTTTCTTCAGAGCATTTATGCTTCTGCAGCTTGACTGGCTAATAGAGTTTTGAGTAGAATGAGACAGTGATGCTAAAATAGCATGAGTGAATGGATAAGGTCCATATTAAGGATTCAGAAACTTAGGCACGTGTATTCTTTTTTTTGCAGGCAAAAGGAAAGAAACCTTTGTTTGTGCAGTTGATCCTGGAAAATATATGGAGTTTGTATGAGGCTGTCTTGAAAAAGTAAGACTGTTGGGCAGTTGCTCATCTCTGGGCATCAGTGTGCCTCCCTCTGTTGGCTGAGAAGCCCGTTTAAATACAGTGAGCAAAGATGGGGCACTGTGCAGTGAGCTGACTGCAGGTCCGAGACCACTGGAGGAGCACATGTGCCTCAGTGCCAGGGGAAAGAGGGCAGAGCTGCACTGGGGCACGCAGTGAGGGATGGCATGCCGAGAGGAGGGCAGAGACCATCAGTGGGCTTTTCCAGTTAGAGGAATTGTGAGCCAGAGAGAGAGGACGGGGTAGGTGCTGCTTGCCTTGCATTTGGTCATCCCTGGTTTGATTCTCGGCACAGCAATGTGGTACTCTGGCACAGTCATGATCCCTGAGCACAGAGTCAGGAGTAAACCCTGAACACAAGCATGTGTGGCCCAAAAACTAAAAAAGAATCGTGGAGCTGGAGAAGTAATACAATGAGCAGGGTATTTGCCTTGCATGTGGCTGATCCCCGACATCCCATGTGGTCCCCCTGAGCATCGCCAGGTGTGCTCTACCACCACCCACTCCCCCGCCCCCCTTCCCCCCTCCCCCCCTCGAAAAATAAGAAAGAACTGTGGTAGGAAGCACACTGGACCCTGCGATCTTTCCTGAGGGTTACTGGAAGGAACTGTCTGATTAAGTAGAAGGCATAGTTTGTGTCCGTGACTGTACTGCTTCAGGCTCTCCTTGGGTGGAGTGATGACTTCTAAAAGCATTTGTAACCCTGCCTTGCTGTTCAACTGTAAGGGATAGTTCCTCAGGGGAAACCTCTAGGAAAGAGACAGTTGGATTTGTTTTGTTTTGTTTTGTTTTGTTTGCTTTTTGTTTGTTCTGGGTGTTTGGTGTTTGGGGCCATACTCTGCATTGCTCAGAGCTTACTTCTGGCTCTGCTCTCAGGAATCACTTGTGGTGGGGCTTGGGGGCCATATGGGGTACAAGGCAGAAAGAAGCAGCATCAGTTTGAAGGTGTAGAGTAGAAACTGGACTATCCTTAAGTGTGGAAGAGCCCCAGATTTAGATTTTCTACGGAAAAAGTCTTATGTTAGGAATCATGATCACGATCACGACCATCCTGTTGTTCATTGATTGCCTCGAGCAGGCCCCAGTAACGTCTCCTTCATCCTAGCCCTGAGAATTTTTTAAAAAGTGCCATATTTAAGGCTCTTTCAAGGTGAGGAAAATGAGACCCATCATTGTTACTGGTATTTGGCATATAGGGTACGCCACGGGGAGTTTGCCAGACTCTGCCATGTGGGCAGGTTACATTCGGTTGCCTGCCAGTTTGTCCAAAGTAAGAATGAGATAATAAGATGTCGCGCAGCCGCGAATGTGGCTGCGCGCTTCCTGGAGCTGGGTTTTATAGTCTCTGGGTCTTGGCCATTGATGGGATTACACGGCGCCAGGAAAGAGGAGGGAAATATTTCATAGGACAAAGAAGAGGGGGCTATATGTTAGGAATAAATGTGTTAAATGATATTGACTTCCTTCTTCCTGGTTCACAGCTTTGTGACTTTGTGACCTTGTTTACTTACAGAGACAAAGAGAAGATAGATAAAATTGTAACTTCCCTAGGATTGAAAATGGGAGCTCGGGAGGCTCGCCATTCAGACCCTCGAGTACAGATCAATGCCATTTGCAGCCAGTGGCTGCCTGTCTCCCAGGCTGTGCTGGGTATCCTTTCAGAAAGGCTTGTAGGGGATCAGAGCTTTCACCAAACGATACCTACCTGTGTTATAGGTCTCTAAGAAGCCTGCGGAAAGAACATATTGTAAACCAAAGTGAGTCTTCTGGGGTCACTAGCATTCTCCCAAGAAACCAATTTATTCTTTACAAATGACAGGGTAAAACTTACTAAAATGTTTTTTGTTTGTTTGTTTTTTTATTCTATGAATAGTGACCAGAATGACTATTTTCTTTAAAAGTCCCTTCTTTCCATTTTTCTTTAATAGACTGTGAAAATAGAAATAGTACAGGTGTTTGTTAGACCACTGGTTTCATGCCATTTGTTCTTTAAACTGTTGCTGTTTTCTGTTTCTTGAATGCTTTGCAAAGGATCTGAGTGTGAATGATTTTACGAAGTCATTTAGTGGACAAATTTGAACTGGCTGCTTTCCAGTGATCTCTCTATGCCAAGCAGGCCCTTGGGAGCAGCTAGGGTGGGGTGACCCAGAAGAGCTGTGGTGGCCACATGCCCCATCAGCAATGCAGGGTCTCTCCTTGGGGACCTTGTATCGTAGCTAGTGACTTTTACTGTCTTCATAACGGATAACGTGGGCAGAAACTCGGAGCAATGTTGAGGTTCACAGGTAGCAGAGTGACTAAACTCTGTTGTCCTCTTCCAGTCAGAGTAACCGCAGGAGGGTCTTCTGGGCTTTGAATGGCCCATCGATATCTTGACATTTTTTTCTGCATTTTTGATGTGAGGTAAGAAGCAGGTTTGCCTGATGGTTCAGCATTTCCTGCCTAGACAGACATGATATCCTTAGCAGTAGTGCCTTGGTGGAGAGTGTCCCACGCTCTGAGTCCTTAACAGCATGCTACAGCGATGGTGTGCCAGAAGCTCCCCAGTCCCCTTGAGATCACAGCTGAGCGAGTGGAGAAACTGATGTGCACGGGCTCCCAAACCTTCGACTCGCTGCCCCCGGAAACCCAGGCACTGAGAGCAGGTGAGCACAGACCCCAGTGTGCTGAATGGCATTTCTCACATGCCTTTGGTTCCTTGTTCCTTTGTCATTTGTCCTGTTTTGGGGTACTTCAGCAAAGCCAGGCCTCCCTCGTACAGAACCTGTGCTCGGCTGTTTGCTGCTCTCTCCAGCCCATCCACACTTCCTGCAGTACTTTTCTCCTCCAGTGGGAAGGTAGCACAGAAACGCAAAGCGCCCTCCTGCTGCCCTGGTCTTGTTTCAACACTGAGTCCCGTGGGACCTTGGACAGGGTTTCCTCATAACGGGAGCACTCCTTCTCACTTAAGACTTGGAGGACTTCCTCCGTTTATTATCTCGTCCTTGCTCCCCTTTCTGTTGAGTTTGGAACCTTCCCTCAACTCCACTCTGCCACTCTGCTCGGCCCTTTGTGAATTGATCCCATATACAGTCAGGGGCACCCTGCCCCGGAGGTCACTCTCTTCTGGACACTCCAACCCTTCTGCTTCCTGCTTTTCTCCCTAACTGCTTAGTCACCATCTCTTCTTGTCTAGCTTTTATTGGTGGATTCTTTATATACAGATTATTTTGATGTGGGTAAATTTGAGGGGTGGTGGAACCTCCTGCACTTACTTAGATCTCCTTTGTAAGCTAAGAAAAATGTCAGGAAGTTACGGAGTTGCGCAGAGATTTACAAACTTGGAAAAACGGGCATCCTGAGAGTGCTCAGTCTTAGAATTCGTCGTTTTCTATTGCTGTCATGGTAAAACATTTGTCAGCTTTCACTTTGTAAGTGAAGTCAAATAGTTTTGTTTAGAGACTTTTACTTAGAGAAACACGAGGGGAAAGACAGAGAGCGCTCCATGTTCAAGAGAGAACAGGGCCTTTTCCAGAGGGGGAAAGGCCCATTTTATTTTCTAACCCGTGTTGTCAGGCCTTGGGAAAGCTGCTGCTTTACTGCTCTCTGTCTTTTGTTAGCGAGTGGTCTTGCTGGCTCGAAGGCTGTGGTGATATTCATCTTCATCCCCTCTTCCTTCTTCCCCCAACTGGAGGGACTGTCTGGCTGAACTGACAACGGGACTGATGGCAGAAGCTCCCACGTTATCTGGCAGGGTTGATGGTGGAGACTCCGGTGTCTTGTAGGGCTGATGGCAGAGACTTGCTTCCCTTCTTTCTCCAGTTCCAGGCCACTCTTCGGCTTTCCTCCCTCGTCCATTTTGCTTTTCTTTCCTCACTTCTGCCCACTCTGCTCACTCCAACTCTGCGGTATTTTTTGTAATAGCCTTCACCCTTTCTAAGGAGTTGTGAAAAACTGTGCTGCGCCTGTATCTGGAAGATGCCACGTTAGCATCTGTCTTACTGTTTCACTGACATACCTGGAGTGTTAATAATGGGAAAACGGTGTCTCTCTCCTTGTCTCTTTAGCTTTTCTGAAATGTGGAAGTGAAGATACTGATCCAGTTATCATCTTTGTGTCCAAAATGTTTGCCGTCGATGCCAAAGTGCTGCCTCAGAATAAACCCAGGTAAGAGGAGGGAGTCAGACAGAAGCAGGGAGAGACGGGGTGGCTGGGGAGGAGAGCACACAGCAGTGCCTGCTCCCCTTTCCCTGGAGTCCCCTGTGAACAGCCCTGGCAGCAGCATGGAAATTCACGGCATCTGCAGAGGGCGTTAGCTCTGCGGCTGCGCAGAGGTCTGGGCAGACTAGGCATAGCCATAGGTGACTTCAGTGAGTATCGGGCCCTTCCTGGGCGGGTGCCTGTCCACTTCAGGGCGCATTTAGGAGCGCGGGGACGTCTCTGCCAGTCCGAGAGTGGGAGGGTGGGGGTGAAGATAGACCCATTCTTCATCTTCTGGGGTGCTCTTTGTCATCCCCTGCTTCCCCTCAGATTTAGATCCTGGCCCTCTCTGGGCATTCCCACAGTAACCTCTGACTGGTACCAGCTGTCTCAGGCTCTGCCAGTCCTTTGCCTGCCCTTCTGCCTTCAGCATGATCTTTGTTCTGGACAGCTGGGACAGTGTCCATCTCTTGTTTTATAACCCTTAATTCTCGTGGCCTTGAGTTGTGTGTTCCTAGATTAAAATGTTTATAGTGATGAGTTCCGTGATACTTCCTCCCAGCCCCCCCCAGCAAGTTTTAATTTAATACCACACTTCTTGTAATATGCATGTGTGTAGATTTCACAATTGTGTCAAGTGGCACAGCTTTTCTTTTGATATTAATGACAGTTAAAATTGCAGCATGTTGACACCAGTGTGTACCACTGGTAGCTCACACTTGAATGCGACAACACAAATTGCCATACTGGTGTCAACATATTAAAAACACCCATTTAAATAAATACTTAATATGTAATAGGCAGCTGTAACCAAAGCAGAGATATGTGAAAAAGTGAAGTTTGGGGACCATTGGACTGTTCGGTACTCTTGGACTACTTTAGTGGTCCCAGAGATCCAGCCCAGCCTGACCACAGGCTGTTTTTAAGTTTTGTGGTTTTTCTGAACTTCTTGTACCCTGCACTATTCCTTGACTAACAGGGACACACTGTTCTCTCTCCATCTTTGGAAGATTCCATTTCTTCCAGAGAAACTGTCCATCCTTCAAGAGAAAAGCCATATTTTATTCAGTACTTTGCTCATTATTATTAATGACTTACTCACTTTTATTCTGAGGATATTCAGAAGAAATGGTTGAATGAATGACCGGGTAGGTGAGTAGCTGAGTGGGCATTGGTGGACAGGTAAATGAGTGTCTGCGTAAGCAGCTCTCTAAGCTACGCCCAGTTGGTATTTTGGTGCTACATAGCCCTTTGGCACCCAAAGGACATAGCCCAGAGATAGTTGAATCTAAGAAATAGTGCAGATTTGAAACCTGCTTTTGGGTTTTTAACACCATATGTATTTGTATCATTTAAAATTTCTTTTTGAATCCATCTTTCATTTCTTTGGTAATGATTAATGCTCTTAATGCTTCTACTATCAATTTCAGGACCTGTGACCATTTTTCTTTGACAGCTCGTCTTTTCCTGATTTGAATCTATTTCTAGTGATGCTGCTCTGTTCTGTTAAGATTGTTGTACTGATTTAGTTTCCACGGCCAGTGTGCATTATTACAGGTTCTCAGTTACTACTTGGGAAGATCATCATTACCTGCTGTTTCCCATCTGTTTCTTGATGGTCTTTGTATGTTGTATGGTTTTTGTTTTACCAGTCAACCAAATTGATTCATGTCAATTTTTTTTTCAATATGGAGAAATACTCCCTTGTTGGTTGGTTCGCTTGCACTTCCCCTCTGTTGCACTGAATATGCCAGGCTCGGAATAGCACAGTCTTCTTTTCTCTCCATATAAATTAGAACATGTTAAGTGGGTTACATGCCAAGGAGAAGAACAGAGGAGGGAGGATGGGTACTCACCAAGCCTGAGCTTTGTAGGTGTTGCCCCTTAGAGCAGCACCTCCAACCTTTTCTCCCCTCTGACCCATACCTGTATTGCATCCGTCCACGGAGCAGCAGGAGACCCACGCTTATTCACCCATCCATAGCTGTGGGCTTCGCGCATCATGCTGTTCTCTGCAGGGATGGGCTCCTGTCAATCTCTCAGGCAGAAATACTGCAGATCCCGCCTTCTGGGGGCTCACTGGCTTGATGGGTACCACTCTGGAGAAGCTTTCCTGGAAGGGACTTGGGCACCATTGCCTCTGCAGCTCCTTGCATACCTGCCCTGCGAAGTGCCAGGTGCTCACACCACTGTGATGTTTCCTAGGCCCCTCACTCAAGAAGAAATGGCAGAGCGGCGGGAACGTGCCAGAAGGCGTCATGCGGAAAAACTAGCAGCTGCACAGGGGCAGGCCACCTCTGAGGTCACTCAGGATGGGAACAGCCCTGAAGATGGTCCCCGGGGAGCAGAGCCAGAAGGTAGAAGCAACTTCCCTGGAGAGAATGTGGCTGACTCGGGCACTCCTCTAGCTTCCGATCCTTGAGCTTCCTTCGTAGCATTTGTCATTGTGCCAGTGTTCTTTTTTTTTCTTTCTTGGTGGTGCTACCAGAGATCAAGCCTGGGTCTCCCGCTTGCCAGGCATGTGCTTTCCCACTGCATCACAGCCCTGGTCCTGTATTCTTTCCTTCCTGGTGTTTCTTTTTCGAAACTGGGACAAACATGTGATTCAGTATCATCCTCCTTGTTTCTAGACGCTCCTGGGTTCGAGAAAGAGTTCTGGCACTCATCCTCCTCTTGTTTCTGGCAGGTAATGAGCCGCAGGTGGAGAGTCTTCCCCTCAAAGCTGTGGCCCAAGAAGGAGACAGCCCAGAGCTTTTCATTGCCTTTGCCCGTGTCTTCAGTGGTGTGGCTCGAAAAGGAAAGAAAATATTTGTCTTGGGACCTAAGTACAGTCCTGTTGAGTTTTTACGGAGGGTAAGACCTGGGGGTCAAATGTTAGGGTACCCCGTCTTTCCAGGTTGGGGCTGGTGGTTCTCTCATTGGCAGGTCTGTCTTGCTCTAGGAAGCATGCTTGGACTCGTCCGGGTTCCCTTTCCCTTAAGCAGTTGAAACCAGTTTCAGGAATATTTAGGAAACTAAACCTCAAATATGTGAACCGAGCTTTTAGGACCTAACCTTCCCTAGGGGAAAGAGCCGGTGAGAGGAGATGTCGTTCTGGATCCAGGGCAGATCTTCAGGAAATGGGGAGATCCAAACATAGGTGGGTCTCCCAGGGTCTTGGGCCGTGAGAGGGGACAGATGACTGCTGGAAATGGACCGGGGTATCTAAGCAATCCAACAGCTGGGAACTAAAACATGATTGAGCCAAAGAAACCCTCCGCAGTACAGACTCAGAACATCCTGGGATATGGTCAAGGGGTACGCAGAGTGAATAAAAAAGTACTAAGGCGTGGGACGATGAAGAGGCCTATGTGCAAGCAAACTGAATATCGGCGTGCTAGACCCGACTGGGAACCTGCAGCAGAAAGCATATTCTCTTCAAGAAGCTTGCCCTTCCGGAGTGAAGGGTGGGCGGTGGGAAAGGGCATCTCTGCCGTCACGCTTGACTGCTGTGTCCCTCAGTGTACCCTCTGTAGCTCACTATGAGAGTCCACTTGGCGGCTGAGCTGTCCGCTGCCTTGTGGCATGTTGTCATTTAGTAAGAGGCGGCCCAGCAGCCACAGCAGGAGCATGCAGCCTCGGGGAGAGACCAGGAGAGCTGTCAGGCCAGGGGTGAAGACCCGTTTGGGATCAGCTTCGCTTCTCTGTTTAGATATCATCAGTGACTTGTCATTTATTGGTAAAGATCAAGCGTCAGTTCACTGTTTTCTCTAAAGTTTCCTGAGTTAATCGCTGATCTGGGCATCTTGCTTTCCAAAAGTCTCTCTCCTCTGCATAACAGAGCTTTGTTCTCAGGGGCAAGTGTGTAAACTTGAGCATTTATGATTCAAGGATCATAAGATGAATTGACAGCCCAAATTACTCCCAGTTTCAGTGGTCAAGCACCAGAAAATCTAAGCCAAACCTTTAAGGTTAAAAAATAAAAAAGAAATTTCTCAGACATCATTTAGAGGTAGATAAACCAGTTTCTAAGTGGAAATTTGTGTTTATCCTTGTAATATTTTTCTGCAGCTGCATTTTACGGATTGTCACCAAGTTGTCAATTAAAGCAGTCAGTATACTATCATCTCACAGTTCCTGCAGAGTAGGTGTCTACCAGGGCTTAGTCGGAGTTTAACTTTGTATCACACTGTAGCTTAGCTTTGCCTTGCAAAGCTGTTTTGGATGACCTGACAGTTCTTACTATCTACTCCGTACTTAAGGGTACCCAAAGGCCCATTAGAACTGTCCATGTCAATTTCTGTCTTCACCTCAAAAGTCTTCCAGTTCCAATTCTGCCTTTTCTTTGTGTTTTGTTCATTTCGAATTCCTCTGTCTAAAGCTTATGATCATTTTTGTCAGGTTCCATTAAAAATGCACGGAGTATTTTTGTCGCTTAGTAGTCCCTGGGATGTGGCAGTGTGCGCCCTCCAAATAAATAACAGCAGCTCTGAACAGCTGTTTGATTGTTATCAGGGCCTTTTTATTTCCTGTGGTCACTCCTAATTGCCCTGTGCCTTACCCGCATTGGCTTCAGCCCCGTTAAGTGCCTGAAAGGCCATTAGATACCACTAGAAGGACTTTAAATAAGAAGAGTAATGGTACATATGAAGAGTAAAGAGTGAAAAATAATGCCGAATAATAAAAGTAGGGGTGAGTGTGAAGAGTAGTGGTGTCATCCCCTGTTCATGGATAGGGATGATTAACATTATCAAAATGGCAATACTCCCCAAAGCACGATACAGATTTAATGTGTTCCCAATCAGGATACCCATGACATTTTTCAAAGAAATAGACAAAACACTCCTGAAATTTATATGGAACAATAAACCCCCACGAATATCTAAAGCAATCCTTGGGGAAAAAGAAGATGAGTGGTATCATTTTCCCCGACTTCAAACTGTACTACAAAGCAGTAGTAATTAAAACAGCATGGTATTGGGCTAGAAAAAGACCTGCAGACTAACGGAACAGAGTTGAATATTCTGTCACAGACTCTCAAATATATAACCACTTAATCTTTGACAAAGGAGCAAGAAATGTGAATTAGAACAAGGAAGGCCTCTTCAACAAGTGGTGCTGGGAAAACTGGATAGCTACCTGCAAAAAAATGAACTCTGACCTCTGTCTAACGCCAGGCACAAAAGTCAAATAAAAGTGGATTAAAGACCTCAGTATCAGACATGAATCCATAATGTACAAGTAGGAAATGCAGGCAGAGCCCTCCATGACATTGAAGCTAAAAGCATCTTTAAGGATGAAACACCACTTACCAAACAAGTGGGAACAAAAATAGACAAATGGGACTACATCAAACTAAGAAGCTTCTGCACTTCAAAGAAACGGTGACTAAAATACAGAGAGAGCCCACAAAATGGGAAAGAATATTTACCCAATACCCATCTGATATGGGATTAATATCCAGGATATATATACAAGACACTAGTAGAATTGTACAAGAAAAAAACCTCTAACCCCATAAAAAAATGGGGAGAAGAAATGAACAGAAGCTTCCTCAAAAAAGAAATACAAATGGCCAAAAGGCACATGAGGAAATGTTCCACATTGCTAATCACAGGGAGATGCAAATCAGAACAACAATGAGATATCATCTCACACCTCAGAGACTGGCACACATTCAAAAGAACAAAAACAATCAGTGCTGGCATGGATGTGGGAAAAAAGGGATTCTCATTCAGTGTTGGTGGCAATGCCGACTGATCCAGCCTTTCTGGAAAACAGTATGGACATTTCTTCAAAAACTAGAAATTGAGCTTCCATATGACCCCGCAGTACCACTTCTAGGACTAGATCCTGAGGGTGCAAAAAAAGCACAGTAGAAATGACATCGGTACCTATATGTTCATTGCAGCACTGTCCACAATAGCCAAAATCTGGAAACAACCCAAGTGCCCGAGCACAGACGACTGATTAAAGAAACCTTGGTACATCTACACAGTGGAATACTATGCAGCTGTTAGGAGAGATGAAGTCATGAAATTTGCTTATAAGTAGATAGACATGGAGAGTATCATGCTAAGTGAAATGGGTCAAAAAGAGAGGGACAGACATACAAGGACTGCACTCATTTGTGGAGTATAAAATAATATGACATGAGACTGACACCCAAGGACAGTGGACACAAGGGCCAGGAAGATTGCTCCATACTTGGAAGCCTGCCTCATGAGCAGGGGGAAACGGCAACTGGAATAACAGAGAAGGGATCACTAAGAAAATGATGGTTGGAGGGATCGGTCGGGGTGAGAAATGTGTGCTGAAATTAGATAAAGGACCGAACATGATAACCTCTCAGTATCTGTATTGCAAACCATAATGCCCAAAAGTAGAGAGAGAATATGGGGAAATTGCCTGCCATGGAAGCAGAGGGAGTGCGGGAAAGGGGGGTATGCTGGGGAGAGTGGTGGTGGGGAATGTGCATTGGTGGAGGGATGGGTGTTTGATCATTGTGTGATTTTAATTCAAACATGAAAGCTTGTAACTGTATCTCACAGTGATTCAATAAAATAAACAGATTAAAAAAAGAAGAAGAAGAAGGGTAATGGTGAGAGAGAAGAGTAGTGACAAGTGTTGCATCATAGCACAGTGATAACCAGAACTGGCATGTGACGTGTAGCACTGTAGCACTGTCCTCCCATTGTTCATCGATTTGCTCGAGCGATCCCAGTAACGTCTCCATTGTGAGACTTGTTGTTATTGTGTTTGGCATATCAAATACATCACGGGGAGCTTGCCAGGCTTCTCTGTGTGGGCAAGATACTCTTGGTAGCTTGCCGGGCTCTCTGAGAGGGCAGAGGAATCGAACTTGGGTCGGCCGGGTTGGCTGCGTGCAAGGCAGATGCCCTACTCGCTGTGCTATTGAAGTGCTTCACAGAAATGTCAGCAAGGGCCCCTGGTGATCACTGTTCATTTGCAAATGTGGTGCCCCTGAGACACGATAGGCAGTGTTCAAATATTATTTCTACATCACACCCTTCTAAGTTGGTATTTTTGAGATGTCCATGAAACATAACTGCATCATCTTTCTAATAAAAATGTCTTGGTGGGTCATTAATGAGCATCTTCATATAGTGCCACCTAACTGGTCCACCCTTGTCCTTTGCCAGGTGCCATCAGGCTTTTCTACCCCCCTCGAGGACCTGCCTGCTGTCCCCCACATGGCCTGCTGCTCTCTGGAGAACCTGTATCTTCTGATGGGGCGTGAGCTGGAGGACCTGGAAGAGGTGCCTCCAGGAAACGTGCTGGGTAGGCTGTTGCTGTGCTGACAGATTGGCTTCCCGGCAGACTGAGTGTGAAAGTCTGCACTTCATCTCGGAAGCTTGGAAGGAAATGCCCGGTGTCTTTTTGAAGTTTGGTTATTTTCCCAGAGTCCCTAGATGTTAGCTTGGTACATCCGAGTAGTTAATGTGGAGATCAGGGGCACCAGGGAGACGGCTCAAGAGCTGGAGCACACACCTGACATTTGGAGACACCTAGTTTGACCCCAGGCACCACCTGGCCCCCTGAGCACTGCCAGGACTAACCTTGATGGCCCCCAAGTATAAGTACCATGGGGGGTTGCGGCTGGGGGAAAGGGGGAGGCATGTTTGCCCCGTACAGCAGAGCCTAAGCTGTACCATGACACCAGACTGAGCATTCAGCCCCCGTCCCCCTTAGCCAGGCAGTCCCACAGGGTGTAGCTGCTGAGTCTTCACCCAACAGAAACCACACAACTCAGTAACCTGCTGTGAATTAGGTGCAGTTGTCTTTAACTGTATTCTTCATGACCATACATTAATTTTCATGTCTTTAAAATAAATGTGCCTGGGTCAGTGGGTCATGTAGTATAGCGGGGAATATGTTTGCCTTGCACGCGGCCAACCCATGTTCAAATCCTGGCATCCCAGGGCTGGAGCAGTAGCACAGTGGGTCGGGCATTTGCCTTGCATGCGGCTGACCCGAGTTTGATTCCCAGCATCCCATATGGTCCCCCAAGCTCCACCAGGAATAATTTCTGAGTGCACGAGCCAGGAGTCTGCATCACCAAGTGTGACCCAAAAAGCAAAAAAAAAGCCCTGGCATCACAAAAAGCCCTGAGCACCTCCAGGAGTAATTCCTGAGTACAGAGCTAGGAGTAAGCCTTGAGCATCACCAGGTATGACCCAAAAAGCCAAAAACGAAGAAATATATAAGCAAATAAAATGTTTCCAGACAGGTTTTGGTCGATTTTGTGGGCTCTCATAGAAGAAATTTGCCGAAGTATTTTGCTGCTCCCTCACAAAGTTACTTCCCTCTCCCAGTTTTGTTAAGAAAATGTTTTGGCATGAAATTAGTAATTGCTCTTTTCAATTCTTGGGAAAATGCCATTGAACTGTAATAGGTGATAGAACTTAAGGTGACAGGCAGCCCTTTATCAGGAAAGACCTGGCAGAGAGCCGGGCGGCACCCAATGTTTGTTCTTAGCCTTTTTTGATTCTTTTTTTTTTTTTAAGGGGTAGGGGCTTTTGGCCTACACCCGGTGGACTCAGGGGCTGGGGATCACTCTTCCCAGGGGTCAGAGAACCCCAGGAGGTGCCAGGGTTTGAACCTGAATCAGCTGCTGCCCTATCTTTCCGGCCCTGGTTCTCAGCCTTTTGAGTGTTTCTCATTCTCCATTTTGTCCCTATTTTAACTGGACGCTTCAGTGGAGGGAAGTGGTGTGTGGAGAAAATGGTGTTTGGAACACCGGCCCCTGGTGAGCCAGCGCTGTGCTTGAGCTCTTGAGCCAGCAGTAGACCCCTAAGGGCAAGGGAGCTTCCTGCAGGAGAGTCTGGGGGCTTGTTTCCACATGACACGGCTAATTGGCTAATTGCAGACTATTTCTTTGGTTTCCCTTTATGCTTTTTATTTTTGCTTTCTGTTGTTTTGGTTTTTTTTCTTTTGGGTCATACCAGGTGATGCTCAGGGATTGCTGTGGCTCTGCACTCAGGATTCCTCCTGGCGGTGCCCAGGGAACCGTATGGGATGCTGGGGATTGAACCCAGGTCGGCAAGGCAAATGCCCTATCTGCTGTGCTGTCGCTCAGGCCCCATGATTTCTCTTTATGCTATAGCAGGCCCATGGCAGGATGCAGTTCACGAAATAAGACACAGTAATGTTTATGGTGATTAAGGAAGGCCTCCATCCTCTCTATAACTTGGAGAAAAGTTTGTACTTCCTACTAATAAGGAAATGGCAGTGAATGATAATAAGAGATTCCCGTATGTTTTTCATCAGAAATGACACCAAATCAGATTTATCAAGTGCAGATAAAATGTTAGTTGGGAAAGAAATGGCATTTTGAGCAAGCTGGGTGCATGTAGCCAGTCTTAAGTTTTTTGATTGGCACCTAAGGAATGTAGCCTTTGCATTTGAACCCATACAGGTCTCACTTAAAGAACTTAGGCTGATAAGTTTGATAAGACTAATAAATGTGAAATAGATAATGTGGCCTGGAAATAGTTGATTTAAAGTTGAAAATCATTTAATTTCAACCTGATGTTAGGAAATTTGGTATAGATTGGACCAGAGAGACCTCACCATATTTCACACACAATAAACAACCTTTTGTTCAATTTCCTCCCAAGTAGATCTCTAAAAATAAACCTTTGCTACAGGCTTCTATTAAAATGTGAGGGGAAATTGAATTAGGATTCCAAGTCTTTTCCTTGAATTAAGTCTTTGAATTAGGATTCCAGGCCTTTTCTTATACTTCCAGATCTCTTCCATATGGGTAAATCTTTAAAATTTCAAGGCAAGTTCTGAGAAAGGATGACGTTCTTTTCACAACATGAAGAAGCAAAGGCTAAATGTTAACAAAGCTTTTTCTGAACCAGTTGTAGTTCTGTGTAGTTTTGTTGTGGCAATTTGCTGGGATGACTGGAAGTCATTGTGAGTTGGATTAAAAAAGTGTGTGTGTGTGTGTGTGTGTGTGTGTGTGTGTGTGTGCGCGCGCGCATGCGCGCATAAAGTGCATTTACGTGCATATACACACACATGCAAATATACCCATGCTTGCTTGTGGCTCCTTAGTCACGGGTTAACTGATTTTGTAAAACTTAACAAGAGCTTTACCAGCAACTTTTATTTCAGTTAAATGCCAGGATTTTGCCTTGTGTTTCTTTACATTCACTTTTGAGTGAATTTCTTTTTAAATATGCTTATCAGCGTTTTTACTTGGAAGTAATCTGTTTTAATGGTAAATAGCCTGCAACCTTTCTCCTTCTTTCTTAATTTTAGTAGTTTCAACTGCTTTTAATAACATTTAGTGGATAATAATGATGTTATTCTTTTTTTTTTCTTAATGGTTAATATGTCTACTTTTATCTATGGTCATACTTCCATATGGCCATAGAATGTGCCTGTTCTTGTTCTAATATTTTTTATTTTTCTCTGTTTTTCTATTGCCTATAAAAACATAATAGATAGTAACAGTTGCTGGGACACCCTGATTCCTTCCTGACATGAATGAAAATGTCTCCCATGCTTTAGTTTCAGGTTTGCTGGTACCTACTGATTCATATCTCCTATTTGTCATGCTAGGGAAATGTTCTTTTTTTTTTTTAATCAGAAGCAGATACTGAATTTTATTCATGCACTCAGCATCTGAAGAAAATTTAGAACTCTTCTTGCTCTAATTGACATAGTGAGTTGTATTTGTTTTCTGATACAGAGGTCTTCACATTCCTCGGGAACAAAGGTGACTCTTGGACACTGCATTCTCTTTGCATACTGGGAGATCAAGATACTCACATTTTACCCAGAATTTCCTTGTAATTAAGTAAAATTGGCCTTTAAGTTCCTTAGAGTCCCAGTAATTCAGGAAGGGCTGTTTCCGGTTTTTTGGGGTTTTTTGCCCTCCCCAGACACACACTTTCACCTGGGTCTACACACACTAGCAGTGGTTAAGCTGGGATGATAGAGCTCCAGTAACACGGAGAATTACTAGAATACATGTGCAAGTCCCGTTCCATAGCTCTGTGGCAGCTTATCAACAAAGCAGCTCCAGAAAAGTTTCTGGCAAATGTGATCATTTTCCTTGAAGTAGTCTTTTCTTACAAAATCAACTTGGTTATGTATATCAAGTCTTTGATTCTATTATTCTAGTATAGTGTCTCTGTACTGGACTGAGTACAGAAGGACTGGAGTAATAATACAGCGGGGAGGGCATTTGCCTTGTATTCAGCTGACCCAGGGTCTATTCCCAGCATCTCATCTGGTCCCAAGCATCTCCAGGAGTAATTCCTGAGCATTGCCAGGTTTGGCCCCAAAACAAAACAAAATTAATTCAGTGCCAACCCTATCATTTTTCTGTGTTTTACTTTATATTTCTATGTACAGCCTATTTTTATTTTTGTGTTCATATATGTGAGTTCCAAACATATTTTTAAGTTCCTTTTAAATGTAATTTTCAATAGTGGAGACCAAGATACAGGTTCATTTGAAAAATGTGGATAAGCTAAGTAGCTAAGTAAGAGTTATCTCTTTCTGTAGGATGGCTAACTCAGGGAAAGTTATATCCATATTTGCATTCTGCTTGCTTTTGTTTTGTTCTGGGGCTGTGCTCAGGGCTTACTCCAGAGCATTTTCCAGAACTCCTAACAAGTTTTGTACTTCTTGATTAAGCTGTTTAATGAGTACAAGTCAATAGAGCAATGAATTTAACGGGGTGTTTTTGTTGTTGTTTGGGGGTTTGAGGAGAAGGGTTGCAATTTTCTTGGCTGTTTTGAGTTCCTCACTCTATAGTGTTGGGGATTGTACCAGGACCTCACACATGTAAGACATGCCCTTACATGTAACGCATGCCCTCACACATGTAAGGTGTACCCTCACATGTTTGAGGTGTGCCTCACACATGTAAGATGTCTTCACGTATGGAAGATGTGCCCTCAAACATGTAAGTCATGCCTTCACACATGTAAGGCATGCCCTCACACATGTAAGGCATGCCCTCACATATGTAAGGTGTGCCCTCACACATGTAAGATGTGCCTTCTACCATTTGAACCATATCCTCAGCTTTTGCTGACCCCTTTAATCTTTGCTATGTTTGTATTTGGGCTAGAGCGATAGCACAGTGGGTAAGGCATTTGCCTTGCACACGGCTGACCCAGTCAGCGCAGGTTCAATTCCTCCGCCCCTCTCAGAGAGCCTGGCCAGCTACCGAGAGTATCTCGCCCACACGGAAAAGCCTGGCAAGCTACCGTGACGTATTCGATATGCCAAACACAGTAACATCAAGTATCACA